AACCCTATTAGACTATCAACAATCACCGGTAATCAATCGATCAATCAATCGATGAAATAACAATTTTTTGCATCGAAAAAAATTGCATCGAATCCATACAAAGGATGATGGAATCCAACAAAGATGGCCGTGCTTAATATTCATCCGGCAATATCGAGTCGGCCGCGACCTTGCCTTTGTCAAATGTTGGAATTTTCGCGAATCTCCCATTTGAAAATAGAAGCACACACGTGTCCAGGAAGTTCGCTACAATCCGATTTCTAATTAGCGCTGACATGTGGGTTCTACTATACTCCAAAAAAAATCTACCATTCTTCTTCTTTCAATTCGCGAGCCTCCACCATCGCGGCTATTCGGTCAAGCCATCGCTTATAGTAGTGATGCGTGAAATATAGAAATAAAGATGTATAAACTGCGTCGTAAAAACGTGCCGCATGCAATCGAGCATCGAAATTCTAATAAAACGATAAGGGTCTTTTAAATATTCCACTAATGGGTGTCAGTAACCTGTTGAGCGTCGAGCACAAGGTCCGCGTTGGATGAACAAAAAATTCCATCGGAAAATCTGCAGCGAAATCGATTATTCGTTCCATTGAGAATGGTATACATCGTGCTTCATTCGCGATTGCAACATGGGCATTTTTATGAGTTGAACAAAGAAAGATTATTAAAATGACAGCTGTCAGAGTGAAAAGTTGCAATGACATAACGTCACTATTTCCTTTTCCTTGAAGTGTTTAATTGAAGTTGTCTTTGTTACACCCATAGCCTATGTTGCAATGAAAAATGGAGCAATCTGTATGTACGTGGAAACGTACATTTCATTTTAAAGAGGCACGTGTCAAATTACAACTAATTTCTTCGTATACTCGTCGACAAACAATGATTTTTTTTGTGTGTGTAGCCGATTTGCATACTATACGGGTTCTTAACGAGTCTTTTATTTAGAATTCCCGTGCAATGAACCCGAAAAATTCACTAACATCTTTTTCTCCCGTATTCGGGAAAAACGAATTTATCGAGCAACATTTCTTAATGGAATTATCGCAGCCTTCCTCGATCTGATCGACCTTAAAAACTCAATGATTCCCCGCTCGAGCGAGCTTATCATTCGACAGATTCGATTCCTCTTTGTTCGTCAAACGGAGCGATTCCTCGAAAAAATCGAATTACCGATCCAGAATGGTATCGGTAATCGATTCTCGCGTTTTTTTTCCGCAATAATCCGATTAAAATTCGATCCGCCAAGGATGGGCGGTAAATGAAGTGCGAACGAGTCTTCTCTTATCGAAGGATTCGCGGGGAATTACCGGCTGTTGCGAAACGAAGGTCTTCGCGTTTCTTTATCGAAAACCATCGGCGCGAAAAATCCCAAGACTTCGCTTTCGTTTATGCACTGATGGTAAATAAATCATTTTTCTCGGTGTAGGCAATTTGAGTTTAATTCGGTATACATAGGTGTGCTGTGAATTATTGATCGATTGTTTGGTAATAAATGCAAGTATTGATTCGATGTATAAAGCATTGTATTGTTCGTTTTTTACATGATTGGGAATAGTATTGTGGGTAATTGCGTATGAGAAACGCGGAAATTATTTTTTTTATTTATAGTAAAAATGATAACAATGGTTTAAAATAGACCAATTTTATCGTTATAATGATCGAAAAGTTGAATGAAAAAAATGCATCATTACAGCTTTTAATTTTGATAGCTTGCTAATTGCAAAAAAGCTCATAAAAATGTCACTACATGGATAATATTTACATCAAAAAAATTACAAGAAAATCTTGCAAAATTCCTATTGTGCAATACTCTATCTATATCAGATATTCCAAAACAGATTAATTTATTACCTGCGAGTTTGCGTTTAATTATAGAATCGATTGCGTGTTGAAATTAGAACAATGTGCATTTCCTTGTCGAGATGAAGACAAACATGGCGGCTGCGCCGTCGAAAGATTCGATGTATAAATTTATAAATAAATCCCGACTAATTATTATTTCCGCTCATTTAACGTAACCCACATTTCATTCAGCGGCATTCCGAAAATCGCTCGGAAAACGGCGGAAAAACTATTATAAGTGAGTCCATAAGCGAACTATTCTTCATGAACCGTGTAATAATTAATTAATAATGCAACGTCTGTTATCGAATTCACTTTAGGTCCTTTCTTACGAATAAAACTTGCCAAACCGTCCGAATCGAGGTCGATAATATGGTTAGAATTGAATACAAAAAAAACGGGCGATCTACATGCAATCAAAATCGCGCCATTATATCATCTTTAGCGCACAAACTTTCACAAAGAAACCAAGCAAAATAAACTACTTGATCAACGCAATGCGAAAATACCGCGCAAAGTATTTATACCTCGTCGAATGCAGCTTGGCAGTTGAAAATTTTGTTATAGATGAGCAAATGGAAAGAGAGAAGAAAGATGGAGAAGGTTAAAGAGTCTTTAACTTTGGGTGCAAAAGTCACTAAAAAAGTTACTAAAAAAGTAATTATACCTCATCAAATGTAGCTCGGCAGTTGAAAATTTTGTTAGATGAGCAAATGTGAAGAAAGAAAAAAGATTGACAACGTTAAAGAGTCTTTAACTTTGAGTAGAAATGTCACTATAAAAGTTACTAAAAAAGTAATTATATCTCATCAAATGCAGCTTGGCAGTTGAAAATTTTGTTAGATGAGCAAATGTAAAGAAAGAAGAAAGATGGACAAGGTTAAAGTCTTTAACTTAAAGTGCAAAAGTCACTAAAAAAGTTACTAAAAAAATTATTATATCTCATCAAATTTAGCTTGGCAGTTGAAAACTGCATTAGATATAAGGGGAAGAAAGACGGACAATGTAAAAAAGAAAGAAGGATTGATCAGTATCAATTGATATTGATCTACCTTTCCTCAAATTTTGATATGGCGCCTTCAATAATTAAAAATTCCAAATGCCAATTAAGCTACATGCGATGAGGTAGAGTTATTGAAATAAGCGTTCCGTGAGTCATTGCTGAAACGATCCGAAGTATTTAGTCCGTACAACTTAATATCGTCTTTAATTAGATGCCTTTTTATTCTAACGATACAAACTGAATGGCTCGTCTCAATTAAATTCGTTTCTTAATCGGGGATTTCTTCGAATCGCCAGCGTTTCTGAGGCTTTTTATAGAAGCGACCGATCGCCTGGTATTTTCGTTAATAGTCCATTTATTACTGCAACTCGTACATATGTACCATATACAGGGTGATACTAAAATAAATTAACCGCATGACGTCACGCTAATTTGAAATTAAACAACCTATAAGTAATATACACATTTGTAGAAAACGTGGGAGTTTGGTATTTGTAAATATGTAAATATCGTAATGTTTTATTAGGATTATCTACTAAGATAAATTTAAAAGCATGTTATAAAATCATGAATGAATCGATTAGAACGATAGAGTAGTTAGGAATTTTTTATTGGGTTATAATTCGAACTTTTCAACATGCAAATTGATTGTTAATATTTAGAAAAATGCGTTATTAATACAAGGTTGCGATATCAATTCAACCGTGCACGGTATAGGCGCTTATTTTCATTAACGAAGGATTAATATTAACAATAACGATTTCCTTTGTATACCAACATTTAAGCGGATCGCCATAAAGCGGATCTCTAATAGGTCAAAGTTGATTTAAATTCAATTCAATTGACTGTACACGGCGTACGTGTCTAAAATTAAAACATCCACGAGTTAATGTTAACGAGATATTTAAAAAAAATACGCGAAACGAGCCAATTAACGGCTTTTACAGCGTTTTTATCGCACCGAATTCGACTTAACTTCACACTACATTGTTCAAATTTACCTTCCAATTAACGGGACCTCTATCTCTTTAAATTTCCAAAACAACGACCGCTCGCGAAATTCACTGCATTCAGGTACGACCGAATCGCGGGTATTTTCTTCCTTTCGACGTTTGCAAAGTTTACATGCAAGAAGTCTGCTTGGAATGCCTGTTTTGTCGCGTACATTCCAACACTACTTCGACCGGCTGCATACTCAATACTCGCCGTAGAAATCCTCGGCTATAAAAGTGAAGTCTGCACGCCTTCCACCTTGGACCGGCAGCGAAAGAGGTAGAGGAATTTATACACGGTGGTGTCGGCGTTAGATGCATCGGTTTCTGGTCCAAAACCGACCGATTTATGTTCGCGGTTTAACGTCTCCCCGTTTTTCCGCATGAATGGGATGAATTTGGAAACGTGGCAACGGCGCGAAAAAATCGCGGTTTTTCTGTTGGGTGTTTTTTTTTGCAGGAAGAATTGATCGTATCGGAGCCTTTGTTAACCCGGATTATTAGGAAGTCTTTTTTAAACTGTAAATGTTTTAGTGAATGAGAATTTGTTCATGTTTTGTTAAGAGTGAAGGGTCATCTATAAGAGTCCTGGAAACCTTTAGGATTCCTCCATGTCTTCATATTCTATTATCTAAAACCAGTAGCTTAATTTTTGCAGTTCATCATCTTCCTATTCCGCATGAACGAGGTCAAACTGGAAACGTGGCAATATAGCGCGAAAAATAGTACTTTATTTGTTGGAAGTTTTTTTACAGGAAGACTAACTATTAAGAAGTCTTTTATGGATTATAAACTATAATTATTTCAATTTATGACAGATTATTTATGTTTTTATAAGAGGGAAATGTCATCCAGAGCACTGGAAACCTTTAGGAAACCTCCATCTTCCCCTTCAGTTTCACATGTTAACATTTCCCTTTTCCGCATGAATCAGGAAAAACTAGAAACGTGACAACAGCGCTAAAAAATGGCACTTTATCTGTTGGAAGGTTTTTCACAGGAAGACTAACTTCCTCTATAAGAAGTCTTTTAACTTTTATAGACTATAAACTATTTTGTAACCTTCGAGAATTTAAAAATAACACGTAAATATTATTTTTGACAAGTGATTTGTGATAAGAGTGAAATTTCTTTTGCAAGTGTCAAATTTTCGAAAAAAGATGTCTTCTTCTTCGAACATCTCGAGAACAAACAGCCAAATCGATAGAATAGGTGAATATTTCAGATAAGAACAATTTTTTATTCAACCAGTATCTACAAGAAATATCGACTTGCTCGAATATGTAAAAACTTTAGGTTTATTCACTACAGGTATCTACTTATTGCAATTTATAATCATCTTGACAACGCCATTTTGTCTTTGTACTACCGTGGCCTTTTACGTAAACGCACTTCTAACAACCCGATTATACTTCCCGTTTCAGAACAGGGTGTAAAATTACTAAAAGAGGAGCAAGCGAAACGAGAAGCTCAACTCCTGGAGCAACGGGAAATTAAATTCAGGAAAATTTCCCGAGAAAAATCCGACCCGGTTTTCTCCTTGCCCGGCCTCCGATTCTACTACTTCACCCATCGGAAGATCAAATTCGCCATCTTCCCTTGTTATTTGAGCGACGCGTTCAGCAGGCGACGCGAGTATGTCTGCAGGTTGGTGTACAAGAGGAAAATGGGCCGCTGGTGGGTGAGGACCAACGCTTTTCCGCTGCCCTGCCTCGGGAAAATCAACGCCACGATGTATAAGAAAGTGGGCGACGATGGGATTGTCGATGGCATAAAAGAAATTTACAGGATCGCAGACGATTGGATTGCCAAGGAGGAGAAGCGGATTTTAAAAAAATACAATGTAAGTACGGGGTTGCTGTTGGTTTGTTGTAAATAATGTAATCAATTTTTTTAGGATTTTGCGAATAATGAAATAGATGCGACGGAGTTGCGCTCTTCCGAAGAAGAGTTATTTTTTGATGATGACTAAATAAAAAATGAAGATGGTATTATTTAATCATGTATAGTATTACACGTAACTTTATTACACTTCTATTATTTATGTACAAAATATTTCGTCTAATTCATATACAATTATAGATAAACATATGTCCAAAAGTTTAGAATATTGGAATATTTCATCTATTTTTTTATTTTTATGTATAAATTTTTTGATCAATTAAACATCATTAAACAGCCAGATAATCAATATGCAAAAAAATTATTTATTAATTCTTTTGGAGTGAAAAATTTAAAATATTCCAAATTTTTTGACACATGTGTATAATAAAATAATGTTAATGTTTAATGTTTTACAAATAAGCAAATAAATTGAAATTTATTCCGCACAATTCGGCTTAATTTACTGCTATTTTAATGTAAATAATTTTCTACTGTATTATCAATTTCATATCTGGAATTAAGGGGAAATCTGGAGTACACGTGCCAATATGTTACAATGGGCATTTTTCGACGTGGGCAGGCGAACGAGCCGAAACGTTAGGAAAATGCAAATAAAATTTTCATCTATTTTCCCTGTCGGGGGGAAGGCGAGGCAATTATTTCCAATTGAATATTTCGTATTTGCGCTGCAGTTCCGCCTTATTTATCCGTCGATTCGAATCGAGACCCACGATTTAAATTTGTTTGTACCAGAATATTCGCAAATTATAAACGTATACAAACAAATAAGTACTCACACAAGTCTTGTTTTTTGGTATTTTAAAATGTCTTTTTCTTAGTGGTCTCGAGGCTTCACCTATTTAGGCTATTAGGTCATTTGAGTGTAAAAAAATCTGTCATATGCCAAAAATTTTACAGCGCTTTGTCCACGGTCATACACACAGGTCTGGAAACTCCGAAAGTTTGAAGCGAAAGTCCAGTCCGTAGTTCCTAAAACGGCCGGTGGCGGCGATGTTACTATTTAACTTATTCTTAGATATATTCTAATAATTGTTTACAGAGCTTATTGTTCAATTATTTTTACTTATCTTCAAGTGTTAATTCCACCACCACAAAATTTGACAAGTTTCCAGACCTCTATATAAGACCGTGCTGTCAAGTCAACATTTCCTGTCATTTTAGCTACAAAAAAATTTCCGCTTTCTGTCAAAACTGTCACATCGTCTATCGCCTACTTGTAATTAATAAAATGAATACATGATATCAATATCACACAAGATTGATCGTTTGTGCATTAACGGGCACGTATATCGCTAATAAACAAACGCATTTAGATATTATAAAGAAAATAAAAGCAGACAAGCAACCGACGCCGACGGTGCAAAATAAAATAACCCGTCCGTAAATCTTCGATGCGATATTGCAGTCAAAATACTGTCAAGGGCGAATCGCAGCGCATTTAAAAGTATGACCTATATAAAATATCGCATACGGATTTATGTCTATTGTATGCACCGCATTAAATCGTACCTTCGGCGTGCGTTTAACTTGCACTAACGAGATTTATTCGAATGGCTGCAACCTAAATTTACGTTCTAAATATATCCGCATCGATTAAGTGCAGAAGATGTTTCGACACTCTTGTAATATTTCGAGTAGATCTGCTGTTTTCATTTACCGAATGAATTGAAAATGAGTCATTTGTAGAGTCTGTAGAAGAGTCACTAGTAGAGTCATTAGTTAGGGTCAGTGAGTATGTATTAAAGTCAGTAGAGATAGAGTCTGCATTAGAGTCAGCAGAGTTTGTATTAAAGTCAGTAGTGGAATCAGTGAAAGAGTCAGTAGAGTCAGTAAGTAGAGTCAATAGAGTCAGTAGAGTTGGTAGAGTCAGCAGAGAGTAGAAAGTAGAGTAGAAAATGCTTTGATGTTTTGTAATTTTTTTTATTACAAACGGAAAATTGGAAATTCTGGAATTGTTTGACCTAAAAGCGCTTAATTAATACCGTAAAATAATAAAATGAAAATAGTACATAAAAAGTCCAATGCCCTTGGAATCGTATTATTTTTTTTGTTAAACCGAAAAGCCGGAATTCCCTTATTTTTCGCGTTTAATTGCTTATTGGCCAATTTATTAGTCACTTCGAAATGTCGAAATAAATTAGATACAAATCGTTTTAGAGATATGCAAAACACGGTTTATTAAAAAGTCAAGCAGGTGTTTGTCGGGTTTCGTTAATTGTTAATATATTTTTTTTTCTGTTACAACGAAACGTGATTGCAAGTACAATACCTATACTCGATAAAATAATCAAAATTTCCCAACCTTTTACGCCTGACATTGAAACTTTAAATAACCGATTTTTTTTTATATATTTATAAATAATCCTGTTACCACATTTATTTCAACATAACGTTAGATAAGCCCAAAAACTAAATGTACTAAACTAAAAAATTCACTTAATTCTTACAACTTTTATCGGATGATTTATTATAAATGAGTAATAATGTAAATTAGCAATTTTGATGAATTATTTGGAATAAAACCAGTTGTCATTTTGAATTTCGAGAGACTTTTGCTGACGGCGATTTAAAAATAGAGAGAATGAGGTCTGGGTAAAGGTCGTTCAATATTGTATCATGATGATCCCAATCCGGTTTTCATGATAATTGGCCATTATATTAGAAAATTGAACAATAATAGACCTGGGAGCGCCAATTCTACATACACACATAAATAAATATCTTGACCTACTCCAACTCACTAAATTCGAACGGAATAATACCTGCCAAAAATTTCATTAAGAAAAAGACTCTTCGAGAAAAAAATTTCCTCAAAATATATGATGCAATTCGCTCTAATAGCAAATCATCCTCAGTTCGAGTAGATTGGAAAATTTCAATTCTCATACATTAACCCCCATCGATTTTCCGTTCGTTGATTTTCCCTCGAGGAAAATTCCCCCGTTTATTCCTTCCTGTTGGACTAATCAAATTCTAATCTCGAAATTGCCAAAACGGAAAATTTTCATTATCAAGAAACAATTTAGAAAACGGACCGCGCTAACGATTATTGCTCATTTCGAGCCCCAAAGGAAAAACTTGTTTTCACTTCCTTCTCCGGCCTGACGCGTAAGGTGAACGCCCTAAGGGCGCTTTCCTTCCGCCTCTAATTAATTACACAAATAACATTTTCCAAAAACTTTAATAAAAAAATTTGCAGACATTACAACTAAATATGAGCTATAAAACTACACACTAACAAAGTTCGAATTACACTTAAAAAAATCACAATGAACAATCACCAGCGGGGCAGCGGCGGTTTCCCGTTCAACTGGCACCGGTTTTCCCGAAATTTTCGTACTTTCCCAGCGCCGCGAGGACGTTCTCGGCGGCCGTCGGCTCGGAAAACCTCCTCGCTCGGACCACGCTCGTCATCCTCATCCTGTCCAAGATGACCAGGAATCCTATCACCAGCACCGCCAGGACCACGGTGGCGCCCAACACGACGGTCTGCAGGGCGTAGCCGGGCGACATCACGCCCTGGTTCGCATTGAAACCCGTTAGATACGGGATGAGGTGGTCGCATAGCCGCAAATTCGCGTAGTACATTATATTTTCTGTGGTTGGTGTTGTGAAAATGTGCCCCGTTTCGTCGCGTTTGGGCTTTTTATGCGAGGATCCGGTGGAGCGGTTTCGGGCGAAAAGCCGCCCGTCACAGGGTCGGTCTACCGTCGAGCTGTCGGTTTCGGTCGATGGGTCGTTTTGAAAACGGTAATGGGACGAATTCGGGTCGATAGTTTTTCTAATGGGACGGCCGAATTAGTCGAATTCGATGTGCGTTAAATGGGCAGCAAAGAAGAGTTGGTTGTTTGAAACGATAATTCATTCGTGTATAATTATAATTAATACACGTTGCTGTTCTGTCTCCAAAAAATTCCATAAAATATTTGAAATTTTAAGGAGGAGTAGAATAGGGTGAAAGGGGTACCTACTTTGTAGAGTAGAAGAAGGTGGTAAAAAAGGTAGTGGATGGTAGGAAGGGTAGAAAGGGGCAGCGGATGGTAGAGGAAGGTAGCGGAGAGTAGGCTAGAAGAGGGTAGAAAGGAGGGTAGAGTTGGGTAGAAAGGATAAGCGGGGAATTGTATAGATATAGGGAGTAGAGGAGGGATAAAGTTTTAGCGGTTTTTAGCGGTTTTATAACAATTATTAGTTATTTATCATTATTTAATCGACCATTTTCCATTTTGTAACAGATCGTTCAATATTTCTCAGCCGAGCCTAAATTCGCAGGCTTTTTTAATGAAAAATTAAGATACTTTTCGTAAACACCTCGTATGTAAATTTTTCAAAACCGAAAATTGGCAACCAGCGCCATCTATAAAACTACCTGTCAAATTGTAAAATTGTCACGGAACTTTGCGTTTACAAACACACCCAAAAGATGGCGCGCTTTCGCACTAAAAAATGCAAAAATGCCGCAATAGCTGCTTGTAATTTAAAGAAATTTATCAAAAAACAACAAATACGAATGCTAGTTGATAATTTCCGTTCGTTGTTTTAGGAAATTAACGAAATTTTTTAAAATATTTACAGTTCGATTTATTTCTAACAGATGTCGCTAGTGTATTTGACGTTTATTGTAGTCGAGCAACAAACCTTTCCGGAAATAACATATGTTTGAGTTTGAGTCAATGCGGTCCCAAACTTTCAAGTCAAGATCAGTCAAGATCGAGACCGGCCATTTTACGATACCCCGTTGTTGGATTATTCACCTTTCAAAATTAAAATTGTAATTAATGTCAGAACCACAGTCAGCCCTTCTATTGAGAAAACAGCTAGCAGGTCAGTGAAAGTGATGTGGCTCCTTTAACTTACCGTAATGGGAAAGCTCGTGTTAGGCGACCATTCGAAAATACGCTCGGTGTTCCGCGATGAAATCGCTCTTGTAACAACAACCTCGATTCCATCGCCGCCCGTGCGACCCGCCTATCCGAAAATAGGCGCTTTCCGCTATTTTTACGAAAAGGAATTAACCGTTTTGCATTTCAGGATTGGGACGAAACAAAATCAATAAGCGTGCATAATAATTCTTATCAAAGACGGCGATTGCTGGCTAATGTATCCTAATTAATCGTTTAAAGTCGATGCAAATGCTCCGTTGAATTTGTTACTAACCCTTTTTATGTTTAATTCGTGCCGTTTTTAATTAATATTCTAGTTATTAGAAAGGTGCACCCGTATCTGCAGAGTGTGGTTAAATTTCTATGTTGCGAAACGTTGTCGAAATCGACGTTATTTATTATAATATCGGGACGTTTAGTTGCTTCCTAATAGAAATTTACGCTTACACAAAGCAAGGTTATTGGTTTATCTTTGTTAAAACGGTTTTTTTTCCACTGACCTTGGTGTGGCTAAAAAAAGCTCATTTTTGTATTTCATTCTGTTGTAGAACTGAATAAGAACCCCGTGGAGGGTTTTTCTGCAGGCCTTATAGATGATAATGATATCTACAGATGGGAAGTGCTCATTATAGGTCCTCCCGATACCCTCTAGTAAGTATCCGATGGCTGTTTCGAAACGATCGTGTAACTTTACAGATTCGTTTTGAACTAGTAGAAATCGTCCAACGGTTATATTTTAGGTGGAAATATCGATTTTTTTGTAGAGTTTTTGAGGTTATGTATACGTTGATTGTGAATTGACAAGTTTGGTGTGGTTCGCTCGAGAATTATTACGTTCAAATCCAATCGTACGATTTAATGATACTTGTTCGAATTTTTTCCTATAATTTTCTAATTATTGGCTTAAATATGTTTTAGTTTCTAATGATAGGTTGTGTAATGAATTTTGGGTTTATAAATATACAGGTAGATGCAAAATTGTTTGTAATATATGTTGTGAGTGCAACAAAGACAACTTGCATTAGTCTCGTATAAAGGAAAAGGAAAGAGTGATATTGTGTGGACTAATACTACTTTCTCACTTTAACCACTATTATTTTAATAATCTTTCTTTGTTCAACTCGTAGATTTCACCATATTGCAAACAATTTTACATTCCCTATCCTTAGTGACTAAGCCAATGCGAATTTCTATGCATTGCAAAAATCCAGCTTGTCTCTTAATAATACTAAAATTTAGTAATAATAGCATTAATTAATTAGATTTTCAATGCTTAATCATTGTAATTGCTTGATTGAAAGCTAGTTTTTAACTAGAATTGTTAATATACAAGTAAGTGCAATATATTTTATGGGTGCAACAAAGACAACTTCCTTTTGTCTCATCTAAACGAAATAGATAGAGTGATTTATTGTGATATTGCAACTTTCTCACTCTATCCACTGTTGTTTTAATAATCTTTCTTTGTTCAACTCATAGAATTGACCATATTGTAAATACATTTGCACTTACCCATATAGAGATAAGTGCAAATTTGTACGCATTATGGTCTACATGTGCAACAAAGACAACTTTCATTATTCTTATATAAACGACAAAGAAAGACTGATATTGTCCCTCTTTGTTCGACTAATAGAATCGACCATTTTGTATACATATTTGCACTTACATGTCAGAATTGACCATATTTGCACTTACCCATATATTATGTCTCTTTTAAACGCTGTAATAATAACGATTCGGTATGTTTGTTTACAGTGAAGGGGGTTTTTTCAAATGTCACCTTTATTTTCCCAAGGAATATCCACTTAGACCGCCGAAAATGAAATTTGTCACGGAAATTTGGCATCCGAATAGTGAGTATACACTGTCAGCTTTTACCCAAAATTTTACAGTTCTAATTGCGCCTAATTTAGATGATTTTTTATCATTATTTTGTTGTTGTTTTAGTTGACAAAAACGGCGACGTATGTATTTCGATACTCCATGAGCCGGGCGACGATAAATTCGGTTACGAGAAAGCTTCGGAGAGGTGGTTACCAGTACACACAGTAGAAACTATTTTAATATCGGTTATTTCAATGTTAGCTGATCCGAACGATGAATCACCTGCCAATGTCGATGCTGCGGTACGTCCTTCTACAGGGTGTTAATTAATTGAGTGTCGATACTTTAGGATGTGAATATTTGGATGATTTTAAGAAGAAAAGTTTATATTAATATGTGTCCTAAACGTCTTAGTTTTCGAGCTAAAGGGTGTTACACTTTTAGAAAAAAAATAACTTTTATCATAATTTTCTTATTACTCCAATTATTCACATCCTGAAGTATCGGCAATCAATTAACACTCTGTATAGTGATCATATAATTATCATCGATTAAATAACTTAATGATGATATTTTTTAATTTGCAGAAAGAGTGGCGAGAGTCGTATTCAGAATTTAAAAGAAAAGTAGCAAGATGTGTCCGAAAGTCACAAGAACAAGAGGAATGTTAGTATAATGACTGTATTATAATTGAATTATAAACAATTTAATTATACATCGATTCGATTCTCGGACTGTTAAAATTTATCGCCGGTCTTTTGTATGTCATTTTATACACGGTTTTAAATAATAGTTACGAAAATATTGTACCGATAGGTTTTAATTACACCCGAATCGAATCATATTTCGAGTTTTTCGAAGGTTTTTTTTTTTTGATTATTTGACATATTTTTCCGTTTTTTTTTAATTGGTAATTTTTTGGAATTTTCAACGCTGCTCTGCTCTGTCCGGATCTCACTCAAGAGCGGAAAATTTCAATTTAATAAATAGTCTGTTTTATACGATTTTTGCATTTTTTTATTCGAATATTGGATCGATTTTTTTACGTAATTCATACTGGTTCCTATTACAACTGGAAGTATTTTTGTATGTTTATTTAATATTAATTTTCGTAGAGATGAGGATGGATAATTATTAATTTAGTAGGTGAATGTGCCTGTTTTGATATCACCTCCAAATTGTGATACTAAATTAAAAATTAACAAAAATGGAGTTGACATCAAAATCCCTTTTTGTATCCCCCGTAAAAAAAGGAGTCTTATGTAGTTGTAAAAATCAAAATAACTTTGGAAATTTAATAAAATATATTTTAAACGTGCGAAACTTCTGACAATTGCATTTTCTATCAAATTTGTGTAATAAATACTTCCAATTTTGTCCATTTACACTTTTTTTTAAGATTAAGTTGTATTATATAGAATACGTTAAGAGCTCGAACTGTGGATAAGTAATATTTTTTTTCAGAATCTACCAGGCTTCACGAGAAGTTTTTTTAATAATCGTAAGACAGTGAAATGTCAAAAAATACTTGTAACTGCTCCTAGACATGTAAATTTTACTGTAATGCTGTAGGTATCGTAATTTAAGTAAATTTTATTAAAAAACCCGGCCTGTTTCATTTCAATTAGCGCGCAGATTAGGTGTGAAAGTGACGAAAAAAAGCGGCGCATTCGCAGGTAAGTACCTGTTGAAAATGGGTCATCAGGTGAACGAGTGTGCCAAAAATATTTACAAAAAAAAAACTGGTAATATCGCTCAGTTGAACTCGACATTGTTATTTCTGTTTAGCCAGGCCTGGCCCCCTTTTAGTAGACAAACTTCGGGGAAAATCCAATTGCGTCGTTAAAGAGGAAAGTGTTATTCGAAAATCCAAGTTCTTACGCAGGAGAAGGTGCTGATACTAAATACTTATACCAAGAAATTCATTTTTATCGTAAAAGTAAACCATTACTTTCAAACGAAAATATACACCGGCATAGGTGCGTGTGTTTACTGTTTATTAAACATTTTTACGAACTCGGTAGAACTATTTCTGATTTAACTCTTCTGGTACAATTCTCTACAGGGTAGCCCATTTTAAACAGTCCAAATATGTGGAGAAATAACCCCTGAAATGTTCAGGAACTTTTGAACAAAGACTTTATTACTACATTGAAGCAAATGTATTTCACCTCGAGGAAAATATACTGCTCCACAAAAGTTAAGGAAGTTCACAAATATTGAGATTAATTTAAATATTTCAGGCTTTTTGATATCCAAATTTAGTATGAATTGTAGAGGAAGGGGCAAAAAATCCACTCAGATATGAGAAAAAACATTTAAACTCGCATATTTGAAAATTTGATAATCAATAAGACCTTTAAAATAATCGCAAAACTTCCTTAACTTTTGTGGAGCAGTTAGACTGCTTTCAATGAACCACCCTATATACTCTCTAGATGAAATTGTCTCTAAATTGTAATTAACATACAGAAGAGTACCATGAGCATTAATCTTAAGAGAAATTGTACTCGTAAATGTTTTCCGGGCGAGTGTAACAGCCTCAAAGTTCAACTTCCGAGCGATCCCGGGGCGTTGACGCGCCGTTCTTTTTACCGTCAGAATTCGAGTTTCGAACGTGAAAGTGACATATACTACATAATAGCGCAAAGTTACCGGAATGATTTGTTTGTTGGAGCGCGTCCAAACCATCGCCTCTCCGGCGTATGCCAATAACTTTGGCGAGAAAACTTCCACGAGCCCGTCGCGACATCGGCAGAAGAATAACGGGCTTTGTTTCGAAAACCGAACGGTTCCCTCGAAACGACTATATTTAGTTACCTCACGATGGCCAATCAAAACAACTAGTACATTAATTATCAACCAGGTAAAACAAAAATGTTGGAATGGAAATCCTTTTTGCACTATTTCTAGATCTTTAAGCGCAAATTGCATTTCGCGGTTCCCCAAAATCGTAGGGCCTATTTGAGCGTATATGTTCCACGAAAATATAATAGTGGAAATTCGCTTTTCGCGTTCTAAAAATACGCGCAAAGTGGGAGAAAAGGTATCAAGAACCCGAGACTCCTGTTGTATTTTCACACTGTACGATTCCAGTCGACAGACGCCGGGTCTAAATTATAAATAAATTAATATTAATGCGTTAATTCGGGCGTCGCGACGCTGCGCGGTGTAATTTACGCGCGGATTATCTACTTACGCACACGTTACTGTTGTGATGATAAGGGGAACTTACCCAGAGGATACTTGTACTTTAATTGGCAGATAGAGAGCGGTAAAATGAAGTGGTAAGTCCAAGTGAATGTGGTTATTCAACAGGTGGTTTATATTGGATTATTGAGTTGGATTTGCCTGGTTTCGAAATAGAAAATAATAGAATTAGATTCAGAACCTTTCGAAGCCTCAATATTACAGGTGTTTGACTACCAGAGTAGTGAAAGATAACATTAAATGTGGCCGTAAATCAAGCAAGTAAAAGTCTTTGGACGAAATAAGAAGTTCTTAGCGAGGGTTTTATTCAAATTACCCATCTGCATACCAACAAAATAGATATGCAACTACCCTACTACCCTTTATTCAAGCATATCAACATTATTAAAGCTTAAAAAAAATAATCCCTTAAGTAGCTTTTATTTATTGAAGGTAATTTGGTGTTCGTAAAGTACCTGTAATAAACAGCAATAATTCATACACTAATTTCAGCAACAGATTGGTAGAAATTGCGAAAACAATGGCATGCGAAGTATCAACAAACCGTTCAATTACATATTCACGGAGATTATTTTTAGTTGATTGTTTATTTTATTCACGTAGACATTTTTTTCATTACGAAGGCTACCCGCTAATAATATTATGATATGCAAGAAGCGAGCGTGTAAGGATTTTTAGGTAGAGTACGTTCACTTTTATCGAGCAAATGACGCCAGAATATTTTGATATTTTTCTTCCTCGTTCCCTTTTGATTTCAATTCAAAGAAACACAAACATTTATAACTCTGTTAAAATACCTATAGTTGTGTCTATATAGTTTAATAAAGTTGCTTTTTAATTCCTTCGAGGTGATCGGGATTAAAAATAACCGTTATATCAAACAGATCCAGATATATCTTCGGGTCTTTCGTAATTATCACGGAAATACATCTGAATTTTCATACGAATATAAACTCAGCTAACCCACCATTCGTCTTGTCAATGTTTACCAGGTGCATTTTGGATTGAAGAATCACTCGATTGCCAAAAAACAATTATTCACATGCAATTTCATTGCCGTTCGTACGAGATCTACAAAGTGTTTTAAAGTGCATTGATCATGTTAATGTTTACTAATTTTTTTTTTAATAATATTGATTAGACATCTTTAGTAGAGTATTTTTGTATTGATAAATACTCCAACAGAACAACAGAATAAAGTGCCCGTCAAAATGTGTTTTTTAAGAACCCGTATAAAATTTTAAGTGTTTTTAAAGTATGGAGGAAAATGCGCTTTTCAATGTCACTTTTTCCATTAAAAAACACAACGAAAACAAACAAACCCGCACCCATAATGATAAAACAGCGTTACAAAAGGTTAACAAGAAAACCACGAGAGTCAATATTTTTTATTTTCTACAATAGCCCAAAGGCAACAACAATCGAGCGAAAACCGTTAAGTGCGGAATTTTTGGCAAAAACAATTCCATTGCGTTCGAACGGAAAGCGAAAACGACGTCCATTTGCCGGATATTTTCCTCTGGGCATGTGGAAACAAAGCGTTTCCGCGTCCACCGTTCGAAACCGAGCAGTTAAAGCAATTTTAGATTTTCTGACCTACCTAAATGAAAAAATCCCACCGTTACAATTCGAGTTCCTTGGCACTCGGTGGATGTTCCGGGAACCTATCGGTTAGAGGCCAATTTTAGAGCCAATACTCTAATACCGGGGGTTTTTTCAAGGATGAAAATTAAGGGAGAAGTTTGATATTTGGTACCTTAAGTATTGAGAATTTTTTTGGGCTGTATTTATTTTTTGCTTTAACATCCCTTGTGATAGGAATTCATTAATTTGTATTTTTCGGACTCTATTTATTTTTTAACATCCCTTAATGATAGGAATTTATTTGTGTTTTATTTCGAGTCCGCAATGATACTGAACTCTATAGAAATCCTGGCAGAAATTCAAAAAAAATATATTTCTAACTAGATACTCAGAAAAACGTAATTTTTACAAACTTGCTGATGATATTTTTTACAATTCGGTTTGTGCAAGGTTAATTTATTTCGACCAAAACTGAAAATAGATTTTTTTTGGTTTCTATATAAGCACGAAAGTGTGCGGAAAATAAATAATTTTCGTGTAACATTCGTCCGCTCCCGTATTTATAAATAAATGTAAATCTGGATTTTGTTTATCAAATAAAAACGGGCATCTACTGTGATTCACCGAAAATGTTTATTGTTTTTAGGATCATAAAGTTGGTATCTAACCTGACAAATTCGCGGAAAATTGCATAAATCACGAATTTGATTTTCCCGAATGAAAATACACCTGTGTGTTGGTTACGTCCGGACTTTCCAATTCCTCGTTAATTCGACTGCAGTAATTAAATTCGACGTATAATTAAAATTTTATTCAGATCTTCATCCTATTTAATTTCGGATAAATTTAGATGGAATGCGGATAAAGTCCTAATACATTGTTGCGGTTTTCCTGTGTGTACTTTTATTACACCTCTGTTAAATCTCGTGTAAAACTGGTTGCCTAACTTACAGAAGAGATACGCAGGATTCGCTAAACTTGTAGTCGAATAAAAATAAAAATTTAATTGCTCAACATCACTTCGAAACAGAGATAACATAGCCGTTACAGTTAGATAAAAACATCCCACAATAATTAATAATATCTCAGTAATAATTGTTCATGGAACATCCCCGTTTATCAATCAACAATTAATAGTATATGATTTGACAATTACCGTTTTTTCGACTTGACGCATTCAAAATATTCAAAATTCCAGCATGTCAGTAACAAATTATCATTTCAAATAATCCCCATTCGACGCAAGAAAAGAATTACCACCGAAAATCGAAGATATAACGCAACAGAAATTCAAAAACCGGCGGGAAAAATCGACATTATTTCACGATTTGCTTTGCAGCCAACTTCATGTCACCACGAAAAAATGGCGTTCATATTGATTAACACCGCAATTAACTGTAAGAAACGTAAATTTTTGAGCTTTTTAAGAGATTTTATTGATACAAAGCGATGTTTTTAACAAGTATGCATGCTTATTTGTTTATCGTTTAGTTAATTTCACTGAATTAAACGCTTTTCGAGTTAATTTTTCGCACGAAACGTCAAAGCCACTTTTCGAATAATCCGCAATTTAATCTGCATGATATTAAGTTATGGTCGTTTCGAAACGATAATTTCTACTAGAGCTTATTAGTAGAATCAGTTTGGGCCGCATTAATTAGTTGTTACCGAACACCTCTAGGTGTATTTTTATTTTTACCTGTCAAGTAGGTCATTTTTGTTTTCTAAAATTATCTAAAAGCTATTTTCGGCGTTATAAACTTTCATAAACCTTCTCTCAAATATCTATCATTCCTATTCTATTCGTATTAAAGTTGTAATAAACTCATGACACTTTATATTATCTAATATTTAATTATAAAAAGAAATATCGTTGTTGCATGTCGTGTTCCTGCTGATAGTACTGATTGCAGAAGAAGATATTCTCGTTTAGTTTTTTTTGGTGGTTTTGTTAAATTTTATTCGAAAAAATCAATAATGTTCGGGCGTTTCATGTGAGGGTAGAAGGTCTTTTAAAATATTACGCATGCGACCTGCGGCCTACCTACACAACACAGTCAGCTGGTTTCTGATACTGTCTCAAACACTGTTGTCAAATTATATCGAAATTCCCATAAAATACCACAAATGCTAAACAATATATCAAATAAAATATTTGTGTGTCTGTACAAAATTTTTAAATTGGCATTTCTATCTGTCAAATTTTGACAGGTGCTATGTAACTAGTTTATATTAATAATCGATTGGATTTTAAAATTAATTGATATTTGTTTATTGCTTATTATTTAGAGTAAATTTATCTGGTAACATAATTATCACCATAAATTCATATTTTTATTAGTAGTTAGTAGTAGCGTAGTAAATTCCGATTTTTAACCAAATATATGACGTTGGCAACAATCGCTGTCATTTGTCACGCTCAAATTCAAAATTCAAAATCCACCTCAAAAATCCGCTCGTTTCGAAAAGAAAACTCGCCTACCGGACGAAAATCGTTCGAAACGCGCTCGAAATCTCTTTCCCTCGATTTTCACGCCCACGTCGAGCTTCGCATTTAGATAAGATCCCAGTGGCACGGGAAAAGTAACGATTGCCGAACCGTCAACGCCGCCTTTGACCGTTTTTAGGCAATTCCAATTACAACGCTCGAGACGTGCAGCGTTTGATTAAAAAAGAATTGATTCGATTTCGTTTTCCGCGCGATGCCCATTAGTATTAACGCGTCGAAAATGTCGTTTTCAGGCCAAAGAAGTTGAGCTGGGAAGGTCACTTGGACTCGACCGATCAAAACAATAATATCACAATGACATCCGAGGATTTACTCCAACCGGGACATGTAGTGAAGGAACGATGGAAGGTAAGAGTTTTTACTATTTCATAGCCAACCTCAGGACTAAAACGTCAGGTCGGCAAACTGGTCAAATACGAACAAATTTAATCCGCGATTAAATTCAATTTTTTTTAAGGTGGTGAAAAAAATCGGTGGTGGTGGATTCGGGGAGATTTACGAAGGCCTAGATTTGATAACGCGCGAGCAAGTGGCCCTCAAAGTGGAATCGGCCCGGCAACCCAAGCAAGTTTTGAAAATGGAAGTGGCCGTTTTGAAGAAACTGCAAGGAAAGGAGCACATTTGCAGGTGCGTATCTTAGGTGCATAATAATATACAACATAGTCAGTTATATCAGTTGAACAAAGAAAGATTATTACAATAATAAATGTTAGAGTGAGAAAAGTTGCAATCTCGGCTCAACATCACTCCTACTTTTTTCTTTATAAGTGTCCAATGGAAGTTGTCTTTGTTGCACCCGTGTATTGCAAACTAAAAAGAATCAATCCGTGTGTTGCGCCTCATTGTGGCTCGACGAGATGGATCAATTTCATAAATTCATTAGCATAACAGGTGTTTTGTTGTTATTTTGTAGTTGTAGTTGAAAGCAACGCGACCTTGGTACGTTAAGATACAGAAATAGCGTGATTAGCTCCTATATACACGTTTGTTTTAATTATATTTATCGTGCGAGTACGAGCGCAAAGGTGTATAGGTACTCGCTTTTGACCCCTTTGTAATGATTCCCTGGATGAATGTAAATTAATCTAAATGTAAATATTACCAATTTCGTTAGGCATTTATTCGTTAATGTGAATTATATTGTAGACAATTTTATGAGTTGAACAAAGAAGGATTGTAATACTCAAACTTAAAACAACTGGATTGGGGTTCATCAATGATGATGTTCTCTTAAAATGTTTTCAGATTTTTTTACCTGATGGATGATTTAAAAAATTATTAGTTCATTTCATAGGTAATTTTATTTTAAAACTTTTTTATGCTTTTTGTTTTTTTTTAAATTCTTTATCATTTTGAGGTAAAACGCTAACAAATAAAGTCGATAACTCAAAAGTTGGCTGCAATAAGCGTCAAACAACGGTTCTTATGCGGGACACCCTGTATATACAACATTTTCCCGAATCCTTAAAATTCGACTAATTTTCCATATTAATTTTATTTGCAGATTTATTGGCTGTGGCAGAAACGACAGGTTTAATTACGTCGTGATGCAACTTCAGGGACGGAATTTGGCGGAGTTGAGAAGGGCCCAGCCGAGGGCCGCCTTCAGTCTATCCACTACCTTACGTTTAGGTCTACAAATACTTAGGGCCATCGAAAGTATACATTCTGTCGGGTTTTTACATCGTGATATTAAACCTGTAAGTATAAACTTTGAAACGATTAGTGTCCTTTTAGCATGCGATCCGTTCGATTGAGACGTGATTTACGTATTAAATTTAAATTTAAGATCGATATTTCGTCGTCGTATCATTACCGAAACTGGTACCAATTTGATTTTTTTTAGAAATGACAATTATACCTCGAATGAAATTTCATTGCCAATGTTCAATGTAATCCCGTTCGCGTTTACTACACGAAAAAAATCGACCCGCTCGCAAATTGAATTAATTTTTTTACATTCCGACGATAAAAATCTTAATCTAAACGGTCTTTAAGGGTGCGTGTCTCCCTATAATTATGTCGGCAAATAGAAAGGCGCGTTCGCGATATTTTCGTTGAATACTATGACGTTATTGTGTGTACCAAACATTTTTTGTTCTATCACGAATTTCAATTAACGCCCCGATTGTTTGTTGCAGAGTAATTTTTCAATGGGTAGATTACCCTATAACTGTAGAAAAGTGTACATGCTAGATTTCGGTCTCGCTCGACAATACACAACGGCGACGGGCGAAGTGAGAGCCGCTAGGGCTGCGGCGGGTTTCCGGGGCACCGTGCGCTATGCCAGCATCAATGCACACAAAAACAGAGGTAGAGAGTTGCCAATTAAAAATAACTTACACGGGGTTGATTGATTTTTTTTCTGTCGTAGAAATGGGCAGACACGACGATTTGTGGAGCTTGTTCTACATGCTGGTGGAATTCGTAAACGGCCAGCTGCCTTGGAGGAAGGTCAAAGACAAGGAACAAGTCGGATTGATGAAGGAGAAGTACGATCACCGGTTGCTTTTGAAACACTTACCGTCCGATTTGAAACAATTCCTCGATCACATACAGAGCCTTGAGTACGCCGACAAACCCGATTACCAGGTAAACGATCTATCATCATCATAATCGAAAAGTTATTACAAAAATACTGTTGCAGATGTTGATATCTCTGTTCGAGCGGTGTATGAAACGAAGAGGCGTAAAGGAATCCGATCCCTACGATTGGGAGAAACCCGCGCAGACCGACAACCAAGCGGCTTCTCAGACGGTTTCGACCGCCACCCAACCGGCCCTCGCCCCGACGACGGTGCCTCGACACACGAGACATACAACCACAACGGATAATAACCAAGAAAACATCGAACCTACCGACAACAAAGAGGTACGCCGCCTCACCTATTAAATGTACCAATAACGTTGGCATTTGTATTTATTTACAGGCACAATTGGATGCCAGAAGGCGTATCGAAACCGAAAACACAGCTCCTCTAGTCACGGATATGCAAATAAATCCCATTCGAGCTACGGTCGACAAGAACTGCAACGCCACCGCCGTCGATCAAACCCAAAGTAAACCGCCTACATCCCTCTACTCTACTCTACTAATCTAATAAAATGTATCTCGTCGACAGATCGCAAACGCCGGGCCACCTCTCACCTGGACCAGCCGCCCGACCGATTGGACAACGAAGCCGTCGCCTCGGCCAAATCGACGTCGGAGGCCGCCAAGCCGGCGCCGTTGCGCAAGAGCCAGTCGGGCGTCGCGACGCTGGGTAGATTGCGCGTGGTGACGCCGGCCGCGGCGCCGCCGCAGACGGGCAGTCTGGTCGATTCGCCGGCGACGCCCGAGCAGGAGAGGCCGCGGAGACGGCAGCCGTCGGCGGCGAGGAGCTCGCGCTCCGGCTTGAGGGATCAGAGCCTGACGCAATTCGCCGTTATGGACGACGAGAACGTTAGTCAGCAGGTAAGCGATTGGATTTTTTGTTGCGTTTCCGTCTTGGGACACTGTAAAAGAGCTGGTCAGATGGCTCAGTGGCCTTGTACTTGGTTAGTACTTGGTTACCGTTCAGTGGAAGGATCCTCCAGGTCCACTCAGCCCTGTACTAATTGAGGACCTGGGGTAAAAAATAGGCAGTTCTGGCCATATTACCTTGCATCTTGGAGTAGCGTCAGGTACACCTGCCTTAAACTACAAGTTTCTTTAAATTCTCGCCATTTTACTCTTTGTAAAACTAGTAAAACAATTTTTCTGAAACATATGCCATAATTCTCTGCGAAAATTTCTAGGATAAGAACGAATGTAGTGGCAGTTTGGAATCTAAAGTAATGATAAAAAGAACAGAAGACCTAATTTCAATGAACAAAATATTAATTTGAAAAGTTAGGTAAGAACAGTGTAAAAAACACCACGGTTAAAACAGTGTAAAAACGACAAGAGGTGGTTCACGACAATTCAATTTTCACTAAACATTTTCATTATTATTTTTACACTGTTACGACCATCCCCGAGTATTTTACACTGTTGTTAATCTAAATTTTTCCCGTCCCATTCTTAACGAAAACAACCGCCAAATTACTAAAAAAATGTTTACTACAGATGACGAGAGGCGGCGCTTTAACGCTAGCCAGCCAATGGAAATCCCAATTCGACGACAGCGAAGAGACGACGGATAACGAATGGAAGCCGGAGAGTCCCGAACATCGCGGCACGCTGGCCACGTCGGAGGCGGCGCCCGCCGCCCTGCCTCCCATCCTCAGCAGAATAAGCGAGGATTCGCGCGCTAGCCACAAACGGTACATCAATATCGCCGGCATCGAGGAATATCCAGAACTAGTCGGTAAGCCGAACACGAATGAATAATCATTCCTCGTTTGTATACCTACTTCTTTGGTTCCATTAATAAATCGCATGGTGCAAACAAACCAAAGAAGTAGGAACGAAGAAATGATTACCTTAACTTTTGCATCTGTACTCGATATATTTTTTGTGGTGAATTTTCAGGCGGTTTACCACGCGCTTGGTCCACCCCCAGCCTGGGCCCGTACGTTCGATCGGCGTTGAAGCCGCCGCTGTTGCAACAGGCCGCCTTCGACGATCTCGTTTTCAAAGTGGACGTGATGCGAAACGTCGCTTCCAAGCATCTGCTCGCCGACAACGATGAGCAACGCCAATCGAAGTTGACCGATTCGCACCGATGCAATAGCCTGCCGGTGATCAACCTGCCCGACAAAGAGGCCAGGAACGGCGACGACGAAGGTTTACAGGAGGTATACACGATCTTTCTTCTGTTATTTTCTTATTCTTTTACGAATGAGTAGGGCTGCGTGCCTGATTTGTTACTCCTCTCTGGTCTGGCCTCTGGTCATTCTCCCGTCCTTTCGGTCCTAGTTTTCCAGTTCTCGTCCATTCTCTCTAGGTGCTTTTTCCCTTTTCTACATTCTCCTTCCCTTCTCTAGGTGCTCCTTTCCTTTTCCACTTGCTCTTTCCCTTCTCTTTGTGCTCCTTTCCTTCTCCACTTCGTTCGTCCCGTGCTCCTACTATCTAATGTACTAAAAAGGCTGTACATATTCCTTCGAGAGAGTCGCATTAAGTTTGTAATTGTGATTTGTACATTTAGGTGGCTGGTAAATTGGAAATCCGAGTAGTGCCAAAGGAGAAGGCGACGAGGCCGCAGAATTTGTCAACGAAGCCGCCCGTTCAGAACGGTCATTCGGAGGCGGCGTCGGAGCAGAACAACGACGGGCGTCGCGCTAAGGATTCGCCTCAGAAACCGAAGGTGGAGAGAACGAAGAGCATACTGAAGCAAAGCAGCAAAGAGAAGGCGGAATCTCTGGAGCTGCCTAGTCCTAAGAAAGATAACATCAGTTTCGCGCCGGAGCTAATACACAAAGGTAATCATTACGCAGTAGCTATTGTTATATAGGTATTAGATTAAGCACTAATTTTCCGTCTACTAGAATGAAATTCATACCTACAGGTGTTAATTAATTTAGCGTTTTTTTCTTTTATTTTGTAGACTTTGGAACTAATCTCACAAAGCAAGATAAATTTTGCAATTTTATGTAAAGCCAATTATTTTTTTTATAAAGTTTTTCTTGTACTATACGCTTTTTTTTATTTTAACAATTCCGCTTCTACTAATACTTGCACCTCAAACTTAAATTTCTCGTTATTATTTTATGTAAAATACGTGTGGATTTTAGGTAAACAAGACGCGGAATCGACGAATAAAGTTTCATCGGAAGTGCAAACTACAGAAACCAATAGAGAAGGTGCAGACGACGCGCAGAAATCGATTCCCATAGACAACACGTCGGGAAATAATGCTGTCGGTGACAAGAAAGCGGCGACTAAAGATCTCGGTAAATCATAAATGAAATTGAAAACCATTCATTACACCTGCATTGTTTGTAGGAAGCGGAATTCCCGCGAAAAAGGCCGGCGAAACGGAATCGAGCAGTACGGACAGCGATCAAAAATTAAGAGACAAAGACAATTCCGAAGAGAAGAAGCGCAATAGAAAATCCACCGTTAATTTCGAACAAGTCGACGCGCTGTATCGAAGTAATTCGCAAAAGGCTATTTCGAAGCCAATCGAGGCTGTGAAAAACCATTTACCGCAGTAAGCATCAAATTATATACAGGGTGTTAGCGTCAGACCCTTTATTTACACACATACTGCTATTATTATTATTTTTAATTAGTTTATTTGTCCCTAAATATTGTTTTATTTGGTTTTGTTTACGTTTATTTTTAGTAGTTTGGTGGACTCAAAGTCCGATAGCAGTTCGATCACCAAAGGTGAAGGTGATAACCAGATAATATCGGAATGTAAAAATAATAGACTGAGGTGTTCGGGATGTATCGACTTGGGTACCAACCCCAACGTTACATTCGTCTCCAGTAGTAGCATTCCAGAATTAAGGTACATGAGAAAAATTCTAAGTTTCCTTATCGCCCCGCGAATCGATTGATTGCTACAAAATATCTCACACTGTTCCATTTTTGTTGTTGTAGAGAAAAGCGATCTATCGCTAACGGTCTCAGCCCCGGCATGGACGAACAATCCGAATACTACGATGCCACCGAGAATCCTCTGCTGAAGGACAAGCGACAGGATCAGGACGACGAGGACAGCGGCGTGGATAATGCTAGTCAAATTTTACGAGAAACCTCGGTATGTTTTGTCGTACTTTTCTAATGGCCGGTCGTACCATCGCAATCGATGTGTGTACAAAGTAAATACTTAAGTTTGTACGATTTAAAATGACATTATATGACACAAATAGTAGAATTTACGTCATTAAAATTACGTCATTGTCATTTTAAAATGTACCAACTTTACCTTCCTTATTTATCAAATTTGTCGATTATACAGGGTGTCCCGCATAAGAACTGATTCAGAGCAGTGTCATGCAGGAGGAGCTTAAAATATGAGCCTGTGTCGGTTCTTATGTGGGACATTCTGTATAATAACATGCCGTTAACCTGAGAGTTCTAATTAATAGCGAAGCAAGTTTTATTTACTGATTTACTAAAGCTGTTAGTGCGATGTACGGCCGGTTGTTGGCGTGTGATGAACGTTTTAACGAAGGGATTTGAATTGTTATAATCGATGTACTTAATGTGGGCTAATATTATTGTAAATGTTTGTGTATCTAATGTGTGAGATATAAAAATTTTTGTTATAGGACCAAAGCCTTGGCCAACAAAAAGTTGCCAGACAAGCTCCCGTAGCCAAAATTAAGCGAATTTGATCTGCTTTTGTCGGTTCGTTTGGAAACGGCCAAGTATGTTTCTGAAATTTCTGAAAGCGCTAACATCAATTTTATTTTACGTGGAAAACACACACACTGCTTACAGCAAAATTTATTAGAGTTTCAGTTTCTGTCTTCATCTTCTTTTTATTTGCATTTTATTTCATTTTATTTGCGACAAAAGTATGTTTTTTTTTTGTGCGGCATATGGTACTTATTTTTACTTCACATTTCGATTTGTTCCCTTTAATAATACTGGTATAATTTGTGTACCGATTTTATTAACCTGATAAGAAATTTATCAGTTATTCCACCACTATTCTAATAAATCCTGTACGGTATACGCTTAGGCAAATATCTCTAATACGATTTGAAAAAAAAATCGAATAATTGTTCCCTTAATTTTGGCACAATGTCAGGTATAAAACAAGTAACAACATTTGCCGCATCCAACCCCTACGCCCGCCCTCACGTCCCCCCATTTTACCCGCATTTCCGTTTTTTTAGCCGTTATTATCGAGCGAAAAAAAACTTTTTGGCCTGCTAGACATCATAAAGAGAACATTTAGTTTGCTTTGCGGCGCGTTGCGCGAACGACGGCCGCCCTGAGCCCTAAAGCGCCCGCCCCCCGCCCTCCGTCCCGGCATCGAATTTGTATTCGCCTAACGTTGCAGGTGAGCCCCTCCGTCGACGGGCGATCGTCGAAGATCCCGGTGGCCGTGACCGGCCAGCGATTGGCCAAGTGCATGTCGTGGTCGGGCGATCTGACGCCCGGCCTGCGACGCCGACGCCAGGCCGACAAGTACGTCACGGATCCCAGCCAGCTTAAGTTGAGGTTCAAGAGGCATTCGAGCAGCGGTGAGTCTCGGTGAACTGTTTTGCGTTGTTGTCTTCGAAAACGCGCCCGCCTCTTAGTTCTATACAGATTTCTCCATTTTTCAATGCAACATAGGCTGTGGGTGCAACAAAGACAACTTCAATTAGACACTTATAAAGGAAAAAGAAAGAGTGACATTATGTCTTTTTTTATGCAACTTTTCACTCTGACAACTGTTATTTTAATAATCTTTCTTTGTTCCACTCATAGAAATGACCATGTTGCAATCGGAAATGGAGCAAGGTGTATGTAATTGTTCGTTCTATTTAATGGACGTTAGTGAAGCTTGGAATTTATGCACATTATGCGAGATGTTTTCCTAAAATATGCTGAAAATATGCAAGCGACTAAAGGTTTATGCATATCATTGTCTATGCGTAAAATAGGTATTAAATAGACCTGTATTTCATTATTTTTACTCTTATTTTTCGCTATTTTGTTGAAATTGGCATCAATTTGTTCATTTTTTTATGAAAATTTTAAATATTCTACCGTTTGTTTTATTATTTTTATAAAATTTACATCAATTTGCTAATTTTTTATGAAAATTATAAGTTTTTCACTATCATTCGATCTCATTTTAGCTATTTTTTGAAATTTACATAAATTTTTACTTTTTCAATAAAATTTGCATCAATTTGCTCTTTTTTCTAAAAATTTTACTTTTTTACCTAAAAATCTTGACTTTTTCCCTATTTTTATGAAATTTGCCTGGTTTTTTCATTTTTTATAAAGATTTAAAATTTTTTACTCTCATTCACTCTCTTTTTCACTACTTTTATAAAATTTGCATCAATTTTTTTATGAAAATTTCACATTTTTCACTTTTATGCACTTCTTTTCGCTATTTTTATGAAAGTTGCATCAATTTGCTCGTTTTTTATGAAAATTTCAAATTTTTCACTCTCATTCACTATCTTTTTCCCTATTTTTATGAAATTTGCTTTAATTTTCTCATTTTTTATAAACATTTCAAATTTTTCACTCTCAATTACCATCTTTTCGCTATTTTATAAAATTTGCAGTATTCAAAAATTTTCAAATTAAAAAAAACTCATTTTATGAAAATTAAAAATTATTGAAATTAAATATATGAAATCCTCATTTTTGGTAATAACACATTTCATTATTCCATTTTTACATATTAGCAAAATATGCAATAATTGTTCAGCACAATATTCAAAAATCCTCAAATATTCAAAATGTGCAAAACATGCAGAAAGGGTTCAACACATCTAAAAATGACTCAAAATATTATGCAATTGAATTAAAAAATAAGCAGTTTGTGCATATAACCCGAGCTTTAGACATTACTATCGAGCATTAGAGATGGGCGTTTCGGTATATAGTAACCGTTACTAATATTTTTAATGCGAGTTTTCCGTTGCAGGGCTTCGGGTGAGAGGCATCTCGACGTGTCTGATCGACGCGCCGGAAAGTTCGCCGGAATCGTCGGAGGGGCCGCCGCCGCCGCCCGACGGCGACCCGCCGTCCGAGTCGCAGGTGCGCTGCCGCCGCTTCAGGCCCGTCACATAGCCGCCCCGGTGGCGGCGGAGCGCCGAGCGCCGGACATAGATTCTTTTATGATTTTCAAATTGATTTATTGTGATTCGGGGGATATTGAGAGTTTTCCCGGCTTGTTTTCAATTGGGAGAAATTCGTCTCGCCCGGCCCCAAAACCGTTCTATCTGTCGCCTCGTTGCGAGTTATTTGGCTGGAAAACTATTTGTACTTGTCCGATTTGTGCTCTTCTATATTTAGAACTAAAGAAACGCAATATTGGATCACCCTGTATAGTACAGCGATACTCATTCGTTTTGATGATATATTAGGACTGCGACGAGCTACTTTTGTATATAAACTATAAACTATTCCAAATATTCAATCACATAGAGGCTACTAAAACTAATCAAATGATGTAAAATTTCGAATCTATCAAAAAGTCAGTGAGTTTCGAAAGCGGGCTTTTAATTGCTTGATAGTTTGTAGGCTACAATCGCGTGCACATTGTCCCTTAGCTTGGATTTGAAGTTTATTTTTTCCGCCAAATGTAAGGCGAGATAGAACAGTTTTCGCGCACTAGCTTTATCGTAAAATAATATTATTAAATAACAAATTTCGAAGATATTTAAGATTACTAGAAAGTGTCTTGGGCGTCGAAGACACTGTGGTAATATTGTGAAATGTGATTTTTCTCTGAAAATTTAGTCGCGCTATTTATGAGCGGTGGTGCATCATTTTTTTTAATTGTAACTTGTTTTTTTAACTGTCCTTTTTTTTAAATTATTGTTGATTCGACGAATTGTTAGCGATTTCAACAAATTATGCACGATGAATCGAATCATTTTTAACCTTATACATTCGACATTTTTTTATTATCACCGATCATATTAAATTAATGCTATTTCAAGCCGTTCAACGGCTTAAATTTAGTGATTGTTTATCATGCAAATTATACACGCAACATTTAGTTTCATCGTGTTGTTTTTTGTTGATTTCTTTTGTCGAAATATTTTGCTATGCTGAATAAAGAGTAAAATATTCTAGTCACAAGTACTGTTATTTTTTTAAACTGGTACTTGATGAATTTCTAGTCAAGTAGTTCTGTACGAGAAGAAAAATAATAAGAAAATTAAAAATACTCTGTAAAATATATTGATATTGCAAAATACTAGTTATTACAAGTCGTACTTGTTGATAATTTCTAGACTGCTGATGAAATTATTGAAAAAAAAATGTTCGTTCGATCTACTTTTTTCATGTAATAATTCTTGAGTTCTACGATTACATTATAGTGCATTATAAGACGATTATAGTTATAAATTGAATCAAATAAAAATCTTTTATTTATGAATATTGTCGAGTTTAAGTCTTACTTGAAATTTCATCGTCCATCTTATTATTTTCTCTTATTCATTTGTACGTTTTAGAGTGGAATTTTAATTTACCTGAAATTTGATTTTATCCAAATAAACATTGTAACAAAATTTTATTTTTAGCCTATACAATGAAAACTCTTACTAAAAGCGAAGTAAGATAATTCGCCAGTCTTAGTACAAGTTTCTCCAAACAAAACATTCTTCCTTTCTCATAATTTCAGGTCGACTTTGATCGATTTTATGTCATCTGCAGAAAGATTTTTTAGCGGTGGTCTGCAAATTCCGAAATGAATTGGAGAAATCAGATTCATTGCTGTCTTCACAGAGGGTATCCAGTATCCTAAAATAATTTGAAAAAATCATGTGAGTATTTTTTAATAACCTTAAACTCCTATGTACTTACCAAAATTGGTTATAGTAGTAAAATTAGCGTTTAATTGTTTCTGTAACTTCTTCGCTTCCGCAGTTTTCGATTCTTTTGCTACTTTTATCAAAGTAGTCACTTGCTGTGGGTAAATATTGGCTGTTACTAACAAAGTTGACTCGAATCCTACAGAAATAGCCACATTCACTAGCTAGAAAAATTACAAAATAATACCTATTGAACACAAAATTGAATATATTTACCGAATCGTCTCCGAAAAAAACCGCATATTTTTCATTGCTAGCTTCTAAAACAGCCACTCCATCATCTACATCAGACGTATATTCTAACCCACAAAACGTTGGAATATCACTTGCTAAATGACTCAAAAATCGAGCCATATTTACTAAAAATAAAACTTCAGTGAAATACAATCGTAACCGGGCAACACTTACAATTCACTCCGCTCATTCCAGGATTGTGGCTGTACAACAGCGGCGTCTTCGGGGCAGCCTCTCCGACAATCTTTAAATAATCAAACAAATCTTCCTCTGTAGCGGGTTTAAAATAAAGTTCTGGTATACACAACAATGAATCCACTCCTATACTCTCCGCATGCTTCGCTAAATCTAATACGTCTGGTAAAGGACACGCTCCCACTTGCACCATTACATGCATTTTCAACGGTTTAGCTACGTTTATCCATTCTTCTAATACTAATTTCCTTTCTGGTACAGACATCGACATGCCTTCTCCCACAGCGCTGTTAACTTGAAATGAAGAAGTTATAATCCTCGTGAGAGGAATTAGTTATAGAATATTTGACTTACCTAGAATTCCTTTAATTCCATTATCGAAGAGGTATTGTGCGTAGTTTGCGATTAGTTCTTCTTTTAGTGATCTACAAATGAAAGCTTGATAGAAGAAGAGACAGATTAGTTTTTTTAATACTTACAAGTCTTCTCTAAATGGAGTAAATACTGGTACGCAGAGGCCTCGATACGTGAATTTTACCTTTAAAATGCGCTTAAATTATTGTAATTGGGGTAAAAAATGTTTTTCTTACTTTCGGTTCCGGTTCATCGGGATCTATGTAAACTTCTATAAATTCGGATGCCTACAATGTATCGTGTAAAATATTCTGTATAAGTTAAGTTCGTTTACTTACTTCCATATCATCAGATGAGACATCGTCCTCATCTTCGCTTTTGATTTCTTTCTTTATGCCAGTCCTACCGTCTTTCTTTCTCTTCAATCTCGAATAATCTGGATCCTAAAATAAGTAATTTTTAACCCTTTCTGTTCTAACTTTGTCCTCTATTACAAACCTCGATCTTTTCTAAGGGATGATTGTGTTTGGTATTCATGGCAACAATTTGTAGAGCTACCCCCGAGTTGATTAGTTTTATTCTAAAATAAGCTGGACACTCCGTTTTAGGACTGCAAAATATTCGATGAGATAAAATGTCAAGAGATGAAATATCACGAAATTTACATTTTGATTGTTCTCATTTTCCTCTTCCTATTGTGCTCTTTGATTTTGTGCGAACGCCCGAAAACGCAAATCAGCTTCAATTCGGAATAAACGAAGCTTTCCTTTGCTGTAGCGAATTCGTTAGTTATCAGTCTGGAGTCTTTAGTGGTAAATTTGGTGTTCGTAACCTCGCAGTATTCGCTTAATTTTTGCATGAGCTCGTTATAACTCTTGAAACAAGAACCTATTTCAAAAGCATCCATAATTCTTTAGAAATTTAAATTACATTCGAGGAATAAACATTAAGACAAAAACCCAAAAAGTAAGGTTAAGTTTATTTTGACTTTGACAGCTCATGTCACATGAACTACTGCGATTGAATTAGGTCAAATAAAACTATGTCAGATGAAGAAGAAAATAACCTAACTTTGTTGTTACGTGTCATAATTGTTATTTTGAAATTTATTTTTATATTAATGTTGATAAAATCAGAAATTTATTTACTTTCAATGCGAGCCATGATTTTTGATGAAATATGAAGTTGAAAATGGGCTATCAGATGTATATTTTATTAGCAATTTGCGTGAGTATGGGTCATTTTGTCGCATCTTCCGAAGATACCAATGAAAAAACCGACAAAACAGCGAAAGAAGGCGACGCAAAAGCACTTCCTGGAAGCGTTAAAAAGGATTTAAAAGAACCGAATGCGACTGTGACTAATAAAACGACCAATAGCACGAAATCCACCGTGAAACCCAAAGAAATTGATAAAGATAAATTACCGGAAAACGGTTCGGTACAAATTGAATCCGGCGCTGTGATTAGAGGAGTACTAGTTTTAATCGGAATTAGCATGGTATTTTTTGTATATTTAGGATGTAAAACTTACAGGTACCATAATAGCATATTTATTAACAAATATATTTAAACTTATTCTTTTTAGGAGAAGGAAAATGAATGTAATGGTGCGAAAGTATGGTGTGAGAACGAGAAGGTCTGATCTCGAAATGAGGCCACTTCCCCTCGATGATGATGAAGATGACGAAACCGTTTTCGATGTAGGAAATATTAATAAAAACTAATTTCGAATTTGCAATAAAATGTGAGGAATAGAGGGAAGCGGTTTTGTAAGTAAATATTTTTATATTTTACATTCTAAAAACTCTATTCATTACATTTTTATATAAATTAACTGTTTGGAATGCTTATTTAATCCACTAAAGACTGCCGATTGGGTGCAATATATTTTTTTAATACAACTAACATGATAAATTTTCTAAAATGTATCAATTCTAGTTCTCTAAATCAATCGTTTTGTTATGTTTGAAGGAGCGTAATGACACACATCTTCCAGTTAAAACTTTATCCTTAAATAATATAATAAACTACTCGAAGCTACTGGCTATTTTCTTGAGAACCTTGATACACGATTTCTAAAGCTGTAGTTACAGTGCGTACGTCCCCCTCGATGGCTTTGGCCCAATTTTCCACGTCTCCTAACTCCTTCAAGGCGCTGCTGAATTGCTCGACCAAATTCAACCACTGTTGGGTTTGCTTCGAAAAATTAGTCGCGCTGCTGTGCAATTGCTTCGCTTCGGCGTCCAGTTTCTTTTGATTTAAATACGCTTGCGCTACGCCTACATTTAGATGATCCACCAAAGCTTGAGTCAAATCGTTCGCTGCGCTGCAGGCTTCTTTACGTTTCGCTTCTTGAATTTCTTTCTTCAAAGTCTGCTTGACTTGGTGCTCTTTCACCATCGATGATAACATGTTTTGGTATTGGAACGCACTTTATTGGTATTTAAGAAGTTGTATTGAAATAACGGATTGTTAGGAATGTAAATTTACTGGAAGGTTTCGTTTGTTTATTTTTATTCAAGTTCAAGTGTTTTTTAATTTTTCTGACTTACGTTTGCTGTCAAGTTATATGTCAAAATATTTTATGATTCTTCTTTTTTTTTATTAAAAATTGACAGTTAATCAACAAATGACATTGACACATGTCAAAGTCAAATTATCTAATTTTTGAAAATTTAAAAACTATTTTGAACTGATAGTTGAAGAATTACTTGTTTAAGGAAAGTTTGAGATGAAATTATAAGTTTTATGGCACATTTACAAATTTCAGAAGACTTTGTTCCTGCTCCCTTCATCAGGTAAAAATTAACAGAACACAGTAATACGCATAAAATCAATTTTGTTTACCAATTTTCGTCACACAATTTAAATTAAAACTAGTTCACAATTGGAATGTTTCCACCATAAACTACTCAACCTTTATTAATTAAACCTGCTAATTCCTTCATAACGTCCAATTGCTCGTGCATGTAAACCTTGGTCTCCCAAAGCATTTTGCAAAGTTTCTCGTTCGATTTCTCGTCCATAACGACTTCCTCGGACATTTCGGGCGAGAACCTGAAGTAGGGCACTTGTATGGCCGCGCACCAGGCTCGAGCCCTGTCTATATGCCGGCCTTCGCTGGTTGTCGCCTGCAGCCAACAAACAATATGCATCCGTTCGATCAACCATCGGATTAATCACCAACCTGATCGAGTAGAATCGTGCCCAGGAACGATATACCGCTCACGAGTTTCACTCCGTCCCATATACTCGCCGGTCTGACGACATCTACCACTTTTACGTTTGCCACGCGCACCAAACCGGTCCCCAAACTAACCACGACAGTGACCGGCCGGGCTTCCTTTTTCCTGCCTTTGGATTTCAGGGCGGCGGTGTGCTCTTGAATTTCGGTCAGCGCGTCCAAAGTCGGGTTGTTTGCTATCAGACCGCCGTCTAGGTATCTACCGAAGGCTCTGAATCGAAATATTTATGTATATGACTTTAATCAATCGATTAAGGGTTACCTGAAGTAAGTGGGAGCCGCTCCTGTGGCTCTGCTTACTTTCCAAACGATCTGCTCGTCTGAGCGTCGCGTTAATTCATCAGTGGAATCCCTTAAAATGTCAATTGCGCTCTCGTAAGTCCTGAATAATTGCAACTGTATGGGTTTTCTGTCGGCTAAAGCTCCTAAAAACGAGTAGTTTTAGACAATTACAATACATAAGAGTGCACTACCTGTTATCATTATTCGGGGTTTTTTTATATCGGCCATGTGGGTATCCGTTCCGAATATACCCTTCAGTATATCTTCCAGATTTTTGCTCGAATAAGGCCGAGTACCGACGAACGCCTTGTCTTTTAAACGGAAATACAAGCAGAGGCATTCTTTCAACGTTTTCCCCGTGGCTATCGCTAGAAATATTTATTTAGTTTTATCAATTTTAGTGCGTATTAACGTTAAAAGAACCTACCTAACGCTAAAACGCCGCCAGTGCTTGTTCCAGCCATCCAATCGAAACTGTCCTGTATCGGCTTGCCTATAACTTTTTCGAGTTCTATCAACGTTTGTATGTGAACCAATCCTCTGATTCCTCCTCCGTCTAAACACAACAACCGCCCGCCGGTTTTAGTTTTTCTAGTTAGTTTTATCGCTCTCTTGGTGGTTTCATAAAGCATGGAATTGATGATATCTTGATCGGTGGTGGTCGTGGCGCGTTTGGCGTTCGCTTTACCATCGTTTGTACCATTCGGAGAGCAACCTTCTGTACATTTTTCCGTTTTACGTGAGCACCTCTTCGCCCCGACAGCTGCTAAATAATGCAGTAGTTTCGGATCATGTGCTAAAATAGGTTGCTAATAAGTGAAGTATTAGATTTGGTTGCAATTCTACCTGGTGTTATTAGATGTCTAGGTGTTTCTCCGTAATCGTTCGGAGCATCCAAATCCACACCAAACGCGATTAGAGCTTGAAGTGCTGGTGGATTGTCGTTTATAACAGCTAAATGTATCGGTCTGTTACCATCTTTATCGCCTAAATTCCCATTAGCGTCGTGTATCAACAGAGTAAACAGGCACTCCATTCTGAAAAAATTTCACCATCAAATACTCCCAGAACTAAACGAAAGGCCTTCGTTCTACCTATCGCTTTCTATCATCACGTGCATGGCGGTTTTCCGTTCGAAATTCACCGCGTTCACGTCGCATTCGGCTTCGACCAGCGCCTCGATCACCCCCTTGGAATTGGCCCAATGCAGGGGCGCGCCGCCCGTCTTGGCGTCGTCCGCGTAAAACTCCTTGTGGTCCTCTCGGAGGTAATCGCAGACGGTGTCCGGCCGGTCGAGGTGGCGGCTGCGCGCCGCCGCGGCGTCGACGTCGGCGCCGGCCAGCAGCAGGGCTCGCACGCAGTCGAGCTTGTCGGCCAGGCAAGCCAGGTGGAGGGGCGTGCAGCCGGTGCGGTTGCGGCCGTTCACCAGCTCCCTCGGAGCCTCGCCCAGCGCCTGAAATATACCCGCGTGAACTGTCGCTCGCCCACAACTCTCGCTCCTTCGCTGGGAACGAGAATTCGGGGCGAGCGATCCGTCGTACTTCGACGATGGTTTTGGTGGTGTTGGCTGCGTAATGGAAGGCGGAGTTGCCGTGGTGATCTAGGTGGTGCAACGGGCAATTTTCCGATACCAAAACCTCCACGGTTTTGGCGTTTAATGTGGTGACGGCGACTTGCAGAGGGGACATTCCCGTATCGGCGTCGGTGAGGTTGAGAAGGTGCTGGTGTTTCTGGTCGCTGAGTAGATCGTGGGTGGCGAAATGGGCCGCTAAATGGGCTAGGGTCCAATTGGGGTGCTCCGAGAGGGCGTCGCAGAGTTTCTGCACACCCTGGACGTTGAGCATCTGAAATAGGGGGTACCGGTTCGGTGATTGTGCGTGGAAATAATTGGATTATACCTCTTTGGCTGCTTCGACGAATGGTGAAATTTTGCCTTTGTATATCGAGAATTTTTGTTCGGATTCCTCTGCGTCCTGGGATCTGAATAGACTGAAAGTTTGTGAAAGAAAATCGAGTAATTCCACACTTACTATAATTACAATTAGTACCTAAAACATGGTTGCAAATTTGGGGCGACAGATTTTTTTAAGACGATTTCATAATTAGGATTTCCTTTAGTTTTCTGCGTAACGGGTGTGGGTAAGTACAAAACTAACCCATCTTCATCCGAATGAATTTCTCTCGTTGTGTATAAATCTAGCCTCGTTTCCATCACTTTGTTTGGAGGAGTTTCACTACTAATTAGACTTCGCAAAACTTCAACAAGTAACGTTTAAATACGCATTTTCGTAAAAATTATGAGTACTTACCTCTGATTCCTTGAGCTAGCATGTTTCAACAGTATCAAGAAGGTGTTTAGAATTAAAGCATTAGAACATTATCAAACCTTGCACACTTGTACGTGGATGTTTATCTATTAATTAAAATTCTAAAGTGTATAGATTTATACATGTGGTTTTTAGATTTACATGCGGTAATAATTACAACTCCAAAGTCTCCGTTACTAATGCACAATTCCACCTATCTCTGTCTAATGCAATAGTTAATTAGGGTGTAATTAATTAAATTTTTTAACAACAAAATGCTGAGTAAATGATTATTTTTAGGGATTAGTAAATAAAGAAACGTGTGTGATAATATGTGTATTGAATCATTGCAATAGACTAGAATATTTAAATATAATAATATGACAGAGTAATTATATACTAGGAGCTATAATAAAATATAAATGAAGCTTAAAATACTTTTTTTTGAGCTGCATTTTTCGATTCTAAATTGTATTGCTCAGTTTCATAATTTATGTACAATCTTCTTATGGTATGTTTGAATGTTATTTTAAACTACTATATAAGATTTTAAAATGTTTAAAACAAATACGAAACTTATATACAATAAAATCATTGCTTTTTTATAAGTACATGCATTAGAAATTTCAAAAAAAATACTATAACAATATTACAAATAATAACCTTTAAATGACAACGTTTTTATAACAATAACCTTAAAAAAATTAAAACAGCTTTGGCTTCACTGATACATAATTGTGATGAGCTATTTAGGAAAATTTTAAAGCAATCACATAAAGTCATCACAACTATCGAACCGCTCCAAAAATTTAAACCTTTTCTCAGAACAGATCGCCATCCAAGCCCATTTCTTCAAGAAAAAATCCCATCGGTGTTCTCCTCAGCCCCAAATTTTCAACTTTATTAACGATTTTGTTCTTCAAGTTTCTCAATCTCAGGGAAGCGTGCAGAAATATCGCTAAAAAATTATTAAATTGAGCTAATGAAATATTAACAATTCATCCCTCGACTCACCTGCTACCGGTAAAAGTATGCCCAGCAGGAAAACCATGAGAGATTGGAGCATATAAGCTATAAAGTAGGCCCCGGCGAATATTACGATAATCGAAATTATGGGATGGTTTCTTTTGAATCTAGCCGCACTCGCTTTTTCGTTAGTAACGTAAACGAATACCATGAAAAGCACCGCAGTCGCGACGAAACCGCAGGCCATCTTAACTGGGTGTATTACGCTGAAAATTACAAATCATCTTTGCGAAGGGAATAAATGGTTTACGACATACCCAACGATTAGGAAGATTAATATGGACATTAAGAAGTAATTGGTTTGGTAGTAGAGCAGATTGTTCGTTACCCTGTTGCCCCATCTGTCGATATCTTTCACGTTGGGCACTTGAAAACGAGCCGCTTCTAAAAGAAAATCGTCCAGAGACCTTAAAGGCGCTAATTCGAAATCGGAAGATGCTTGCTTCTTGCTCATTTTTTTACGCTCGTTGATTTTTTTACTGTTTTAAATATTTATTAATAAATAATGACCTCACAATTTAACATAACAATTATTTATCTTTTTACATGAATTTTTGACAGTTTGACGTTTGTTCTTCTTCTGTTACATGGTCTCTTGCGATATGGCGTATCTGGTCAGCTTACTGGTATGACGTTTTAATTTGACACTTGGCTTTGAGTAGATTAAAAAAAATGTTTATAATAAAAGAAGATTAATACATAACTGAATAACCGAATAATGTAAGGTTATAATAGATTACAGGGGGAGTGGCGAAAGAAGATTAAAAAAGAAAATGGCCTACTTTTGACGTTTGGAATAGTGAATACATTTGAATTTGGTTTTCAGTTCAAAATTTAGTATCTTTTCGATATTATATACTTTGCGAGGCAAGTGAATACATTCGCTCAATTGAATACACAAAAAGAACATAGGCATCAATTCAAAAATTACATTTTTTTTAGTTCCTGCATTTTCGAAATGGAGCCCCCGGGAGTAGAGACAGGAGTCGAGTTCCCAAAGAATCCCCTTTTGTGTCCGATATGCCACGATTATTTTACAGAGCCTTGCATTCTCAGTTGTTATCATACCTTTTGTGCAAGATGTTTGAGAGGACGAGAGCAAGATCGTCGGTTAATTTGCCCATTTTGCAGGTATATTTTTAACATATCTTTCGTATAATTGCAGATCTTACTTATATTTCTCGGTTTATCGCGAGAAAATTAATTGTTAGTGGTTCTTTAAAAAATTAGGTCAATTATTGGGCTGGGTTCCATCCCTATAATCTTATTCCATAAATTTGGTAATTCGATAAATATGGAGATTTTACGATTCTATTTTGCGTACTTATTTATTAAAAAATGGTATAATTTTAGGCAACCGACGATTTTGAAAGATGGTTCCACACTGCCACCCCCCGATAGTTTAATGCGCCAGTTAATAGAGATAGCCAATAGCGAAAACCCGCCGTGTTCTAATTGTGATAAAAGGGATCGACAAAACATGTATTACTGCAATACCTGTGGTACATCAGAACGTTATACTTTATTTATTTTTGTTGTTTAGGTTCGTTTTATTTTTATTTTATTTTATTTTAATTTCCACGTTAACATTTTTATACATCGCTCGATCGATACAATTTTATTGTACACGTTAATGTTTGCAGGACAAGCGCTGTGCGTTCACTGCCGAGAGAACACCCACAGGGCTAAGATGTTTTCCGCCCACGAAGTAGTCCACATGGCCAAATGCACCAAGGAAGCTAAAAAGGTTTGTACCGTAGCACTATGATTACATAAAAGATTAATTCGTTGCGATCGTAGTGTCTCCAACACGGTGAACATTACATCATGTTCTCGCCGGTGCAAAACTCCATGTTGTGCGTGAACTGCTTCCGGGAATTACCGAACGAAATGCGAGCGCAATGCGTCGATATCGACACCGCGCATGCTCAGGCTGCGAAGCGCTTGGAACGAGGCCAGAATGCCATCATGGATTTACAAGTAAGAAATAGACGTTTTCGGTAACGAGGTATTCATAATAAAGTGATTCTAGACATCAGTAAGAGACGGTATAATCGCTTTGAAAGGATTAATGGACGAGTTACGTAGGAATATGGACAGCGAAAAGCATACGATTAATACTTTTTGTCAGGGTATGCAAGAAGCGATGGCCAAAACGCACGCTACTATGATTATGGAAGTTCAACGACAGTACGAAAGCAAGGAAAGGATTTACAGAAGCCAGCTGGTCGTTTTAGGTAAAATTCCTCGTAAAATACATCATGAAGAGTGTATAAATAAATTGTTTTAGGTACCGTAATGCCCGTACTGCAATTACACCTAGTATTGTGCACGACATTCACCGCTGCGGCAAATAAATACCAATTTTTGGAATTGAGTCCGTCGCTGATCGAACGACTCTCAGCAGTGGGAAATTTGAGCCAACCGGTCAGGTACACAAACAAAACATTATCCTAGAAGAATGTTCGATATATATTCGTTTGTAGATCCTTGCAATCGTCGCAGATAAAAACGAATTACCGAAGCGAATTCGCCCAAAGCCTCGAGCCTTGGATAGGCCCCGCCGCGGTGAGCCAGCATCAGTCCGAATTAGCCGCGAGTAAGCCTAATTATCTACCAGAAAAAAACTAATTAAACGCATTATCGTCGCAATTACAGGTTCCAGAATGTACGATAGCGTACCGCCGGCGACGAAGAAACAACAGGCGGCGATGAAGAGCAAACTGTTGGACTGCGACAGCTCGTTCTCGACGCATTGCCGTTCGTTCGAATCGCAAATCAGGGAGCTCAACCAGCAGTTCAATACGATCAAAGAGAAGGTCGGCGATTTGCACAAGGACATCGTGGCGCTGCGTAAGGCCCAAACGCCGCCGTTGACCATTCGCTACGAGATGCTCATCAGGGAGTGCCTGCACTTGGACCAGAGCTTGGAAAGGTGCATCGGAACGATGTCGAATTCGATGGTTTTTTTTACGGTTTTGTTGTTGTTGTAGACAACAGAAGGAGCTGGAGAGAATGTCGGCTGCTTTCGATGCTTCGTGGGAGGAGCAATTGTGGCGTTTGAGAGTCGAACAAGAAGTGTTTAGTTGTCAAAGGGCCGATGTTAATACGTTGAGGAACGAATTGAAGCATCTCAGTCAGGTAGAGTAACTACAGTGTGTTATTACAGTTTGTACATTGTGTATTTTGTAGGTCGCAACGCAATTGGAACCGTTCATTAGAAGTTTGACGCCGTCTCAACAAGCTCAAGCTCAAAGCGAGCACGGCTCTCAAAATCACAGCGAGCACGCGCAACATTTGGCTAATATTTTAGAGCATATCGGTAAGGGAAACGGCGCGTTTTATTCTCGTTATTAATGCGTTGTTATTGCGAACGTAGGTATTTTACAACAATCGGATCCGGCCATGGGGAAAATACCGCGGTCTCGTAGCCGAGTGCTCGGTCAATTACTCGAGAAAGTCCGTCCGAACATTCAGGAAAGGGAGCGCAGCAAATCAGCGACTCAGACCGATAAGCCCGTCGCCTCGTCGCAGAAGGCCACGCCGCGGAAAACTTTTATGTCGGGGTGAGTAGAATTGAGTAGAGTTTTATCGAGTGGTACAATGATTTTTTTTTCCAGTCAACAAATAAATATCGACAGATTGGAAGCGCAAATCAAAGAAAAAATCCACGACATAATATCGAGAAGGCAGAGTCAGCAAACTTCGAAGTCTGATACAGAGACTGACAGGAAACTATCGAAAGACGATCGAAAAATAAGTAGCGCCGATTTAGGTTCAATAGGTAAGCGATATTTTGATCGTAAAATAGCGTATAACGTTTCGTACCGTAGGTAAATTAAACACTAAGCAAAGAATAATGTATAAGAAAATCAACAAAAGCTGTGATAAAATCAGCGCCGGTAGTAAATCGGACGGCGAGACTCGCAAACGCGAATCGGAGTACCAGAGAATATCGGACGCGACGTCGCAGAATCTGAAGACGCGATCGAGTCCGAGCAGCCCGAAGTGCAAGAACAAGGGCGGCATGCCGTCGAAGCAGCAAAAGAAGAAGGTCCGCGCTATTCGAATTTGCCCTTGAATCTAATCTGATCGCATCTATTCCGTTGCAGGTCTATCCGTACAGCGACGGCGAGGACAACGTGTTCTATTCGATGCACGATTCGGCCGATTCGCTGAGCACGTCGAGCAGACGGTCGAGCTTCGACGGGCCCGATAAGACGCTGGTGGTGGTGATCAATCGAAGGAACAAAAACATGACGGCCGCGCAGAAACAACGAAGTTGGGAGACGTTTCCGCCGAAGCGCAAACATCACGTTTGCCATCAGAAATTGTCGATGCCCACGCCGCCGATGGCGCCTATCAGGAAAACGGACAGTTTCGAAGGTGCGTTTTCGCGTTGTTTCTTTTTTTAACCGTAAGAATCTCTATGAGATTAGAACGCTTTCCAAAACGCAAGTAGCGGTGGTTGGTAATTAGATATATCGTTGTTTTGTGGTTTGGAAATTGTTTTGTATTTAGTATAGTAGTTTGAAAATATACCGTGTTAACGAGTTTTTTGTGAAGTCATCAATTTTTAGGACACGAAGAAGCCGTTAAGAGCCTCGTGGCGGCGGTTCAGGAGACGAGACGGAAGCCGAGAGGCGGCAATTAGGATGGACTGCGAGAACTTGCGGGAATTTCGGTGTATTCGTTTCACGGTAGTAGTTTTTACAATATGTTTAGAATATTGTTAGGGTAATAAGTATTCGGAATGTTATCATTTACGAGCGTTGCATTATTACCTTAAACGTTCGGAATATTTATTTGTATTGATAGCTTTTTGCACGATATTTTTAACCAGTATCGAATAAGTACGAATTTTAATCGTGCAAAATTTGACTATTATGCAAACAGGTTGCGTAAACTCTCATCTAATATGATGATCCATTAAACAATCCTTTGATATATATAAATTTTTGATGAGCGTTTGTGCAACTTGAATGTACCAGTTAATAATATTAATGTAATCATCTTATCATTAAATCATCTTTGCGTTTATATGGCATATACTATGAAGTCTTCGAATAATTAAAATGCTGAATAAACATTTATAAAAGTTTAGATAACGGGCAGTATACATATGTTATACGTTAGAAAAAATAGTTAAATGTCGAAACGTAAATTTAGCGAATTCATCAGTGTTTTTACGTATTCAATTAAGTACTGCCATTTTGTTAGGAAACGATTTAATTACATTTTACGATTTTCCACGTTATTAATTATAATACAAGTACAATATGAGTACATATTAAAAATACGTTATGCATATAATGGGGTAGACTACAAGTTAAGAGAATAGACGGAGATTGATGCAAAACTGAATATTGGATCATTCTCTGAAATAGTCAATAGCAATGTTGAACTTTTCGTTTGTTCGTTTGTTAAATTATAACTAAAGTTGTTTATTACGAAACTTGCTTAAAGAAGGTTTATTACAAATTGTAATTATAATTTCAGTTTTAATAATTGTTTCTGTGTTAAAAAAGTTTGTATTATGGATCTGAGTAATGAATGTTAAAAGAATCGTTTACATTTTTTTATCCTATTTATTTTTTTCAGGAATTCAGGATAACGATAAATACTTTAGAATTGATAATTCTTCCACTTAAACAAGCAGCCGCAAATATGGGAAGGATATTGATCAAGGTAAGTGAATGAAACGATTAATATATTTTGTTATTATTTATTATACATTCATGTATTACATAATTATTGTGGTTTTCAACACCTAAAGACATTCGAATTATTTGATTCTGTTTTTTTAACACACCAAAAAAGCCATTTATCAATAAGATATAAACTTTCACATACAAATAAATATTACGATTATTGGAATGTAACAGTTTGTTTGTTACGTATTTTGTCAAAAATAGTGTCATTTCATCTGAAGTAAATTAGATCGTACCGATTTGCAAATATTTTGTTCGATTCAAAATTCCCCATAGGTCCGCGTTTCCATAAAATATGTAAAACAGAACTCAATCAAGGTGAAGCGTTTCATCAACAATTTATAAAATCGAATACAAAATTTATCAAAAATAATCTATCTACAGATATTTACAAATTTACTGAATGCTTTTAACACGTGAATAATAGTATAAGAATTATACGAAACAATTTTAAACACCCTGTAAACTTTTCAACTACATTATTATTTTCTTTTTTCCAACATTTGTTATACGATTTGTAGAGCAGACTTTGTTCAAAAATTATTTGCAAATCGGTTTTCGAGAACATCAAATAAAGCACAGAGAAAGTTAGTGCTTGAATAATTCTAAACCTAAGTAGTTCTTATTTTTGACATCACAGCTACTAATTCCTAAACTGCGACACTTTTACAAAAGAAACGAGTCTATCAAAACAGAAGTTACAACACTAAATATTGCATCATATGATATAATCTTTCTCTTCATTTGACTACTGTTTATTACATTGCCGAACTATTTTAGAAAAAATAAAAAGTAACCATTTTTTTAATTTATCATGTAATATGTATACTTTTATATTTTTAATTAAGTACTGTTAACTACTTACAAAAAAATATTATTTTAGCTGCAAAACCTTATATACACACTTTTTCGACTACTGTTCTGAAAGAAAATGAAATTGTGCGAGAGAAAGAGAAAACACCAAATCTAAGTAGAAAAAGTTGTAGAAAATTTTACTTAATCATTTCAAACAAAACCACAAATTGCATTTTCCCATAAAATTTAGGATTTTCAAAATTAACAAATTTTCTATCTGTACTCGAACGTTTTCGCAACCTAGTCACTTATACCAGTTTGTTGTTTTTTTATTAGCCGTTTGCTTCTTTTAAAAAATATTTATTAAAAATTAATTCGAAATAAATGCGAGGTAAAGTAATCCGTTAATTCTTAATAAACTTTTCACTGATGATTTATTTGTGTTAGTGTTTGAAATGGAAAACAAACCAGTCATTGTTGATTGCACATTTAAAAAATTGATATGATCGAGGTTTTTTTAGAGTAAAGGTGCAATAGGGCAAAAAACACTTAAAATCTAACTAAATAAAAGTAAGTACAAAAAAGCGCATTCGAATTATAAAAAAATGAGTACTTGGTTAGTTCAATTATAGTGTAGATAGATAAAAAGATTAATATTTAGTATAAGGTTATAAAATAAAAAATAAGTTATGTAAAGACAAAAAAAAATACAAAAAAAGAAGCGATATATCGATAGGCCTCGTTTAGGCGTACAAAAAAAATACTGATTTAATATAACAAGATTATAGAAACTTATGTATTATTTAACCACTGGTTATTTAAACGTTCTCATTCCATCGACGATACTGATTACATCGAATATAATTTCAATTTACAAAAAAATGTAGGACGGAGTTAATTGATAAAAAATAATTGACAAAAAAATTATAAATTTCTTAACCAAGACTTTTTTCAAATAACATTCAATTATTATTTGAAAATAAAAAAAAATCTTTTGTGTCTTAGATTTGGTATTAAATGAATTAATAAAACAATCTACGTAAAATATCACTTGGAAATAATATTGAGTAAATTTTTGAAAATATATTCAATTGCATCATTTGATCGTACGTCGTTTTGTAAAAACCAAAACTCAATAAATATTTCTAACATGTAAAAATCAAATTGCCCAATCGAAACTTATAAAATACAAAGCAAAATTACAAGCAGAAAGGGGTGAAAAACAGCATTATTAATATAATATGTATTACTAGCTAAAAGAGGTGTATGGATATACATATACAACAACCTGTATATATATCTCTAACAAATATGGACGATTAATTTATTGATATCAAACGCCGTACACTACCAAAGCAAACAGGTAGGCGTTGAAGCGTAGCATTTTGCAAATGTACTGAAACAATTCGATTTTCCCTATAACCCTTGCGCACGTGCGTTATTCGATTTGTATTCATCAGCTGCCAATTCTACCGAGATATTCGAGAACAAAATGGCTCGGGTGCGAGTTGTAAAAAAAATCGAATTTTTTCCAGGGAAATTACAAGCTGGTTTTTTAGGCGTACATTTGCTTTAGGTAAGTACGGCGTCTCGAGTGCACGCTATGGCACTGTTTGCGTGAAATAGACGCGTCGCACCTTTCTTTTCACATCGACGAACAATATGCGGAGGATGATTCAACTGGAATATTTCGAAAAAGGTTACATTTTTCTATAATATAGCAATACGCACAAAGTAGTTTTGGAATCTTTTGTGTACTATTCTTTTTAATTAGTATAATTGGACATATTTTTTTTGTCATTTCCAAGTTAAAGCTCAATACTATTTAGCAATAAAATCCAAAAAGATTCCAAACGTATTTCCAAACCTTTATGCCCTTGAGAGTTATTTTGAAAAGCGTTGAACAATCATTCATCCGTACAATGCTCGTCTCGTTACTTTTCACCTACGATTTTACATTGTGGAATTATCCCACTCTAGTTGACTGACGTTTTGATAGTCGTGCTTTCTGATGCGGCTCGGCTGCTCGTCGTCCTCGTCGGATGAATCCTGCACTCTGCACGGCCCGTCCATGTTCTCGTCGTCGGAGGAGCTCTCCGAGTCCGATTGTTCGGTGTCGCTGTATTCCAAAGCGGCTCCCCCTTCCAATTTCCTCTCGGCGTTCTACGCACACCAAACAACCCAAAAAAATTAGATTCAATAATTGAACGAGCGTAATAATTCAGCCTTTACCTCCATCGGATTGACCGTAATGGTTAGAGCGGAATCGTCCCACGTCATTTCGCCGTCCTGCGCCTCCTCGTTAGAGGTTCTCTGATGGGCGGCTCGGATTCTAATCACTCCCAAGACGATCATGAACAACAGGAAACCGACGCAAACCACCACTATGATGGTGACGGCGTGCGAGCCGCCGGCGGCTACCATACTGACGCGTTCGTTGGCAATGTAATCGTGCGATATGATGGAAGCCGGTTTAATTTCCACGGAATGCTTGTTGATCGTGGCGTGTGCGATGGTTTCCTTCGGTTGCGGATGAATTACCGTTAGCTGTTTTAACAGAAATATACATGTAGTAATCGCAATTCGTACTTAAGATAGCAGTGCAATGCTTACCGTTTGTACGTATTCATTAGAAGTGAATCTACCGTTCAATTCTGAACAAGTGAGTTTGAAGACTCTGTTGAGGTAGTAAGCAGGCTTGCGATTAGTGTACATTATCTGGCGCAGGAGTTGCTGATAGTTGAATACCATGTCGGATCCGGTAATGGTGACGCCGTCTTTCGAAATGCGCGCCGCCATTCCTGTAAATCGATACGTTTAACGTCCGGTTTAATGCATCGCGACTGTTCACTATTACCTAATCGTTTCAACATTTCCTCCGGCACGCTCAGATTCTCATGGTCGGGATTCAAATTGGGATAGATAGTCAATTGGCATTTGTCCAATTTCTGTTCGCCCGTTATGTGTATATCGGCCAATACTCTTACGCCCATTCGGAAATCCTCGTATTTCCTCGCCATGTTACCGGTACCGTTTAACATTATGCTCGGCGTTTGCGGTCTCAAAACCATTACGTACGTTTGGGCGTCCGGCACCTTAAAATAGAACAATAATTAATAACGATCATATTCATCACCATTCATCTCCTCGAAATGTTCTAAGTTCATTAGTTCTGAACAATTTGCTTAGACCAATTTTGCGACATTCTATCGAATAATAAAAGGAAACTTTAGATTTACCTTAACTTGTTTGCCATTATCGCAAGTGACGGTGGTCGTCAAACGTAAATTCCTGCGGCCCGGCGTCGGGAATTCCCTGGTGTTGGCGTAGCCGATTTTGCGTACGAGCGTTTCCAAATTCGTGCGATTGTCCCCTTCGACCGTTACTTCGGTCAAATCGGAATTCGTCAATAATTCCATGCCGGGCTGCAACAGCTCCATAGCCGGTACCTAATAATAACAATTATCGTTATGAACACGAACTATTAATGATTCATTTCAATCGTTTATTCCTTTATACTTACTTGTAAGCTTTCTTTACATTGATGCAAGCAACTGAGTACCTCCGGTTTCTCGGTATCTCTGAGCAGAATACTTAGGCCGGCTAAATACCCTTTCAAGTGGTGCCTCATTTTGTTATCGGAACCCTGGAAATTAAAACGAATTAACGGGGATGTTTCGAGAGAAAAAAAATCGTCGTAGATATTTTTTCTCTCCAATCATCGAGGTTTTCCAGCGACGCTGGGGCGTATAGAAGCGCGAAAGGGACAAAGCATTAATCAGGACGGACTACTTACTTGCCAGCAAGCTCCGATTGTGAGAGTGGTGTTAATTCCCTTTGTAGGATGAAGCGGCCAATCATCGATTACTTCGGGATTTTTTTTCTCGGCTCTGAACAGTTGGCCGTCGATATACAATTGGATGTCCGGAAAGCGAACGTTTATCGCGTAATGATGCCATTGGTCGTCGCAAACCTAATAAAACAAAACCGTCGATTTCATTATTATATTTTTCAATCAGTTTCTATCAGGGAGTAAATCACCTGTGATATTTTCCATCTCCATTCGGCCGGTCTGAATATGTTCAAATCGCCTTCGGAAAAGTCCCTTCTCAACAGTAGAATCAATCTGCAGTTTCTTACGAACAGAGCGTAATGATGTCTGTTCATTTCTACAAAAAAATATATTACAAACTAAGCAATAATAGTCACTAAATTTAGCCAATAACTGCTCTATTTTTCTCTCAATTCTTTTACCCGCCAATAAGAGAGCTGTATAAGTAGTTATGTTATTACCAATAATTCGATATTTAATCTCAATTTGAATATAAAATGGTACTGTAAAAACTCACTGTGATCATCGGCTGTGCATAAAATATGCTCCTTCAAATGCTTGTCTTGATTGGGATGTTGCCCGTGTCTCATCCATGTTGATATAGTGAAGGTAGTGGGTAAATCATGGCTCAAAACCGTAGTGGGTATTGTAACGGCAGTCGTGGCCCCTGTTGGTAATATATTAAATCAATTACGAGTACATTCGGGACAAATGTAGAAAAGAATGTCGCTAATAAACTATCAAATATTCATCTCTCGGCGACAATATGTAAGGTGCGCAATATACATTCTACGTATTATATTACGTTCGACTTATATTTTTCATATCGTATGGATACCTACATATTTTTCCCCTCGATCGTATATAAGTCGTTCATAAAGAGAACAGAAGATTTTTCTCATATGACGGCATTCCTCGAGTATATTCCTTATCTCATTCGCTGCGAAATTCTTACGTATATTACCCGAATCCGTTTTTGATACGGAAAAAGTAATTCATGCGAAGTTGTAGCCAAGGATTTTATGAAAATTCGTTCGTTCGGTGCACACAGAACGTCGAGTTTCGGTCTGTTTTTGACAAGAAATAAACCCATTATAATAAGAAATCTCCGAGTGGTCTCTTTATAATGGCTCGTTTGCGAAATTTAATGTCGAATCAGGAACTGGAATATATTTCAAGTACTGGAAAATATCTGCTCTTGGCGGAGAAATCACGGATTACGTGATGTTGACGTTTATGTATTGACAAATAAGGATTTACGAGGTGACATTTGACATTTCAATTGAGGCAAATCACGGGAGGCGTTAATAGTAAAGAAATATAATTTTTCAACAAAATGGCGTTGCAACTATTGATAAAAACTGCAACTTAATCGACATTCGAAACAAATGTAGCAAAATTTCTACAGCTACAATAAATCATTTCCAACGTTCCTAACCGGAACATATCCTTTCGGGAATACAGTACTTGAATAAAACATCGTGGACACAGCGTTACGTTACATGCACGGGGCACACTGCTATTAATTCCTTACCGTCAAATTCAAACATCTGATCGCTCTCGTGACCCTCGTCCGAGATGAGCGGCTTGGTCCATTCGGCACCGACTCCGGGACTCGGCAGAAGATCGATGGCGGCCGGCGAAGCACCGCACAATTTCCTTTGCGATTGTACCGAGTAAGTGTCTCTGTCGCATCCTTTCCCGATGTGTCTGTAACAGAATGTTACGCGAATGTTGAATTATTGCATGTCGAGCCAACGAAAAACAATGAACAATATTAAATTGAAAACCGTACAGTACGGCCATTTCGTAAAAATCTTAGGATTTTGCTATCGCATCAGAAATCGAGTGGCTTGGTTCACGCCAACTTGATTTTGATGTTGCCAGACAATGGTTTTGTATTTGACAGTTATGACAGTTTGATTACTGAATTTTTATTGGTCAAAATGATCTGTCATAATTTATTAGGACCAATAAGAAAGTAGAATGCGTTTATACGGGTAAAAATGTCAATTTTTTTGTTCGAAAAAGACCCCAGCAGGCGGCTTAATTGGGAGCGATTTTATAATAATTGGATCTCCCTTTTCGTGAAACGAAATCGCACAAAAACCGGCCGATCTTCCAGCGACTTCTTTTTTCCCGGAAAGTTGAGATATCCGCATAAAAGATGATTTTCCCATCGATACAACAAAAGCAACGAAACCTTTCGAGTATTCCGCCGAAAAGAAACGCAAAAAACGCATTAACGCTATAACAAAAGCAAAAAAAATATATATTTAATAAACTCGATTGCGAGAAAACGATAATTTTTGCCCCGGCCAAAAGTTCCTTTTCGCGAATAATTGCAGGTAAGGAGAACCCGTAATGGCACGATAAAGCCGAAGATCGAAATACTTCCAGAAATTGCTCGTCGTTTCCAGAAGGTCGGAAACTCCCCGAGTTCCGAGCACGGCGCAATTAAACTTTAAACTTCATTGTTCTATTTCGCCGTAGGCGAACGTAGTGCCCGCCCGACGGGGCCGAGAGAACGTAAAACAATTAATTAACAACTCCAACTATGCATTTTGAATATTCAGCAAACGATTAATTGGCACATAAAAGTGTTGTTTGCGATCAAATTGTTGTATTCATATTCGCTATTGATTTAAAATCAACCCGGTTTTATCGGTGGATTAAAATACTCGAATTTTTATATGTTTATCTATTAACTGTTAAAACGAGCAATCTGGAACAATTTTGATTAAACTCGAAATATACCGCACGATTTACCGTTGAAAAAGCGTTCATTATCAATTCGTAAATTAGCGTACGCCATACAGCATTACGCTCGAATATTTTATTCAAACATGGGGTGTTTGCTTATAAGAGTAGGTAACTAATTGCAGCGATGTGTATAATAATGTAGCGTTTCCTCGCGGCAAGTAGGGGGGCCATAAAACAAAGGTTAACCGATCGACAAACGAAATCGCTTCATTATCTTATCGAGGCAGCGCGTAAAGTAAATTGACGTTCGGAATATTGACTTTGGTGCATTTCAGCCTATTCGATCGCGTATCTCGGGTGAATTAGTGACGGAAAATCGGTGTTAGTTCGAAAGTAAATTTCGAATAGAACGTTTTGTCGCCTTGAAACCAATGTCAATGGCAATGACTCGAAACAAGGCTGGAAATAATGTGTTTCGTCTATTAGTAATACGACTAGGAAGCGATACGGTCCAGAAATAACGATTGAATCGAGCTGGTACCGAGTTGTTCGGAAAAACCATTTTCTTCTTGTGCGTATGTTATTATTTTTTTTGCCAGGAAACGATTCATCGGTATTCGTACGACGTTTAACGCGCAATTTAGGTGAGCTATTAAATCGTTAAACAATTGAGCAATCATTTGCTTACGATACTTGTTTGATTTTCATATGTATTTTTAAAATAGTTACTGCACAAAAATTGGTACTCTGTAAATATTCATACAGTGACGACAACACACGGACATAAAGCACCTTATTATTTATTATTAAATCTGAATTACATTTTTATCAAGTGGTATTATGAAAAAATAATCCGCAATAAAAGTTTTGTAGTTGTGCAATTTACTTCGTTTTATTAAAAAAACTACGAATGAAATTTTTGCACAATTGTATTTTAATTAAGTGTAGTTACATTTATCAACGTTTCGAAAATATTTGTCGAATTGCTATGCGCATTTTTAATGGAATTATTTCAATTATAAGCGAATTGTATCAGCCTAATTTTCTGTGCTCGCTCAAACGTAATAAAATTCGCAGTTTGTTGGTTTGTTTATTTTTTTCTACCGCATACGTAGGGTAATATTTTTGCGAAGTTCCAAAATTCCAAATCCTTTGTTTCGCAATATGATTAAAACAATCAAACAAACATTACTTTGTTACATACACCTTCGCTTTTTCTGGTTCGCGCTCGTATAGGTAAATAAATATCACTCCGTTAATTGCGTTAGAACGTACCGGAGAGGAACAAGCGCGCAGGTCGTCGACCCAAACGTGCTACATCCTTTTTTTAATCCTCCCTCATAAATCTCTACGAAAAAATCTAATGTGTTTTCGACTTCTCAAAATTGTCCTTGTCGTAAATTACGTTACAAAATAAACCGTAACACTTTACCTGTCAAGAGCGTTACGAAAATAAAACGAGCCGCACCGATTTAGATTCTACTAAAATACGTCCTTCCGGAGATCAGATTTCCAAACACAAAATCAGTTCGATATTTTCCATAGTTTTTTTAGTATTGGAAGATTTATTGTTCATTTTATTTATTTTAGGTTAAAATGCAATCGACTACCTTAACTGCAAATACTCTATCGAGGCTCAAATGCGACCTGTGCCACGGCTATTTATCGATACCGCCCATTTCCTCGTACCGAGACCAGAACGCCTGCGGCAGATGCAGCCCGGACTGGCCGCGGAACACCATCTACGAGCAATTGGCCAAGTACGCTTCGTTCCCATGCATCTACTGCAACGACGACTACGCCTGGGGATTGATCCAGCACCACGAGAAGAAGTGCAAAGGCAACCGGCTTCTCTGTCCCGCGGGCAAGGACCGTCCGTACAAAACGGGCGATCGCCACGAGGGCGAGTACCACAAAAAGTGCCAGCGGAGGGTGCGATGCCCGTTCGAATTGTGCCTGGTGGCGTTCGACATCCAGAACATCGTGCAACACTTCAAACAATACCACAAAGACTACGTGTTCACGAATTCCGTGGAGGCCAATAAGATACTAAAAGTGGAAAAAATCTGGGACTTCAAATCCGATACGAAAGTGTGCATCATCCAATTCGACTCCATTCCGTTTCTCTTGTACATTCACAGCGATTGCAATTTCAACGGCGCCACCGGCGATATTATATACTACAATTACTATTTCAGCGTGTTCACGTTCTGCCTGGAAGGTTGCAAACGCATCGACTACTCGACGTCGCTACAAGCCTCGTCCCGCGACGAAACCATCACCAACAAACACCAAAACATCCAAATATACAACGACAAAATCCACAGCGTCCAATTCCTGCACAGGGACCTGTTCAAACTCAACAGCTTCGATTTCATGACGACCAAAATCGAGGGGATCGAACGCGCCGAGCACATGGCGTTGCGGTACTCCGTGAAAATCCAACTCCGCGACAATTCCACCAAAGAACTTCCGGAAACCGTCCACGGCGCGTTCGATTTGATCGGCATCGAACGGCACTTCGAGTGCCCCATTTGCAAGGAGTACATGCACCCGCCGATATACAATTGCAGCACCGGCCACACGATTTGCCGGTACTGCAGGGACAAATTGTCCACCTGTCCCTACTGCCAGGCGGTCGTCGGTCGGTCCAGGAACTTCGTGCTCGAAGACATTTTGGAAACGTTGCTGTTGCAATGCCACAACGAGCACAAGGGCTGCAAGTACGCCGGGCGCATACAGGAGATCAAGTTGCACGAAATGAGCTGCAGCTACAATTGAAATCGAAACGTATACGAATTTGTATTTATATTGATAAATTTAAATATTCCTCGAATGCGAAAGTAAACGATGCTAAAATTAATTCCGTGGTTTACATTTTATATTATGCAGGATCCGCTGGTTTAAATGTTCTGTAATAAATAAGGAGTATTTTCGAATCGTATCTATTTAGTGAACTATTAAATCATAATACGAGGAGGGAAATATTTGTATATTAAGTTTATTGAACAATCCCGCAAGTAGGAATGTTCTGTGTTCTGTGTTCTGTGATGAATCGTTTGTAAATGGCCTGAAACTAGATTTTGATATTGCCAATAAAGTGCTTTGGGTCGCCCGTTGACGTCATAAAAGAATTCTCATAAGCTTATATATGAGCGATTCTTGCATAGTTTAGTATTCTTGCACATTTTTCATACCAAACGTTTTTCCCCGAAAAGTACAATCGAATAATTTCGAAACAAATGTTCCTTTCAACGCCAAAGCGAACATCATTAACCAATCCAGCCGGCCATCAAACAAAAATAATTTATGGAAGCGAAGCCGACACGTAGAGAAAAAAAAATATCGCCTTTGACAAAAGCAACAATCCCCCGCGTTCGTTATAACCGTCCCTCTTTCGACTGAAATTATCCGCTCGTCTGCGGTAGAAATCCGTTTTAGCAACCCCTTTTTGTCGCCCGGCGTAATTTCCATCGCCGTAGGAGAGAAATTACTTAATTATAAAATTAGATCCGTTCCCCGTTCTGCTACGCGAAAAGCTTTGAATTCAAAATATAACGAATTAAAAAATGAAAAAAAAAGGAAAATTTCGTTATTCCAACTAAGCCGTCGAATTAAATTTCCACCGTCGCCAACAAACCATTAATCCGGCCATTTTAAATGTTTATACCTAAAACCTTCATATAAAAATGTACGACGTCATCGCGCAGTTAATTTAAAAGACACTATACATACGATTTCCATTTATAATCAGCACCGATTTCCTGTGCAGGAATAAAGAAATATCCCTCTAGCATCATTAAATTAGTTTTTTACTTACCCAGAAATCGGTACGGATCATCTAATACTACAGATACTAATGCACTAACCTTGTAGCCAAATCGACTCTTGTCCTGAGTTCCCGTACGTTACAGGGCACGTCGCAGAGCTCCAAGTTGGCGGAAGGGAACAATTCCTGTTTGCCGGTCATCGGAGCGTAGTCGACGCGTTCGGGCAGTCCTCTCCAGCCCAGCCTGCACACCCTGTTCACTTTGATGGTGACCAAAGCGGGAAAACTCTGCCGCATGCCGCAATCGTACGCGATGACCGAGAGGATGTGATTGTGGGAACGTTCGTAGTCCAAAGGTTCCGTGTTCCTAGATTTATTTACATAGATTTAGAATACGAAAAATTTGAGTGTAATCGATAACTCCGTTGTAAAAGAGACGGATAAATATGAGGGAATTGCAATTCGTTGGATTTTTCGATAGTCCGCGTCTTTTTAAGGAGAAAACTACGCGGAGATTTCGCCGTAATAAACTCCTTTTGAGGCCCGAAAAAAAGGGGCTTTCCGGTACGAAATTTTACGCGCTGATTTTTACGACAGGAATGTCCTCTTTCCCGTTTCGATCCTCTCCGGGGAAACTGATCCTGCATCGCTAAATTCGTTCCGCGAATCGAATACATTCGACTGATTTTACTCCCGCATTTTCCTTCTATCCAAATTGAAAGATTTATTGGACAACGGTTTCGGATCTATCCGGAGGTTTCCAATAGATTCGGAGCGCTTTTTTTATACTAACTTATCCTTTCAACCCTTTCCAATTAATCGGATTTTTCTATCTCGTATCGTTACGTTTCCACCTATTCCCACTTATACCCAATTACGAAGATTGCTCCGAAAAGGAAAGCAGAAGATAGGCGAATAGTAGGTGTCAAGAGGCACTCCATAATGTAGTGTATAAAGAAAGTAGAGTTTACGTGGGCGCTTTGCAATCGGACCACTTTACCTCAGATAATCCTTTATGACCCTCGAGGATTATGTAGCTTACACCTACACCTCGTCCCTTTAAAGCGAAAGGTCCTGTTTGCACCGGGGCGAATCGGCTAAATTAATGAATCAATCGACGATTTTCTTTTTACCTGATGATTCCATCGGTGTCGATGACGAAGGGCTGATCGGAGGTGAGTATCTCGTACTTGCAGACGTCGCCGAATTTGGGCGTGCAATCGCGATCGGTCGCCTCGACGCGAACGATCTCGCTGTAAATTCTGCCCTCGTCGACTTGTCGCACGTAGCTCGGCTCCGAGAACGTCGGGGCGTATTCGTTGACGTCGGACACGGTGATATGTACGGTGGCGCTGAAACATGGCGAAAAGAGCGCAATTTAATTTTCGTTCGTATCCCTTCCTTTGATACATGCACGGGATATATCATCTAACGTGCTTCATACGAGACTGAAATGGAGACGACTTTTACGTATTTACTGAGATACGATGCGAAAAGACTTTAAACGTGTGGCGAATTTCTCGTGAACAGAAAAAAATATTGCTCAAATGTCAAAATTAAACAATCCTGGTCTTGTACTATTCGGAAAACCAATCAAATTTCGAGATAATATATATAACCTATATTTTTATATGTAGCGATCAAAAATGGAGTAAACTGTATAATCGCTAACGTGCTTTATTCGAGACTTCGGAGTAATTTTTACGTATTAATAGAGATACGATGCGAAAAGACTTTAAAAACGTGTGGCGAATTTCTCGCGAACAGAAAAAAGTATTGTTCAAACGTCAAAATTAAACAACGTTGGTCTTGTACGATTCGGAAAACCAATCAAATTTGTAGATAATACAATTGACGTTGACACTTATAACCAACAACTGTCAACACTCAACAGTACCTTTACATCTCCTTAATTAAAACTCTCATCAAAGAGACACTCGTTCCTACTCGTGGTATAGCGAGAGAGAAAATTTAAAAATAACCTCCGCAACGTCTGCATATTCATTTTCTTGGTGTGTTTTTTTTATATACAATATAGGCGTTTTTCGTGTTTCCTCCGAGCCGGATTAGGCGAGTAAAAGTCATTTAAAGCGTGACGTCACGAATGGGCCGAAAGTAATTCGATATTTATTCGAGTGACAAGTGAAATTGTCGCCGTGTTTCGCCCGTGTCGCGTTCCGTTAAAAATGCAAACGGAGAAAATGGGAAAATAAATCATTTACGATTCGAAATGGGCGAAACGTTCTAACAAATGATGCAATTATCTCGTGTTTTTTTTTGGTCGCGTAATAGAAAACGTTATTTTCGCTTAATGAGACGGCTTGTTTATTCGCGCATTAATGTCATTTCCTCCGAGGATTTAATCACGCTGTATGTAATACTTCTCTAGGGACCGATTTTAATCCTTTTAGTTAAATGGAGAATTATGTATTAACTGTTACCTATTGATACGTCCACCTCCAATATTTGTTCATAACAATATCCATAGTTACATTAATTAAATAAAAATAATTTTCCCCAATTCGCTTACTAATAATTACACCGTTATTTTCGCTATAAGGGCCACATTTCAAATCGACAATATCAAAAGTTACAAGGATTTCAGATAAATAGCCCGAGCTATAAGCGTCTTTTTATCCCTTCATAACTTCCGAAGGATGCGGACGCGATTTTTCTAAATTATTATTTGAACGATTTTCCGATAGACCACGGTCTATAAAAGTAGTTCTTTCGTTCGCTTTATATGAGACATTAAATCCATAAGCTCTACGTCGTTTCAGCTACCCGAGCGAACTCGATCTTAAATCGAAAGATATACCTACCCACCCACATCATCCCTTACGGGAAATGGAGTTACTTTGCGGGAAACCGGTAGCGTTTCTCCCGGTTAATCGCCGGATAACTCAATAACAGAGAGATCAAGGCAGAAATTCGAATCGGTGTAATTAATGCGATCCAAAATCATATATATTCGGGCGATCAAGCGCCGTTTCGACATTCATAAAAACCGCTACAACGCCATTTTTCATGCGACCAGAGGAAATCCCCGCTGAAAATGCTCGGTTAAATCGAGGTAAAGCATCCGGAAAAACGCTTTTCGCCCGCCTTTCTCTCTCGCGCTTCCTGCGCGACATTTGTATCGAAGCGAACGAGATAGCGGCGTAGAGAGGGCGAAGGAGAAGAAGAGAAAATAAAAACGAAGAGAAAATCAAGCGCCCCGGCCGAGGACACGACAAAAGAATAAGGTCGCTCGAGCCGTTGTAATAATACACTCTTCAAAGTTAATTGCCTAATCCCGCTACGAAGAACGAGGGGGAACGATGCAAATGTTTGCTGGCTGTTTTCGAAAACGGTGATTTAGGCTTGTACGGTAGCGAAATGGAAGCGGCGCAAGAGCACACCCCTTTCGAATTTAGGCCTAAAAACAATAGATTGTTTTATGGCCGTTCAACCCGACGATTACTCAAGAGCATTCGCGCGACACAATACAGTTTAATTTAATGATAAGAACTCGATCATATCATATCGAATTTCATTCCAATTAAACGAGGCATTAAATATCAAATCGGCGAGATCTGGTAATTAACCAGGAAGCGATTCGACAAACGACGACGAGCAAAAGCGTCTGGTTAAGTCGAATTTTCCATCGGAAAAAATAAATCTTTCGCGTCAGAAACGATAAAACTTTTCGACGTATATAAGAGGTCGAATTAGGCCGGCTCATTGCGAACCGCCGCCATCTCACCGAGGGGGGACGGTTTTTCTTTAAGTAGGTCGCTCCCTTTCCACTCTCGAGAATCACAAATCCCTGCACTCCGTCTGATCGAAAGTGGATTGAACGTATTCCAAATACAGCGGGTCGTTAGAAACGGAATATTCGAGAACTGCGAAGAGGAATTCTACCCGGTACACCGTACCCTATAATCGCATTAAAAACTTAAAATTTCCACCGATTAATTTCTCGAATAGAGCGAAATAAATTGATTTTGGAATTAATATACCCGATAGTAGTTTTGTTAAACGAAATTTATTATATCGAGTGTCTCAATTAACCCAATTATTTCGATAGCAATTACTTTTAATATTTAATAGTAAATTCACGGCCTCTATAAATGTATTATTTAAGCGGCATCCAGCCGATAAATCAACCGATATAAACTCGATAATCGAATAATTGCAGCTTTGGTAAATTCCCGGCCGTTTGTTTATGGCGTTTTAACATAAATCGAGGCCCTAAAAATTTTATCGCAAGCGATACCGAAATCGCAATGAAAAGTTTTTAAAGCGCTTGTAAAAAAAAACAATCCGGTACACAATGTAAAATCGGCCGATTGAAATTCCCGAAATCCATCCGGGAATTTCTGGTCACGTTCGAAATACCCGTGCCTGCGGTGCGCCCGGCTTTTAATTGCCGTAGAACGTCGGATGGTATGGCAGAGCGAAAAAGTTTTCGTCGGTTTCGATGGCACTCGGGCGGGCGCACTCCCCGGCCCTTCCTATCGATTTCGCGAGAATTTTCAAGCCGAAGATAAATCGACAAACGGCACAAGTCCCGGTTAATGGGCTGGATAAATAGCGGGCGGAGCGCGTGTACTCCGCGTCGGGACGCCGAGATCGAATATGTAAAGCGCCCCGACGGGGAGCGAGTATGTCGAAAAATCCACGCTCTCCATCGAATTAGCCAGTATAATGAAAATACCATCTGGTTTTTTTATTGTAAAAATTGGCGGAGGAACTCGGTTCAATGCGCAATTTCTATTTACTCTATTTCAACCAATTTATTTACATTAACTAACAATGTACCCCAAAGCTAAATTGTGCAATACTCAAGCAGTAAATTAAACCGATGTAATAATAATACGTATGTTTTTATAGAATCCCGTAATCGAGACGAGACGTCTGGGACAACAAAAACAGCAATAACTCGATACTGGGCGTTAATGCATAGAGTAATAAGCAATTTACATACACCAACTGTATATCGATTTGCGAAGGAATCGCGTTAGGGAATCGATTTTATAAAGTTCAACGTTCACCAATCGATTCTTCGTTCGAAAGAAACACGATTTACTGTTCAATTTATCGCACTGCGCATATGGAAAATAACTTGATGAAACGTGCGGTTAATTATTCCTTATTTCAAATGATGTTAATTTTTTTTTGGGTACTTGTATACAACATTTTTTTTTCTAACGAAGAGCACGAAAACCGTAATCCGTCGAAAGTTCCAAGCGAACCTTATTATTCAATATTCACCCTTCTCGTTTTAATGGACTTTTCTCCCCCTTTGCCGGGCGTAAAAGTTTCTTTTTTGTTTAGGGAGTTTTAAAATAAAAAATATATATAAAAAAACGCTAGCGAGTAATGTCCTTTGACGAAAGCGCGAAGAAAAATGATATCTCATCTCCTCGGAGAGCGGCCCTAATTGCCCTACTCTTTTCTACCCCCTTAATATTCATGAATTACTTTGCTTCTTTGTGTTCGGACGCTCGAAAGCTAAGGACTTTTTAACTAGTTACAGATTTTTAAACGAACGTCTAATTGCTCTCGAGGAAGATGAAAAAAAAGCAGGAAAAGCGAATGCACTTTAGAGGACATTTCACTTTTTATTCACCCCTGCTCGGCCCTTCGAATGAATGATTATTTACCAACAACGTTGGGGTGACCCTACATTCAATTCATCCGAGTAATGATATAAACAGATTAATAAAAACGCGGACCCTAGAGATGTAAAAATCGCTTAAATTTTTTCCTAATTAACGTACATAAATCATTCGTTTCCATTAAAAAGATCCTTCTTACACAGCGTACACCAATCATATTACCAAACACATTAAATGTTATATCTTGTTTAAATTCGGTTTTCTCTCCCGCTTCGCGCTTTATTTGTTCGAAGCTTTCGGCATGCCGAAAATTATTTTCCGCGGTACACACGTTTTGGAGGAAATTCGTCATTTCGTGCACGAGCTTCCCGACGTGTTTCGTATAACCGGGATCTCTTTATTAGCGGCGACGTCGCCCTATATACACGTTAGGATCGCTTTAATTTAGCGGGATGTCGAGCTCTCGAACATACAAAAACTTATTTAATTCGAGTTGTTATTGGGCTTTCGCGGAGAGCTTTAGGTGGTGAATTTGCCATGCGGGGGCAAGAAGTTAATTATTTTGATGTACTGCAGGGGCGTTTACGAAACGTGAATTTTATGTTCTGTTAGAATTGTGGTGCATTCTGTATATTGTGTTTATAGAAAAACTGCGCAAATATTTCGCAACAAATTCCACTTGAAATTAACGACGTATTGTATTTATAGGATGTTTATTTAACAAAATATATGGCATAGAAGTGGTAATGTTTGCAGTGTAAACTGGAGCAGTTAAAAGTGTCATCGCAAGCAAAATATTATTTTATTTAAATAGCCATTGTTTAATTTACAACACTTGTGCATTGTCAAATAAATTTAAAAAAGCGATGAATTTCCCTAAAAAAAACACAATAATCTCGCTTTCGCCGCTCAGAAAACGCATTAAATTCTATTAGCTTTCGTAGTCAGACGAATTTTCCTCGAGTAAAACTCTTTTACTATCCCATCTACTTACAAATATGGACAATAACAAAGCGAGTCGTACGCTTTTACAACGATACATAATAATTTCACTACGAGTACTAAAACATTTTTATCGAAATCTCCGTACGAAATACGAGAATATTCTCATCACGGTGAAACATTGTAATATTTTCGAAGTGTATTCGCAATCGGCTTTAACAAGCGAAAAAAAAGGCCAGCCCGGAAAAACTCCAAAAGTGATAGAACACGTAATAAAAGGGCGAAAGGGCAGTCGTTAATGGGACGTCGATGTTTTCGCTATGACAAGATATTTTTTTAACGAAGCTTCCAATTCAATTTCACAACTGAAATCTCCACATTATGCGTATAACAGGATTATTCCATCAACTAAAATGTATTACGTTTGCAATATTCATATGGCGAACTTAATATTTTAGCTCGTGATATCATCGACAGGCTCGATTTATCCACCTATATGTCATTTTTGTCCGTACTCAAAAATTTCCAATCATTGTAAATAATTAAAGCGAAGGTTTACCTCGAAAAAGGTGGGTTACGGAGTGAGTATTTATATAATTTTTTACCGGTAAAAATGCATAACATACAATCGCGGTGTTCTTTTTGGCAAAACGACAACCATTCGCTAGCGAGTGAAACGATTTCTCGGCGCCATCTGAGGTCGACCGAGTTTTTATTTCGATGGCAATAGCAAATATTGGCATTGGTACAGGTTTCCGACGTTTTCCTAACCTTGCCCGGCCGAATTGTCGCCGGTGTTAAGTAACAGAAAGCGAAACGGTGTTTCTGATCTTATTTACAAGTTGTCTCCGGTATCAACGCTTTGATATATCGGGTTCCTGATGAGAGAAGGTTCTCTCGTTACACGTTGTGGCAGCTTTTCTTTGCGCGAACACCGAATGAAATACCAAACTCGGTAAAATTCGCGACAATTAGTTAATTTTTTGATTGTAAAGGTTCCAATTATATGCGCATAAATGTTCGTATATTATATCCCGAGAAAGGTGGGAATTTAGCTTGGAACGAAAGGCGAAATCGAAAAGAAGCATAATTAATCTGGAAACGTAATAAATGGATTCTGTTTTTTTGTTCGCCTTTGGAAATTTCCATTTCAAAAGCAAGAGATACCGTTCTCTCGAAGGGGATGAATTAGACGCTTTCGATTACTCCCTGATTCAATTCCACTAACAGCCTTTTTCGTCCTTAAATGACACAAGAGTAAAAAAAAGAAGAAAAAAAAAGTCGGAGAGGTTGGAAATTACGAAAGGTACATTTTCCTTTTCGGCCGCGACAATCGAGTTTCTCGCATTGATTTTAGAAAATAGTTCGCGTGCAGGAAACCTCGACGCCCCGTTCGCTTCACCTCACAATGGGTTTAAATAAATTGTATTAATTCCCTTTATTATTTCCAGTCAGAGTTAACTTTTAACAGCCAATCGATCAGAAGCCGCAAAACTCAGATGCATTGTTGGTTCCCGTTCCGTTCCACCGAGCGCGATTAATTACGCCGTAATCGATCGTTCCCCCCGAAAAAAAAAACTAAAAAGAAAAGAAACCCATTCCTTTTCCACATTCCAGACTTCACCAGCCATACCGGGCTTTTTGTTTTTCCTCTTTCGCCTCGCCGAAACTATACCTTACATGTAAGACTACTATAAATTGAGCAATATGTTACGGGTCCTAAGCATCGATCGAGCCCCGCTTTTAATCTCGCCCTTACAGTTTTATGGATTTGCCAGGCTAGAATGTATCCTTTATCGCCAGGGCCGGCTCTACGTGAGAAAAACTCATAAGCCGCGCTCGTAAATTACGACGCACGGAGCGAGGAAAGGGAGCGACAACCCCGCGATTTTAGCACGAGAATTATACAGGATGTCTCAAGAAAATATAGTAATACAATTCAGTCGTTGTGCTCGCCAAATCGAATGATAGAAATAATCGGAAGACGGCGCGCGATTGGAAAATTTATTACACCTGTAGGTACTAATTCATAAAACAAATTTCCATTGTCTCGTTGTGTCGTTTAAATTGTATCCATATTCATGTCCGCCAACAGGTGGACAATAGTGTACATTCCTCGTTAGTATGAATTAAATTCCATTCGTAAAATACACTTTTACATTGTTCTTTTACCAAAAAACTACCTCTCCAATTCGATATTTGAAGCTTTTCTAGTGTAATAACTGCTGGTAAATTTCATATAAATTCCAGTTCGAATAGACTCACCTCAAGCTCTGCTTTCCATTACAACCGACGGCGGCGATATCGAACTTGTAGTTCTTCCTCTTCTCGCAATTGAGCACCCTCTTGGCCCGCAGCTCGGCGTACCCGTCGTCCTTCAGGATGATGTCGAAGGGCGCCTCGCCGTGGTGCTTGTTCACGATGCGGAATCGACAAACCTCGCCCAATGCCTTGATCACCGGCGTCACCTCCACCACGGTCTCGTTCTCCTTCACGATGCCGTGGTAACCGTTCTCCAAATTGTCGATGGACAATTTCGGAGCTGCAACAAAATTAAATACAAAATATAACAAACATTTAGTAGCGACATAAAATGCGACGAAATATGCATCAAGTATTCCTGTTGAATACGCATCTCTCAACTACCATATGAACCACTCAACGACCCAGTACATCTCTCAACTATCTCATTCATCTCTCAACTATACATTATTCAACTCTAAACTATGCTAGGCATCTCTCAACTACCCAATACGTCTCTCCAATTATCCTAAACATCTCTCAACTACCCTATGCATCTCTCAACTGTCTTATTCATCTCTCAACTATGCATTATGAAACTCTGAACTATGCTAATTAATCAATTATCCTAATCATCTTTCAACCATCCTAAGCATCTCTCAACTACCCTATGAATCTTTCAACTATCTTATGCATCTACAAAAAAGTATCATTTGTGTTAAATGAAGATCCACAATGATCTATTGACCGACGAGGAAACTCTGAATAAACTTAAGCATTTTCCCGGGCCGTAAATTCGCCCCGATTATCAACTTCCCGGCGCGTTAAGAGATAAATTACAGTCGACGGGTTTTTTTTTTAAAGAGGGTTGAACTTAAGGCGGTTGCGATTTTAATTGGCCCCCGGAGGAATTGTATAGTTTGCGACAATTAGTCCGGACGGGCTAGATGGATCCTAACTGTCCGATTTGCTTTAGAGAAGTTGGGCGAGTTTCGTGCAAGTCGCCGGGGCCGGGGCGTCGCAGAGTCCCGGGTTAATGAGGATAATATTCGCCGCGGTCCATTTCGACTATATTAATTATTTAATACGAAATGGGGCTGCGGCCGCGGTTGGTTCCCTTTCGTAGAGGCCTAATTGGGGTTGTGTAGTCGATAAAGACGTACGTCGAAGAGCGGAACTCGGATTTAATTAAAAGGTATTTTGCGTTTGTTACTGGCGATAAGTGCGTTTGAAGGGCGAGTGATGTTAATTCGAGGAGAAAAAAAGGCATTTTTTTGAGATTATTTGCACTCGCTACAGATGATTTGAATTAATGATTATTTTGTATAACATGTAAACTATATCTCGATTATTTTTAAGAACAAAATGTTAATAATTAAGCCGATAGCAGTAAATTTTCGGAGGCACTGCAAAAAAAGTGTCCGGCAATGAACAGTATAACCCATGAATCAATAAATCAATCATCAGAAATCAATAAATCAAAATACTATCATTAAATAATCAATTTCACTAGAGGTATCCATCGGAGTATTTTTTTAGTCCAGAAATTAAGTCCTATATAAGTTCATTATCTCCGTTAGTTTTGCTCCTATTTGTTTCAAATTTTGACACAACAATCTTATGTTGTTGTACAATCAAATGAAACAATAAAAAAATGAAAAAAAGAAGTGTGAAAACTACCGCCCGTCGGAAACGTAGAACGTGTTTGTTTTTCAAATGCACGATGCAATTATTCATTAGCGATTCGCCGGAGAGCTTTACGCATACTCGTGGAGTGTGCGTTTTGGAAAAATCAACATATCGATCAGCAAAAACGCGAGGTGCAAAGTGTATTTCGATGTCTAACGACAGCTATAAACAAATATTTACTGAAACGCGAAAATGCAGTCGGTGACCCATTGACATCGGTGTTATTTAATACAAAAGTTAAACTAATAAATTGTTGTGAGTGCATTTCTCAATAACGTCTACTCACAATAAAAACCCTTTCATTTTTTACAACATTATTATTTACGGGCGAAACTTTACGAAGAATTTAAAATTTACAACCAGACATTAAAGTCCCACACACAATAAAATTTATTATTAACAATTTCGTCAACTTTCTAAAACCCACCAGATGAATTCGTGCATTGTCTGAGCGGCATTACGACCGCTCTCCGTTGTTTGTCTTATCTTTTACGGTTAATTTTCGCGGTTAAACACGAAACGGTTGGTCGGAGAGACGAGTCAGTCGTTGACAATTTTAAGCCCTAATGAGCTAGTCGCTTTCTTTTTTTGGGGGTTCTAAATATACGCGCGGTGCTCGGAGAGCCAAAAAAATAAATAAATCGAAGCGTACTTTATGGAACGATAAACACGAAATCAAAGCGTTTTGGGAGATGATTTGCTTTTTTCGCGCCTCGATGTAACGAGAAACAGACGGCGCCCGGGCGGTTTGTTTTTCTCATTGCGCTAGGTAATGAACTTAGGGTAGGCGTGAAAGGTTTGATTTTGTACTTTTATAAGTTATGCACACGGTACGCTATTAAATTGTCACTTTGTGTGAGCTATTTAAATTTTAAACGCAACTAGAACACAACGCGGTCGTAAAAATTGGCATATTTTGGATAATTTAGATAAACTGAAGGTGAAGGTTCTAATTATTTAAAATGTAAAAACTAGTAAGATAAAATTTAATGTGTATGCATAACCAATTCTACTGCATTAACAAATAGATTCAACAAATTTTATATAAAGCTTTCTACTCGTCTCTAACTTTCTACTTCGAACTAAACATCGTTACACGTGCTGCAACGATTTTCATTAACGACCTTTTCCCTATTTTCTTCCTTAATTACATCTCCCGGACCGCCCAGTGTCCCTAATAACGTGTGAGTGGAGCCGCCGATATCGATAAACGTCCGAAAACGAATCGAAACAAGCGCAACTTTCCGCCCGGAAACTTTACAGTCCTCTTGGATTTTCGCCCAGAATTTTTCGACATTTTCCCAACGAAGTTTCCTCCATATTGACGCGGGTCGCAGGGAAAGTTGACGCGAACAAGCACCGGATTTGTATAAATAAAAACTTCAGTGTCCCTCGACTAAAAAAGTTTCAAGGGTATACATTAAATCTCAATCTCTTCAGAACGACAACGACGCTATTATTTTATTTATAAACAATTTTACAATCTCCTAAATGCTTGTTAATAATAAAGTGGTTGATAAATAGGAGTTCAAATTTTCCGCTCGATATTTTGTAGGAGCTTCTGTCGGTTTCATTCGGGGAAATCCAATTCTTTTTTCCGATCGCTTTTATGAAATTTATTTCGAACGGCGAATTTTCGTCGCGAACGGGAGACACACGGAATAGATTTCGAATTATAGAAATTGCCGGAAGACGAATTCGACGCGAACCAGAACTAGTGCCACAATAAAAAGTATGTTATAGGAAAAGCGATTTCGCCCCGTTTTTACGAGAGACCTATAAAAATATATATTTTATTCACTGCCACTTTCATAGCAGCCGATTTTATAACAAGTAAGTGGAAATTACGCCAGTAAATATTTAAAATAATGTCATAATTATAACGAATTATAGGTACTTGCATTTTTGTAATATTTACTAGGAATCTTATCTATTTGTTAGTTTTTGCGCAAATATAAAAATAAAACGAAAAAATCCCGCGTCCCCGCTTTAATTTAACATAAATTATTAAAATATATGTGTAAACTTCTTATCGTCCACAAAATTACGACAGTAATTAAAAACCGAGCGTTGTTTTTTCGACGGCACAATAAAAGAATCAAACAGCAAATACCTGGCTTCAGTTCACCGGTCCACTTCAATTAAACAATGTTTACCTTTCGAAAAATAATATTTACGGTTTGCGTCGTCCTTTCGACGATCGTCCTCGTCGATTCCAATGTCCTGAGGAACGACGCCTCCGATGGCGATGACGTCGATAACGAGACCGTCGATTATTACGAGAACTTAATCAACAGCGAAATGGAGAAAGCGATGAAATTCAAACGGCCTACCAGCGCCAAAATGCACGAACCCAACGATACCCAAATCAGAGGTAAATTCGATTAATTTACAATGCGTTCAAGTTAATGTAACGATCCTGTCATTACCTGATATATTGAATTATAGGTATACTCCGTTCGGTGTCAGGAGATTGTAATACTACACCCTAATTTTGTATGCGAAAGACAACACGAGTCACTCATGATATAATTTTATTATTCCAAATCTTTTACCACGTTTATTTGACTTAAGTTGTGACACTCTGTATACAAGATGTGTAAGAATAAGCGGCCCATAATTATTTAGTTAGGCTATTGTTAGTTATTTATCAAATTATTTATTAAAAATAGAACCTACTTTTCGTTTATTTGTCGGATTTACTGCTTCAAGAAGGTTTTTATTACCATCCCCTGATAGCGAACGGAGTATAATTACAACATGTTCAAGTTAATTTAACGATGACGTCATTACTTGATATATTGAATTAACTATATTCAATATCTCAATGATTTTTTGGGTATTTTCTGTTACACTGAAGCTTGAATTAACAATTCACTTGGTGAACATGCTCTAAAATAGAATATGAACAAAACCATCTCACCGTGATAAAATTATTTAACTTTTAAAAATTCCCATCTAATATGCAATAAAAAAACTTGATGGCATGAAATAAAGCAGATTCTACCTCCATCTGCTAAAATCTAGTTCATAATATGAAGTTTGTTTATTGCATATTAGATAGAATTTTTTGAAAGTTAAATAATTTTATAAGATTTATAAGTATACTTATAAAAAACACGCTCTCAGTTCGTGCAAGAAAATTTAAAAAATATTAAACTTTATCTAAATTTTAAAATTATAATAAGTATGTTTCTGTATAATATCAACTATATTATGCATTTATGAATTTATATTGTTTTCAAGATATGCGTAACAAGTTAAATAAAAATGTAGGTATTCATACATACTTACATATACGCATAATATACAGATCTGGCAATGTATTTAGGTAAATGTAATTCAAAATGCAGTAAGTATTATAAAAATTCTTGTATACCAATGAATTCTTCAAAAAAATTTGTATACTACACTTGGTATTTGTTGTAAATAAACAAGTACCTAATAAACTTTTAGACCTGCATCGAAGTTAAAAATTCTTGCAAATACTGGAAAATAGCCATTTTGTCACTAGATTTTAGTTCACTACAATTGCCGTCAGAGGTTATCCGGTAATTTAGCAACTTTCTTCTTTTAAAATAAAAAAAAACCGGTCACAATATCCTAGAACTATAACTCCCCATGCAGGGGAGGAAATAATTTGAATTAAGCAGCGAATAGAACAGAAAATTGTGGATCTTTTCGAGTAATGTACGCGGAGTAAAAACGTGATATGTGAAATACGGTTGGAAGTTTTTTTTTAACGACATAACACGGCAAATTGAATTTCGCGTATCACTGAAAAGGATTTCGCGTAACATCTGGCATAACAAATCCCTCGAAACACGCTTTAACGAGATATCTCTTTTTTCGAAAAAATAAAAAACGCACGTTACAAAGGCAACATTGGAGTATTCATCGGTAGAAGTGGGTATTATTAACTCACGGAGTTCTACTTTTCAATATGTATAATGAGGAGAAAAACGTGCAATTTTCAAGCTCTTTGCGCGTTTTATAAGGAGCTTTATTTTTTTTTGTCTCAAATACCATCTTCGACTGTGTATAGTATGTACGAGGCACGGCAGGATTCTGATAGATTATTGATTATGCATGAGGGCAATCCACCCGCCATCGTTTTTATTTCACTTCAAAAATTACAGTTCAAAGTTAATTGGATTTTATCGCATAAATTACCGCCGAATTCGCCCGAAAATTTAATAAAAAATGCGTTAGCTCGAACGACTAATCCGCTAATATTTCGCTCGAGGATTATTTTCATTAGAATAAAAATCGATTGGACAATTTGCGCCGGTTTTTATTATAACGGATAGTTGAAATTACGCTCAGCGAAGGAGCCGGAGCGCCCTCAACGCGCCTTCCCATACATTAATTAGGATCTCCGGATTTCTTTTTTGTTTAACTGTACCAGCTAACCCGATTTTTGTACGTGCAAAATCCGGGCAGACGATCGTAATTTTCGCGTTTCCGTGCCAGAAACTGCGCAATTTTCACGAACGCGCTCCCGTTTTCCCAACGCAACACCAATCGTTAAGAGCATCAAGCCCTATTTAATCTACCGGAATGATATCCTTTTATGTTATACGACGCACTAATCATACACCTACTCGTTTAATTTAAATAACAGCGGAGCGAAAATATGAAGTTGATAAAATTAATTTGTAACATTTATTTTTAATGGCGCCTCATTTCGCGACGATGCTCTTAATTCGTTCGGAACACACGGCAATAAAAATATTTTTTCTCGAATTAACGCGAAACATTTAGGTCGGGTTTTATTTTTAAAAAATCAACATATACGAATAGACAGCCTAGTTAACGCGAATTCGGGCTCAAAATTCGAACTACAAATAATAAAACAGGTCGGTCATATTTATTTACCCGGCAACCGCAATCGCCCTGTAGCAGAGAAGACGATCGGCCGGGGAAAATCGAAACCCACATGCATTTTTCATCAGATTAATTCGACAACACGTAACGAATATACCTCGTGTTTTCACGAAAGGTCCATCTATATGCAAGTTACGATTATTGATCGACTTTATTGCGATGTATTATTCAATGCGCTAAACAACCACACTGTTTTGAAATAAAAGATTTCAATCTAGTTTAGTCTGTAACCAGTTTACAACTAATATTAAACTTCTGTACGCACACGGATGCGACTATTATAAAATAGTTTCGATCAGTTTCCATAGTAATTTATCGAATGTCGAATGAATCACACCAGAAATTGGCAAGAATTTAAAGCAACTTGAAACTGCAAAGCGACTGCGACCGCGGGAAATGGTCGGGTACAACGGGTTTATGATTCATTGCAAACTAGTTTCATTTGAATCGACTACTATACATTGCCGAGGTTGCAAAATAGTTGCAAAATAGTTGCAAGATCAACTGGTTTACAATTTTTATTTTAAAGCAGTTGCTCCGCGAGCGGTCGGCCTAACGCGTCCAACAAGTCGCGGGGAACATGTCCCGCGGAAAGATAAAACGCGGTCTTTTCCGGGCCCCCATTGTTAGCGCCCCCCCGGTTATGCGCCGGCCATCATCGGCAAACCACTAGAACGTGATTAATTTCCGATGCGGATTACGTTCGTCTGGCGCTCGAAAGCCGCGCCAAGTACCTCTAATAACCAGGCAACTCAGCGTGCCGGATCGGTTTTTGCTGCAAGTGGATTGTCTATGCACGGCGGTGGAACTTTTAAGTCCAATTTAGCGTCCCGATATTACGGTGAAAGCGCTAGAACGCGCCTGGAAATTTCACCCTTTATTAGACGGTAAATTGGTTTCGGCGTTTGATCGGTAATCGACGGGTACACATCAACGAGGCGCATTCGTTTTTCGTTTCTCGTGTATTTGAAAGTCTTCTATGTTTCTCGAACTATGCGGAGGAAAATTCGCACTTTATATACTTCATTATTCAGTCGCGGGAACGAACAATAGAAGAAAACTTTGTTGTACGCCGGGGCAATAAAAGCCAAGGTGGTCTTAGTTATGTATAAGCTCTCCGAGTTGCCGAGGTAAGAGATTGAATAAATCAGTCTGCGGGTCGCTTTTCAATGAAAACTCGGGAAAATATCGAGTTTTCTTTGTGCGAAAATACAGGTGGCGTAAGCGCGTGCTGAATACCGACATGTGGAATATTTGCCAGTCGAAAAACTAGTCTAGTTCGGGGAATATGCGAAAGGAGATATTCTATTTCGCGATGCACAGATTATTTACACCGAATAACGGTCGCTGATGATGTGATCAAATAGTCGATGCGTTTTAATAAAGGCGGGTATAGGCGAGAGAATTAGCGCAATTAATCCGCTCTAATCAATCATATCCAATCGCGGTGCACGTTTGACTAATCCAGAATATACCGATATTATATTTCCCAGCAGGGATTACCGGTAATAAACGTGCACCGAAGCACCTCTCGTTCGTGCTATCGGAATTATAACCGATTTTTAAATTGTCGCTTAATTGAATGAAATATCATCACTACTCTATTGGAAAAATGTGATCTAATAAATTAATTAAACTCGAAATAATGCAACTACTTAGAATACTTTAGGGAGTTAGAAGGCTCAAAAAATAGTCCAAAATATCTGCTAGTTAAGGAGTGTTTTAAAAGGAAATAAATTTCTTATAGTAGAAATGGTCGAGATGGCTAATAAGTTTTCGATTTCAGATTTCGGTTCGTTCGATTTCATCGTAATCGGAGCGGGCTCGACGGGCTCGGTGATAGCCAGCCGGCTGTCGGAGATACTCGGCTGGAGAATTCTGCTGCTCGAAGCCGGCAAATATCCCAACAATTTCACCATGATTCCGGGATTCTTCGCGGTCCAGGCGATGACCGAATATAATTGGGGATTCGTCAGCGTTCCGCAGAAGACGGCGTGCTTAGGTGAGTCTTTTACACGTTCAAATGGGAATTCTTCGGCGCGTCCCCGACGGTGTTATTAGAAAACGTTTTATTAGTTTTGTGGATATAGTTTGGTACAATGCAATATGTTTATTCAATGCAAACTTTCTTAAAAAGTAGATACCATCTGGAACCCCGGGATAGACATTAATATTTCATAGGAAAATGTTCCTACGAAAGTTTTCCTTGCGACACAACTCGCGGTTATAGATGTATTTCAGGGGATTAAAAAGTTTCGGAACTCCACTCTGACTCTCTGCGTCGAGATTGCCCCTCGAAAACATTGCATTTTACCAGCGTTAATACGTATTCGCGTTTAAATTAATCGCACTAAGCCTAAATGTGTACGTTCGGGGCTCCGATCAAATTGGGATCGGCGCACAAGCAACAACGCCATTGTGTAATTTATTAGGAATTCGCGATAAGGCCTCGTTCAGTTAACGTTTAACAATGAGTCGGTAATTTAATACGTTCCCCGAAGGATTCCCTTCGACTTTATTACAATGGATAAAATCCCATACAAACGAAACGGGCATTATGAGAAACATGACTTACGGATAAACACGAATCAGTTTCGAGATAATATTGAAACACGAGGAAATAAATGGTTAAGGTATAAAAGTTTCTGTGCAACTAACGATGCAAGTTATCCCAGAGAGTTAATATTAAATTGGATATTGAGATGTGATAAAAATTATTAGCGTTTGATTAGTATTCAATAAGTATCTATCGACAGGATATCCATGGCGCGTGTCTCAATCGATGTATCGATTCGAGTAACTTTGGTTAATTTATCTCTATACGTGGGGATTTATTAAATAATGACGATAAACGGCAAGTTTCCTAATCAATTTCGAAGATGGGGAGAGGGCGAAATAATTCGAAAAGTAAAATCGCGCACGTCGGAAAAGACGCAACGACTTCGAAAGATGTTTAATTGGAATATTTTAAAATGTCACAAACTTTGTTAATCGCTAAAAGTTCCATTCATTCGACGACATTCCGAAATCGTCAAAAGCAAACCAAACGAATTTTAATAAGCGTCTATCGGCAAACAAAAAGTCCCATAATAATTCAAATTACCACCCACGTATTTATTTTCCAACACATCAAACATAAGATCCCGACCAATAAGGCTCCTCTCCTATGCCAACCGCAACCCCTTCTCTACCAACTACGTTCTATTAAATCCTGGAAAGCAAATAATAATCAATCCACGCACTCAAACTCCAACAGAGAAATATATTGTTTTTGCAGGAGCGGTAGGGAAGCGTTGCGTCGTGCACAGGGGCAAAGGGATCGGCGGGACGTCCCTTCTAAACCAACTAATTTACAGCCGAGGCAATCCGATCGATTACGATAGATGGTCGGATCTGCTCGTCGACCCCACCTGGCGATACGAAAACGTGCTGGGCTATTTCAAAAAATCCGAGGACTTCCACAAAACCAACCAAGAGGCGCCGCTCGATTGGAACTACCACGCCGCCGGCGGCAAATGGTACACCAGCTTCCACATGCCGCCCAACAACCTCACCAAGATCTTCCTCAAGGCTAACGAAGAATTGGGCGTCAACGTCACCGATTACAACGGCAAAGACGAATTGGGCGCCACCGTTTTGCAATTGAACGTGAAAAACGGCAGGAGGTACGACCAAGCCACCGCTTTCATCCAACCGGTGAACTCCAGAGAAAATCTAATTATATCCCCCGAGAGCTACGTCATAAAAATAGAAATTAACAACCAAACGAAGTTAACTACGGGAGTTTTGTTTACGAAAAACGGTAAACTATACAGAGCGAAAGCGAACAAAGAGGTAATTCTATCGGCAGGAGCCGTTTCGTCGCCTCAATTACTCATGCTGTCCGGTATAGGACCCAGAGCGCACTTGCAATCGAACAACATCCCAGTTGTGGAGGACCTCAAAGTCGGCTCGAGCCTCAGAGATCACGTCTTCTGCGCCCTGCAATTCTCCACCAACGTAACCACCCCGCATTCAACCTTAAAGGGATTAATTACCGACTACCTCAAAGGTTACGGGGATTTAACAGCGGGCAATCCACTGGACGCAGCCGCTTGGTACCAAACGAAACTAGACAAAACCCCCGGCTACCCCGACATAGAAATCATACCGACCTCCTTCACTCCGTCGGACATCGGACGAAAATTCCTGCAATGGAAACCCGAAACGTACAAAGAACTCAACGGCAAACTGAACAAAACTTTCTCCCTCACCATCGTCCTGCTGCGAACCCGATCCGCCGGCACCGTACGATTGCCCAGCAACAACCCCTACGCCTACCCGCTCATCGATTGCAACGCGCTCAGCGACAAGAGCGACAGAGACATCGGCACGATGTACGAGGGCATCGAAATGATCAGGAAGCTCACGCGAACGCCGACGTTCGCTAAAATCGGCCTCACACTGGAAACGCGACCGTTGTCGGCCTGCTCGGCGCACGAGTTCCAGTCGAAGGGCTTCTGGAGGTGCTACCTCAGGCATCTGTCGGTGCCGGCCTTCCATCCGGTGGGCACCTGCCCGTCGGGCGCGAGCCCCGCCGACGGGGCGGTGGTCGACGGGAATCTCAAGGTGTTCGGCGTGGGGAATCTGCGCGTGGTCGATGCCAGCGTTATACCGTTCACGATGGCCGGCCATCCCAACGCCGTGTGCACCATGATAGCCGAGAAAATCGCCGACGAGATCAAATTCGAACGGAACGTGTTCGAGTGAAATCGCACTCGTGCAAGAATATGACAATTTTTTTTTCGTGTCTCTCTATTAGCATTTAAATAAAAAGTTCTAATTGTTACGTTTTTTAATTTTTTTTGTTACGATTTAGTAGGAGTAATTGAGGTAAAAATATATATCTACGAAAGGTTGTAAATTGAGTGCAAAAGGGATTATAGATTTTAATCATGTAGGTAAATTTAGCAGAGAGAATTAAAGGTAATGTTAATCTATAGGTACTCTACTCTATTCAACCCTCTTCTACTATCTTTTACCAACTTCTACAATCTTCTACTCTCTTCAATTCTGCAATGTAAAATCGTTTATTGCGCTGCTTTTTGAAACAACGAAAAAAATGTTCAATTTCACTCAAAGTTTGCAAAGAATTTCTCTTTTTTACCTGAAATACTCCCGCCCCGAATTTACCTACAGGATTAAAACAACCTTTTAAGCATTCAGGTAATAAATATATTTCTGCGTCCAATTTACCATCGCCGCTACCTACAGCTGTTCCTTTACTCTACAAATACTAAAACTATCCTATTTTACAAAAACTCCATATTAAACATTAATTTTCTTGGTATCTACTTTACTAAACTCTTACTACATCAAACTTGTATATTTTTAATACTCTTTTATACTCTACTGATACATTTATTCAATCTCCTTACGTACTATACATTTTTCGTACTTTTACAGGCGCAGAAGGCCGAAAATGCGCCGTGCACATGGGAAAAGGCATCGGGGGATCTTCGCTCATCAACGTGCTAATTTACAGTCGGGGAACTTCCGCGGACTACGACAAATGGTCGGAAATGCTGCGAGATGCCAGTTGGTCGTACGGAAACCTGCTAAACTATTTCAAGAAATCCGAGGATTTCCATAAGACTAATCCGGAAGCGCCGGTCGATTGGGAGTACCACGGCAGAGACGGGTATTTGTACACCGACTTCCATTTGCCTCCGGACAATTTCACCAAGATATTCTTGAAAGCCAACGAAGATTTAGGGTTGAATATCATCGATTTTAACGGTAAGGGGAAATTAGGCGGTACCATCCTGCAAATGAACACGAAACACGGGAGACGATTCGACCAAGCGACCGCTTTCATCCAACCGGTTGAACAACGAAAAAACTTGGTAGTTTCAAAAGGAAGCTACGTTATAAAATTAGAAATAAACAACGCAACTAAGCGAACCGAAGCGGTACTTTTCACGAAAAATAAAAAAATATACAGGGCGAGAGTAAACTTAGAAGTCGTACTCTCAGCCGGTGCCGCATCATCGCCGCAGATACTCATGCTCTCCGGCATAGGCCCGAAAAATCACCTAAAACAAAAAAAAATACCGCTCATTCAAGACCTACAAGTCGGCGAAAATCTACAAAACCACGTCTTCTGTCCGTTGCAATTTTCATCGAACTACTCTTTAACCACATACGAACTCAAAGAGCAGATTAAACAATACCTTCGCGGCTACGGCGATTTAACGGCCGGCGAACCCCAGGACGGAGCCGGATGGTACTCGACCCAAAACACTCATCTCCCCGACATCGAAATCATACAGGCATCCAGCAACCAAACGGAAATGAACAAAAAATTCCTGCTATACAACCAACAAACCTACCAAGACCTCTACGACAACAACGCCAAATTGACCAACAGCTTCGGCCTAACCGTCGTTCTCCTAACCACCGCTTCAAAGGGCACCGTTCGACTGAAGGACAACAACCCCTACAGCTACCCTCTCGTCGACAGCAACGCGTTGAGCGACCGCGAAGGCACCGACATCGAAACCCTCTATCAAGGCATCAAAATCGCCCTGAAGCTCGTCGACACTCCCGCTTTTCGCAAAATCGACGCGCGACCGGCCATCGCCCGGCTGCGGGCGTGCTCGAAGCACGCCTATCTATCGCAGGCGTATTGGTACTGCTACATTAGGCACGTGGCGATGCCGTGGTACCATCCCGTCGGGACGTGCTCGTCCGGACGGGACCCGTCCGAAGGCGTGGTGGACGGCAACATGAGGGTGTTCGGGCTCGCGAATTTACGCGTGGCCGACGCCAGCGTGATACCCTTCACGTTCGCCGGCCACTCGAACGCCGCTTGCACCGTGGTGGGGGAAAAGGTGGCCGACGATATCAAAAGAAACTACAACGTTTTTTTCTAACGCCCCTTTAAATTCGAAACTAAGATTTAGATAGAGTGTGTCACGACGATGGTCCTTCAATAACCATTATGGTGACTACATATTTTTTTAAAAATTAGCTTTATTTTTTTATGTTAGGTAAAAATTAATCACGAATTAAAAAGTAGATATAGTAGATATATTTTTTTTTTGGGAAAAAATTCTTGTCTCGTGGGCAATTCGTTTCAAGGAAAATTTAGTGAGGGAATAATAGCGAGGAAGACGCAAACTATAAATAACTTCGCGACAATGTACGGAGACAAGGGAAAATTTTACTACGGGCAATTTCGAATCGAGTGCTTCGCTCAAGTGTTGTAAAAGGCTGCATTTACATTCAAGATGTTTTCCTTAATTTCATCACCGCGTTTTTACATCACGAATTTAATTATTCCACTTATTTGCATACTTATGGAAATTTGTTGCGCATTTTTTTGCTGTACATGTGTAGAAGGTTTTATAAAATTGAATAAATAATTATGTTTAAAAAATCGAGTTTTCGTTTGAAATATCTCATTCAAAATTCCTTCCTAAATGCTATCAAATTACTTCTATTGATCATATAGCACGGTAAGGATAACCTACGAGTTGTGGGTAACATCATAAAATTATCCTTGATGGGTTCGACTTTAATGGTGGTATAACCGACCGTCAATTATCATTAACTGCATGGAAAAACTCGCTTTTTGAATCCTCCGTTGGCAAGAACTTTCGGCGCATTAGCCGCGAGTTTTTTTAATTAAAACAACCCCATATCAACTGCAATAAACAACACGCGAACTCGTTCGAAAAGCTCCGGTAATGACGGCGAACTTCGGCTTAAGCTCGTTTTTCCGTAACGTAACTTTTAAATGAACGGTTAAACAGATTAGAAAAAACGATAACAAAAACCGTTTAATAGACATACGGGAGCCTGGGAATAAATTGCTTTCGTCTGAATTTTCGCCGTGCAAACTGGAAAAAATATTAAAACTTTCATGCGTTCCAACAATACCGATTTTTTTTCGATAAAAAGAATGTTATTTTAGAAAGTTTCGCATACGTCTGTATATATTTGGCAAACCTGTATAAATAATACGCCGTGACGTCATGACGTTAATAACTTGAATGTAGTTTAGCCAAAAATTGCATATGTCAAAAATAATTAATGACATTTTAGAGTGACATTTTACTTCCACAGCCGCCTACAATGAAGATCAAACTGCAGTGCTAAAAGAAAGGAAAAGATAATCCGCATTAAAGCGCCTCACTAATCCCTGAATATAATCCTTTCCAGCGTATTGAACAATATAATCAGCGACTCTATTATTTGTATGCATTCCAGTTTCTATGCAAATTCCTTGATGAAGGTATAACTCGCAACAATAGTTATTGGAAACATTGTTTCAAATTCGATTCGATTGCTTTATAGGACAGAGCATAATTCATACAGCGACTTGGCTATGCACATAACAACCTCATTTGTAATACATACCTAAATCGATAGCATGCTAAATAAATCGCTGGAATTGCCAAAATGAATTCGATGTAGAAAAATAACGGGAGAAAAACGATGAAATTCAGCTGCGAACCGCCGACGCCACATCGGACTAAAATGGGTGTCTTTTCGGAAAATTAAAAAATATAGGTACTTCGCCATTTTGTAACAATCTACTTACACCTGGCTAAAAGACTTTCAAACAACCCCTTTTCGATGAACCTCCATTTATTCAGGTCGACTCGCCAGCCGAGCTCGGCGAAACAACCACCCGCATTTGTTGTTGCAGCGTGATGAGCGATAAGGGAATTTGTTTACTATACAAAATGTCACAGGTGAACCTGTGTGTGGTGTAACTCACCTGCATAATCGAACGGGTCAGACGCAAAAGACAATCCTAATAAGAAAATAACACTGAACACTCTTAGTACTAACATGTCTGTGGAGTTTTTCATAAAAAAATATGCACCCAACAACTTCTCAAGATATCGAGAACAATTTCATATCGCGAATCGCGATTGTGAAACTAGTCTTCATATACGGACGGCAAGTTTTTAGTCTGCCCAGAACAGTTTGTGCCAGCGCCGCTAGGGTGGCACACAAAAATCGATTGACACTTATATACTCTAGTACGTTTTTTTATCTAAAATGTACTAAATTCTGACTCTTACTATTTAAAAATGCAGCTATTTTGTAAAAACCTAATTAAATACAATTAGAATAACCGTAAAGAATTATAATTAAAGATGTTTAATTTATATCGTGTATCCAATAAAGAAAAGTTGTTTCTAATATGTTTTATAAAAATGTTTGAAAAAAAAAGAAGAAGTAGTGACAGGTAATCAAACGTCAAGTCAAGTCAAATATTCGATACAAAATTCTTTCCATTTCTTTCTGATAAACGAAGTTGAACGGATAGGTCGTTTCCCTAAGAATGGCTCCTGTAAGTTTAATTTTTATTTATTTCCAGTTAAATTAACCCATCAATCTATAACAATTACTTTTACAAATTCATATTACAACGAACTAAATGTCTATTACGATATTTTTTGTGATTTTCCAAAAAATATCCCGTTTACACGTGTTTATAAATTTGTGATAGTAATTGCGGGAATTAATAGTTTTTTGTGCTACAGATGAACCTCTGTGTTTCGTCAAGCAAAAGTCTGGTCGAAACACAACTAATTTTGTTGTGGATTCCAGACGAAAGCTGCGGTGCCCCCCACGAAGCCCCAGGGCAAGAGGCCCCAAATCAGAGGGAAAGGTCTCAAAAAGAAGAAGGTGGCTTTGAAATTTGTTATCGACTGCACCCATCCGAGTGAGGACAGCATTTTGGATGTTGCAAAGTTTGTAAGTATCCCCATTTGTATCATTAAATCTTCCACGTGTTTTTTTAATATCTTATATCCAATAGTTCTAATATATTGTTTGTGTTTTAGGAAAATTATCTCAAAGAAAGGATAAAGATCAATGGGAAGACCGGGAACTTCGCTGCTGGTAAAGGAGGACAGCATGCTGTTACTTTAAGCAGGGAAAAGAACGTGAAAATTGTTCTCAATTCTGAAATTCCCTTTTCGAAAAGGTAAGAAGCTTTAAAAACCACGAGGTTTTGCATCACAGCTCCAGCTCCACGTGACTCTATCATTGGTTAAAGTGGCGTTTTATGTTGTGTATATAAGAGGCATTGCTCGCTATGTTTACCTCTTTCGAACTGAATTGGTAAATACACTGTAATGCTACATTTATATTTGCCAAATGCAATATTTATAGTATCTAATAATTGCTGAATTTACAGGTACTTGAAATACCTTACAAAGAAATACTTGAAGAAGAACAACCTTCGTGATTGGTTGAGGGTAGTTGCTTCCGGAAAGGACTCTTATGAATTGAGGTACTTCCAGATCAACAACCAAGAAGACGACGATGAAGAAGATAATGAATAAGATAATTGTTATCTTATATTTTTATTAAATTAAGATAAAAATTCTAAATTGTGTTATTTTTTAATCAGAATTTTATACATAACCAACTAATATTAGAATCTTGGCATGGCTTGAAAGGTATGTGCCAATATTGACCATTTTTCTGAGCACTAAATGTTAATGATGGTGGAAATCTAAAAAATGGATTTCCCTCAGCAGTTACTTTTACCAACTGGTACTGTCTTTGACTCAACCATCGATTGAACAAGATCCTCAATTTGGTTTCTTTTAATAAAAACTTGTGACTTCTCATTAAATCCCTAGTAACTATTATAGTATTTTTCCCAGAGTTCAACGCGCAATACAGCAAATAAGGGTCATCTTGGGATATGTTATTCGTTAAAAATACCGTTGCGTTTTGGTTGATGAAGCTCCAATTGTCTCTAGGCCATTGCTTCATGTGGTACCGGCCAACTACCAGTACCTTTTTACCTTGTTTAACGAAATAAGACACAACAGAAGCTACCTATAAATGGCAAAATTATTTAAAAAGTGAAATAATTAGAAATTTTACTTACAAGTGAGCTAAATACTTGTGGTGAATGCCTAGTTCCGGCTGAAAAGGCAACATTTAAACCATCCAGAACTACATCGAATTCCTCTTGTGCGCTAATAAATTCGTTAAATCTGTTCACTTCGTTGGGGTTTGTTTTGACGAATATATCTCTCCCTACAATTACGTTCTTGAATATTGCAGTTTTCAGTGCTGCAAACTCTTCGTTGTCGAGATCGAACTTTTCTAATTTTTGGTTGCAATTTCTGCAATCTGCTCTTTTAGAAACCTAAAAAAAATAGTGAGAAATATGTAATTTACTTATAATTTCACTTACAGCAGTTGCAAAATTTGTTAATCCACTTTCGTTTCCAAATTCACTGATTTTTAAAGCAACATCCGATTCGATTACTATATCGTTTTCTTGTAGAAACATAAAGAGCTTCTCTAGTTCAATTTTTATATCATTTTTTGTCGCCTTTAAGTAATTTAAATAAGCGTAATAAACAATGTTGTCAATATTCTTCTCGTCGAGAATCATTTGTTGCAATAGTGACCAACCAATGTCGATCTCATTGTTTAAAAAGGCTGCCGAAGCAGTCACACTGTAGGATAAATTGCTTGGTATTTTGGTTAATTTTATATCTTCCAGTAGAGTTATACATTTTTTCCAATCTTTAGTTAATGATAGAGCTGAAATAGAACCTTCTAAGGTAATTGAATCTAAAATTTCGTATTTTTTTCTTAGAGAATTGTATCTATCAAGAATTAATTCCTCTTCTTTCGTTTTTAGTGTTTTGCCATACAGAAACCGATTGTCCCTATTTAATAAATATAATAGACTAAAATATTTAGCTAAAAAAAATGATAATGTAATGAACATATTTATATAGCGAAAATTTCATACTATACCTGTAGTGGCAAGATTGAATTTAATTTCTTCCTTATTCAAATAGTCTATAAATGAATTTCCCAGTGAACAGTTGTTTTTACTAATACACTGACCCAAAATAATAGCATCAATATTGTGTTCATTAAATGCCTTATTAGTAAGAAGTTCTTGGCGAATTTGAGACCATTCTGACCAGGATTTCTGCGGAATTCCTTCGAAAGTATCAAATATTTCTTTTCCAAACACTGACTTATGAAGTATAGCTGGCGGTTTGCCTGAAGAATAATGTATTAATCTTCTGTTGTTAGAAAATAATTTGAATATTCTTTTGTACATGTTTTCTATTTTAAAAATTGGTTATCGTTTTCATAATAAGTTAGGTTAGAAAGCGGCATTCTTCTTTTTCTTTGATATTTAGTACTATAGGAAAAGACCATAAATGTCATTATTTAGTATGACCGAATAGCTAAACAATTGAGGGCTTAGCTAAAAAAGAAGACGGAAGAAAATTTATTTGAAAAACCAAATAAAATTTAATTTTTTTTACAAAGAAATTTAATTTTTAGATTTAACAAAAAAATTCACATCATATAATTAAATAAACGAACTAGTGCTATTCAAATTAACTTTTACGTAAAAAAAACGGCAAGCTCCTTAAATCTAAATCTGGATAATCGGAAAATAAATTCGAATTAAACCTACGCGATTCGATACTCACTAAAAAAAAATTCGACTAAACTACCTCGTTCGATTCCTCCTGACTTATTGCCGGCGTTTCCGAATTGTCCTACAAGACAAAAAAATTAATAACCCCTCCGAAACCTTCGAGATAAACCTATTCGTTTATTCTAACTTGATTATTCGCAGGCCTCTCGACTACACAGACTTTTTTCTTGTTCAACGGACACTCCAATTCGTGCGAGGCTATTCTCTTAATGCCGGCCCTGAACGAGCAGCTCTCCGTTTCGAAGCTGCACGGAACATCAACCACATCGGAGATATCCTCTAATAACAAGTTCCTCGTGTCTTCGATGCTGCCTTCGCAGGACGGGCACTTCTCCACCTACAAAGTAATAAATTATTATCGTATTTACGCGAATGTTCGTGAATTTACCTTGGTTTTGCAGACTTTGCAAAGCGTATGACCGGCAACGCATTGATGTATCGGGGGTATCATGTAATCCTTGCAAATGGGACATTCGAATAATTGCTTCAGCACTTTATCGTTCTTATCCTGCTTCGGTTCTTTGAGGACGATTTGGTAGGTTAATGAGCTCGATTTGAACGCTCTCTTTATACAATCCCTGTTGAATTTAGTGGTAAGTCTTCTGAAAATCTCCATTCTCTTCACCCTGTAGGTGTGATCGCTTATTTCGCATATACCTGCGGGGATAAGGGTTAGTAAACGATCGATTTATGAAAGTTAACATACCGATCGAACACTTGAAACAATGCTCCTTATCGTTGAATTTTATGACCTTCTGATCAGTAGCGATGAGGGAATACCGTTTGTTGTCTGGCATTAATTTAACTTCATAGAGTTTATCGGTGGGATCGATCGAGCATACGCTTATGCCGAAATGGAAATCATCGAAGTCGAATAATAGTAGGTAGGTTTTTCCATCTTTTACCAAAACATCAACGTTATAATATCCATACACGTTACTAAGAGTCACCTAAAATTACACGCGAAAATTTAGTAAATTTAATATGTTTACAATTTGTATTCATTACCTTATTAAAATGGAAATTTGCAATGTGACTTTCTTTAAAATGATTGCTTATAGTAGACAGCAAAACTGTCTTTTTGCATTTGGACATGGGACAAACGATCTCCTTGTCTTCTAGCTTATCTTCTACGGGATGTTCGAACAATTTCAAATTCGAAACGGCCTCTTCTACGATGTAGTTCCGTGTATTGTCTATTTTACTTTCGCACTTGGTACACTTCTCGGTTTTACCTTTGCACTCCCTGCAGATGGCGTGCCCGCTCAAGCACTGAAAAATCGTTTCTTTGAGGGGTTCTCGGCACGCTTGGCATTTCAGCATGTCTTTGATAACGTCAGTCTTGACGGGCTCGGCGGGTTTCTCGCCATCGTCTTCTTCATTCACCTCATCGATTACCACGTCTTTACCGCCCAGTAACAAATCGTCGATTTCGTCGTAGTTTTCCGTCTTTTCATCGACTATGTTTATGATACATCCTATTTCATTGCCGAACGTGCGCTTGAGCAAATCTTTGTCCATTTTCGAGTGAGTGTAATTCAGCAGGCCCCGTCTGTAATCCCTGAAACTGTGGAATATACATTTACAATCGCCTTTCAAGCACTTATAGCAGTGCACTCTTTCCTGAAATTGCACCAAGTTCTGCTCCGTCAAAACGATTGACTTGTGGTTTTTCCCGTGAAACGTTACTTCGAATTGTTTCTCCAGCTTTTTCGCGCCTAGATAGGTCACGCACAACCGTATTTTATCGATGTCACTGTCGTAGAGGAACACGAAACATTTATCGTCTTTTTCCAGGACGCAGAATCCGTAATTCGAGCGGAGGGTTTCTATCGATATCGAGCCGTTGTGGTACAGCTTTTTGTGCTTCTCTTTGAAATGGGCGGCAAATTCTCTTTCTAGAACAGTCTCCTGGCAATCCGAGGCGAGGCAGGGTATTGTGCGGTGGTCGCAATTCGCCTCGTGGTCCCGGACATTGTCCCAAGGCAGAATTTCTTTGCAATTTTTGTATACACAAGGAAACTTCATGTGCTTAGCCAAATTCTCATAAATCAAGTTACGGAAACAAAACCGAGTTTTAACATTACACCTGGCGCATTTAAACTTAACATCCTCTTGAGTGGTCATAAATATCGGCCCGTAAGATAAATACAACTTGCAGTAGGAGCATTTCAGGTGCTCGACAACCTCCTGGCCCAGCACGAATCCTTCGCTTGAATTTTCCATCAGGTTGCACTACTGTAATTTCAATTGAACGCTTATTTAAATAGTTACGCACTAATAGCGGCGTTATTTTAATTTTTTACTGGAATAAATAAAATCATAATCAAGCCGGGATGATCATGACATTTACGTCACTTGTCAAACCTAACACTACTTTGACACTGTTGACAGCTCTAAGTTATTTTGCACAAAGAAAGAAGAAATATTAGGTTAGCTTATAATTTTAAAATAACAAAATAAGTGTTTATATTTATCATGTTTTCATTAAACTATTGTCGTAATTTGTTAAGAAACATTCAAATTTCACCCAATTTGAAAAGCTACGATGCTTTCCACACATCAGCTTCAATTTGCGGAACCAACAAAGTGGCGAACGCGATGAGAAAAGTGATGGGAAAACACAATGCGAAGAAGAAGTTTTATTACAATGAAACTATTCCGCATTCGGCGAAAGTGGCGTCGGAAATATCCACTCAACGTGCCGTTATCGATTCGAGAAGAGCTGTGGTTTTGAACAAGCTATTTATGCGAAACATCACCGATTTGATGTCTACGGGCGAAAACGCGCATCTACTACTAGGATTAGGAGTCGAGGTAGTTAAAGTCCAAATCACGTTGGACTATAAAGTGTTGAAAGTATATTGGTCGACGCAGAACAGGGATTTGTACAAGGTGGAGGAGATATTAAAGAGAGTAGCGGGGCCTTTGAGGCACGAACTGTCGACTTTGAGGCTAATGGGACAGGTGCCTCCTATTCAATTTCTTCGAGACAAATCCGCATGTGTTTTACTCGAATTGGATAGAAGACTGGCTGTGGCCGATTACGGGGAAGAAGGGCCTAGTAACATCGATCCTGCGTCCGTTTTTATATCGGAACTCCAACTCACGCTACCTATAGATAATACAACAAAAGAAAAAATCAAAGATTTAGAAAGACAACATCCGATAGAAGAAGATCTATCACAAGTTACCGATTTGCCTCTGATGACTAACTGTGTGTTTGGTTTAGATCATACATCGATAATGAACAGAATTAAACAGGCTTCAAGGAGCAGGATTAACTCGAATACAGAAAATTGGGCTCGTTACAAACTTAAGCAGTATTCCAATTCAGTTTCGTTGGATGTTGATGATGAAAAATCCCAGAGAGAGGTGTTTAATAAGTTCTTACAGCAAAGGCAAATACTAAAGAAACGCCAAAAGGAATATAAAAGAAGCATTGCTGTTCCTTTAGAGGATTATGAACTACAAAACGAACATGGCTACGAATATCCCGATGGGGATTTCATCGAAGAAGACGAGGATAATTTGAAGTAGCAGAAGTAGTAGAGATGAAGTAGATTCTGGCTGTGAGTTTGTTAAGGTTTAAAAAAATCAAACAATTTTACTTAATAAAATATTGTACTACATATTAAATAAGTGCAGGTGTATAGCCTTTCATATTAAAATCACAGTTTTTATGTTAAAATTAAAGGAGTTAATGAATTGGAAAAAAAATATGAACATGATAGGATCACTTAATAACTAAAATGTACTTATTAATAATTATATAAAAGCAATAAATTATTTAAAAATAATTTTTGTTAATACACCAAAAAAACAGTGGTACAGCTGCTTCGAATTAATGTTTCCAAACAATTAACTATTAGAAAATAAAAAAAAAAAATAAAATAATTTGGTACGTTTGTATCAAAAAACAAAACATATAAATTTAAACGAATTACAACTAAAATAACATTGCCTACGCAGCGGTTTCGAAACGCTATCGATTGAAAAACCTAAGCAAATATCTTCTCCTAGGAGGCACGACCGGTTCACTGGGCATCTTCGTTTTGACCTCCTGCTTCGACAATTTATTCCTCAGCTGCTCGTCGAGCAGCTCGTGCATGTCCATCTGCCACTGCTCCAGCTGCTGGCTCAACTCGACCTTCTGCTGCACCGTCTCCAGCAGCTGGCTGTTCGCCTGCATCAGCTCCACCCTGGTCTTGGCCAGCTCCACCTCCGCCTTCACCCGCCTCTCCACGGCGCCGTCTCGGTCCTCGCGCGCCTTCTGCACCACCTCGTCCCGCGCCAGCGACGTGTCCGAGGCGTCGTGCACCGCCCTGTCGCGCTGCTCCAACGCCGAGGCCAGCTCCACCTCGCAAACCGAAGCCTACAACAAACCCGAATTACACCACATCTAAAAGTCTCTCGGCGACGATTACCTTTGTACTTAGCTCCATGAGCCTTTCGGCTCTTCTGGCCAGCTCGTCGTCCCTTTCTTGTATCTCCCGCCGCGCTTGTTCCACTCTCTCCAGCAGTCTGACGACGTCGGTGTCTAATACTAAGCCCACCAGCTCCTGGGCGACTTCGGTGAGCATGCCGGGTGTAAATCTGCACGAGAAACAGCGTTAGGAACTAATTTCTGGTGGGTAAATGATAAGCTTACCTAGTGGAATCGTCTAAGGAGGTAGTGGAGCAATCCGAGTGCAATCCGCTGTCGTCGTCCGAGTGGGATTTGAGCTGTTGCACGAGCGACCGAAGCTGCCTGTACACCGATAGACATTCCTGCGACAACGTCGGCTCGGATATGTCCATTTCTGATAAGAGAGATCGTTCTTCACCGGCTATAGGGTCGAGTGTTAGTAACGTGAATTAGTCGATTGTTGTATTTAATTCTTACCGCTTAATCTATCTTCTATGGAAAGCTTCTCCTGCGGTAGGGAGTATTCCTTGAGGCTCTGTTGATACCTCATGTCCTGCTCCCTGGAGCGCCTTTCGAGCATCAGTATCCTATCGGAGGCTTCTTCCAAAGCCAGCGTGATGTTATCCCTATCGGCCGCCGCCATTTGCAACCGCCTCTCCAGTTCGCGGTTCTTCTCGCCCGCCAATTCCAACTCGTCCCTGAGACCGGTAACGCTGCTCATGTGCTCCTAAATAACAAATACATTTAACGCGAAACCCTCGAGATTTGGTGGAATAGATCTACCTGCAGGCTGCTCTTTCCCATCATCAGCCGCTCCTTGTACTCGTCGATCTCCCTGAAGAGCTGCTGCTCCTTGTGCGAGGCGTCCTTGAGCTGGGCGGTGAGCCGGGCGTTCTGGGCGCCGAGCTCGGCGACGAGGCCGCTCTTGTCGCGCTCCCATTGCTTGAGCAGGCCGTCCTTGGCGTTGAGCTTCGACGTCAGCTCGGCGACGTCCTTCTCCAGTTCGAGGATGCGCGCGTCGAGCTCCGACTCCTTGGAGTGGAGCCGCCGGCGCAGGACGTGCCTGTCCTGCTCCACCAGCTGCAAGAATTTGGATGTCAAAGAGGGCGGTTTGTTGGCTGATTGATTGCGTTTTGTGGTGACGTTTTTTTGTTTGGGCGATTAATTGTTTTGTACGTCATTGGCGATTTATTTTAATGCGGGTATTATTGTTTGAGGTGCAATAAAAAACGATATCGATAATTAAAAAAAGTGAATTTTGCGTGGGTTTGAATGGAAAATGGGTTTTTATTGCGTTTGCGAAATACGTATTAACCGAGAGTTAGGATCGAGTCGAGCGCAATTTTTTATACAAAAAGATCTGTTATCTTTTCCGGATTAATTATCTTACCCACATATTAACTAGATTGGTTCGAAATAACCGGACTAAATCTCCTTCTATTTGCATATTTTTTATAATTATTTAATGGTTTAATAGATCGTTATTGTAGCGAGAATTCTGTACTGTAATTACCATTATATAATTTACGTGGTTGGATTAAATTGCCGCATCAGAAGACAGAGAGAATCTGCATAAGTTTCAGGCGATTTAATGGACCTTATTGAAGTCCAAATAGCCCAATTATATCGAACGAAATATAGGGGTCGTTCCACATGCATAACCGTGACTGTGCTGTCGAAATAGCAATCTTTTATTTTCTATTTTGATCGTTTCCGTTGTAACCGCACCTCGGCGGAAACGTGCCTTCAAGCAGTTGAAGAGTATAATGCCTACATGAGAAACATATTCTAATCCACTCACACCCTCTTTCAGACCCTCCAATTGTGCCCGCTTTCCGTTTATTTTACTACATAAAGCATGCACATTGCGCACTTAGCTGCTTCAGCTATTTCCGTCGGTCTGTAAGTTGCTCGTTATGAAAGCTTTGTAAAGATTTGTTGAATATGATCCTATTAGCTTAATTTGTTGAATAAGTTACTATTAAAACGTCTTCTGTTCGTTGCTTTGATAATTTTATTGTTCTTTTTAAAAAAAAAGTATAATTTATCTATACCTACACAATTACTTCTATAGACAATGGAACAATGAGATATTCAAGTGAAGAGATTTCACCGATCGTCGGTGGAAGATAAATTCGCGCGAATATGTATCATATTCCGGTTTAACCATCGCAGGAAATTTAACAACAAATAAATCTAAATAATTCATTAAATTTTGCGTTGTTTTTCGAACCGAAAATTCAGCAGGAGCCCAAATCAAGGTTAATGTGTCAAAGGCTTGACCGCCAGTGCAGCAATTAAGATTCTTATCTATGATAATTTGTTATAAATTTTTGGTGTAAACAAACAAAGGAAAGTCATTCATTGGAACCTTTACTTTTATCAGTGATAGTAAGAGTATTTCTTTATCGCAAAAGTAATAGTAAAAACTTTGGAAATTGCATTGAATAATGGAGTTGAATAACGTAAATGTTCAAATTAAATTGGTGCCTATCCGAATTTAATTTTTTTTATGTCTGACCTCTAATTTCGAGGTTTACTCGTTGATTTGCAGCGTTAAAAATAAATCGGCGAGATTACTGGGGAGACCTTTAAATGTTGAAAATTCGTGTCACTGGTGCAATTATCATACAATGTTAGCATAAACGATTGTAAAGAAATTGCAAACGCTAATAGACAATGTTAAAATTTACATATCTCCTCAATGCACATGTTTTTTTTTTATTTATAATATGATAAGATAGGTGAATAATTAAATAGAAAAAATGCTCGAAAGAAACTAGAATAATCAACATTAGAAACAACATGTAATTTCAATAAAAATTCAAAAACTATGTTAAAAAAGACCAAATTTATCTAAAACAATGAGGAAAAAATACCATTATCCACCAAACTTTCTTCCCACAATTTCCAAAATTCTATCTATCCCGTTAAAAATAAGTAACACTTCTTTGCATAAACAGTTACCAGCTCCAGATTCCAACAAAAACTAATCAAGATAAAACAAATTCCTGGCCGTTTACACTATTAGCAACAGCCCCCAACGAAGAAATATGAAGACTCGCCTGCGGGGAAACACAGCGATTCAATAAGGAATACCAACATTCCCGCAGATTTCCGCCGATATCTTCGCAGAATGCACACCTGAAGGGGTTTCACGCACGATCGCTTTCGAGTTTCCATTATTTAACATCGACATTAGCGCGAACGGATTGCATAAGCGTTATTGCGGCCGATAGAATTAAAGCGATAAAATAAAACGCTCGTTGCATTATCGATGCTCTTGTTTCGATAAAGCGAAGAAACCAGATCGACGGGCACACTTTCGCGAACGCGGGTCACCTCATCCTAAAATCTTTCTTATGTAAGTTCGTATGATAGTTCCGTGAGTGCAGAGAAAATACAGAAGTAATTTCGACCCTAAAAATCCTCCATTACTCAACTATTATGCATCTACTGCGCTGAATTAATTGGTTCGAAACTAATTCGGTTTCGCACCGTGAAAAAAATTATGTTCCTGGTGCCGATTCCTCCGCCGCTGAAGCGAAAGAACCAGTTTTGCATCGTTCGAATTCGAAAAATTAACCGAGTCGTTACTGATTTCAGTTAATTAGGTCGAAGCAGTCGGAATTGAAACAATAATCTCTGAAGTAATATACGGTAGGAAGTCATGCTGTTGCGGTTAGCGCATGAAGGCTGTGTTATAAGATCCGCGTTTGCCAATCCGTTTCTGCAAATGCAAGATGGTGGCTTAATTTCGACACGTTTTTTAATGGCGAAAAAATCCCCGATGAGTCTTCTTTTACTAGTTCATTGGCCTTTTGTTCGTACGTACACGCAGCCACTAAAGGAATCCCGGAACGTGCCCATCTGATACAACCATTTATTTTAGTTTCAACAAACCATTAAAAACCACTATTCTTCGTAACAAAGAAACGAGATACACTTTATAATTAAACGAAAGCGCGATTATGCATTGTTCGTATGAAATTATCGAGATAGGTAAATATGCATATCAGAAGAAACTCTTCGCATAAAAGCCTTTAAATGTAGCTAATAAATCCGTTCACTTTCTTATGAGAAAGGTCACAAGGAAGATTGTCTATATATGCGCTCATTGCGGCGTAAAATCGACCGGCATTACGAAATCAGTTCGTTTCGAATTAGAATAAATGAAGGTGGAGAACATTAATATGTAGATCAAAGAATAATTTATTATCTAACTATAAAATAATCTCTTGTAGAAACAGCGCAACAAACGAAACCAATTCCCTCTGCTAAAAGCTTTCGGAATAAACCACAGCAAAGAAAACAAAAGCTCGAATTTTAATCGTCCTTATATTTAGAATGGGCCTCATGTTCGATGAGAGTTATATTTAAAATGGTTCTATTTTATGTGTACGCACACATATCCGTTACAGTGGGTAATTTCTGGGCTCCTCGACGCCGGGGAAAAAGTTCACGCACTGATAAAATTATTATTTTTTGTATTTCGCCGCGCGGAGAAGACAACATCGCAGGCGGGTAATCAGCGGAAAATTAAAGGAGAAATTCGAAAATGAAGTAAAACGCGCGCACCGAGGAAAACACATTGCTTACGGACCGGATATTTTTTCGATTCGCGAGTCGAATTTGAATAGAGAAAGTACCGGCTCGAACGAGCAGAATATTCGTCTAATCAAATTGGCCATGCTCGTTTTATTAGGCATTTATGCGCACTTTCGATTGAAAATTTTAATCGGTGCTAACTTCTGGGAGGTCAAAATGGATTCATTCAATCATCGGCTAGAGCTAGAGTAGGCCGTGGAAATCTATCGGAAGTTAGACAAGTGACGTTGACCATTATTGACAATAATTACTATAGGAAGCAGGAAATTTATTTTATAACAAATAACCGTACGAATCGGTCCGAAATTTATTAATAGATAATTATATAGACACAAAATCTGGTACAACGAACCATTATCCGGTGTCATTGCAATTTTTTATAACGTTATTCGTACGTAATCACAGAACAATAAAATGACACGAACTTCTGCTGGTTCGCTGGAAAACATCGGCTTATTCGATGAGTAACGTTCGGAAATGGATGCTATTCAAAATGTTGGTATTTCACATGCATTAATAGGTACTTACTTGCGCAAAAAAACTAATTTGTATTTCTGATATTCTCTAATAGATTATTTCAAGTATTAAATCAAGTAGTTCGAGAAGTGAAAAATGACAGCCCTAAATGACATCTCGATCAAAATCATACATATCGGTAAAAGCAACATTGTTTGCAATATGGTCGATTCTATGAGTTGAACAAGGAAAGAATAATAAAATGACAGTTGTGAGAAATGACAGAGTGATAATTGCAAATCACTCAATCACTCTTTCTTGTTCTTGTATATAAGACTAACGGAAGTTGTCTTTGTTGCATTCATAGCCTATATTGCAAACAAATTTGCACATACCCATAACTTTGTGAGCTCTTTAACTAAAATTTTAAGCGGCTTTTAAACTCGTACGTAATCATTTATCTTTCGGCAAAAGAGTTGTAAGTGAGAAGCCGCCTTGACCGAGTTCTACTTTTCCACCTTGTAAATAATAAGGTTTTAGTAAAAGGATATGGAGTCGATCGATAAGAGCGAGTTGAGTATACCCCACGCGATCTCATGCTCATACGAATTAATATAATAACAACGAGCTCATTACCATACAGGATGAAGTTGTTCGTGAATCACATACTTGAGTAAAAACTATTCGATTTGTTCGTTAATATTGTTATGATCTCATTGATGCTTCTGCGATTTTATAATCGAATTATTTTGTTATCTTGTCCATTAAAAAAATTAGAAATATCGTAGTGATGTAAGTGCGTACTCATTGAATTGATAATAGAGCGTGAATTACTTTGCTACTTGGGTAAATTGGTTAAATTTTGATTTATACGGCCAAAATTTGCACAAAGAGCGGGTTCAAAAGGCGAAACTAATAGTGCATTTTATGGAAATGCAACATTAAATTTTGCTCTTCAGCGGCTTTATTCCTTTACGTAACAATAGTTTCGGATAATTCATCTATAATAACCTCGTCTAATTAAAATTCTAATTACACTTTGTTTTTTGTTCGATTGCGTTCATCAAATTTTTTATGCTTATCAACGGAGATAAAGATTTATAACCATGCTAAAAATGCCATTCACTTTTTTATGACTTATTGTGCGCACTTCGACTTTTGTTTTAAACTAATAAATGCATGACTTGTGCTTTAATTCATGCTGTGAAGGTACAATCTTCCATGGGAATATCAACTTTCTTCTTTGAAAGACATAATTGTTACGAAATACTGCTAGACACTCATATAGGGTTATTTGATATGAATTACCTGTCCACTATCTTATACCATTAATAAAATTAGATAATTTTGTGTTTTTTTAAACGAGAATATGGAGGTAAACTAGCAAAATAAAAATAACTGTTACGTCTTGGTTAAAAATACCAACATGAGTAATTCGCTGGAAGAAGTAGAACTTTACCGAGAGTGAGAGAATAACGACCTAAGAGTGAAAACCTTGAATTCGAACGTATTGTACTTACGTAGAATACCCGTTTCTTTGTGGAGAACATTCGATGACTAATATTCGAAACTGGATTTGCTTTTTTTGATCGAAATTACGTATTTACAACACCCACAAACGCTGAATTTAATTCGAATTCGATACAAAAAAAAATTATTCCCTCTGCTATACACCAAACTTCGACACCAAAATTTGACAATTTAGAACGCCCAGATTGACAATTTTTTGCGAAATTGTCAAAAATCTGGAATGGCTGTTCTGTTGATCGGAAGGAAATTTTACATTAAATTCTGGAATCTGGCGAAACCGAGATGCCTCATCACCGCGGTGGAATCGTTAGATATCTATGAAATTGTCAAAAAAGATACGGAAAACATCATCTATTCGCTAAATTGCTTCGGTACCGAAAATGAAGACAAAGAAAGGGAGGAATACAAGAAATACCTCGCTAAAAAGGGTAAGAAATCACCTAACCAACCTCCCTTTTTTTTCGAGTTATTTGATAAGGTTTTAGCGGTTAACGAATACCCGGAACAAAACAAGGAGGAGTACGCAAGGGAAATGTGCCTCGAACAGAGTAAGTACACTAAGCACGAATTAAAATAATTTACGAACTGCAATCATTAAAATTGATGCACGTTCGAATTTACCGCAAAAACGTTTGCGATATTGGCATTAAATGTAACAAAACGGCATTGAAATCGGCTAATTCCCATTCCACGCGATATAGAAAGGATCACGCAATGTTAACTCGGATTTCTATTATTTCAAATCCTATAAAGCAGTTAGATTTATTTAAATACGGCTATTGAACTTGCCCCTGGTATTTAGAAAAATAATTCATTCAATACAAGCCCATAAAACATAATGAATTCCTCCTAATTAAGTTATTTTCACTCATTTTTATTATTCTCTAGTTCGCAAAAATTATCGACTGTAAATTGCATTTCATCTGAAAGTTTTAGAAACGAGCAAACCGTCTCAAACGGTAGATACTGTACCTATAATTAACGGTAGGTTTTTTTTATTAGATACTACTAAATTTTATTAATAAAGCACGAAGACTCGAACGAACATGTAATTATTGTGTTTGTAGGAAAATCGTGATTTCACAGTCTATACATAGGAGGTGATTAAAATTAACGTCAAAGCGTTTCTTGGTAGGAACTGTTCCTTGGTAGTTCCTTGGTAGGAACTGCGGTTCTTGGTTGTTTGTTAAGAAATAATAAACGAGTTGGGAATTTGGAATCGATATCGATCGAGCTCATTGATTTTGGGATACCTATAGAATTTTTTAAGCATCCTGTGTATAATTTTTTAGTGTCGAGTCAAAAGCCGCAGGATCCGGACTTTAACCACCTCCAGGAGCAAATCTACCAGGCGGGCGTGTTGAGGAACGAAATTTTTTTGAAATATAAGAAGCAACCTAGAAGGAAGTGCTCGAAAAAGCCTATTTTCAAAGAGAGTAATGTCGAAGGGAAAATAACTAATCACCCTACGACCACTCAAAAAAAAGATTGTTAAATATTTTAAATAAATTATTGTTGTAAATTCGTAAATTTTGAAATTAAGTGAAACTAAGTACGTCATCGATTGATTAGCATGCATATATTATGTACCTATAATTTAAAAATTATCTTATCAGTAACTAAATACTAATCCATATGTGCATAAACATATGTTAATAAGTGGGAGTATCCACATAAGAAATCGATAAATAATCAAGCAAGTTTGGTCAATTGATTCGAGCATATCAAAAGTTTTGAAAATATTGCGACCCACATATTTTCACAATATATTCTTTCCAGCCAAATTCCATTCTATTCACTTTAACTATTTTTTCAATTGTTTGGAATTCTGGCATTTCAAGGTGAATTTATAAGAAACTTATTTGTCACAGGAAATTAAACTAAATAAGAATTTAAGTTGCCGAATCAACGGGTTTTTTTGTACCGTATATTTTTTCGTAAGTCACGTTTGAATTAAATAACATTTTTCCGCAAGTATTTGGTACAAAGAAAGTATCAAAATACGACAATGGTGTTGTAATATTCACTGCATTATTACGTATTGTAAAAAAATAATTATGCCAATTAGGTAAGAATAATGAATTATTTCGACTAATGAACTTGATTTAGAACTTTGGACACAATTCATAAAAATTTGCAGAAATGTCATGTTTTTCGTAATACCCAAACTCCACCATGTGTTATCTGAAATCAACAATTAATTAATGCACACGTTGCTCAAATATGATTATGTTTAACATGTGCTAGTAAATCTCAGTAACCCGAGACACGTGCACTTCGAAATTATTAATTGACATGTAAATCTTCAATAAAACGAGTGCATTTAGTTTTACCAGTTATCTGGCTTGTTTCTATTTTTAAGTACAAACAATAAACTGAGCGTCTGTTGACCTGCACTAATTTAATTGCCCAATTGATCACTAATAACCTTATACAAACACGTTTGTTTGCTTGGTTGTTGTAATTTTTAATGCCTAGTATAACCGGAAATTTGAAAAAAATAACCGGCAGGTAAATTGCGAATTTTTACATAGCAGTAAAAGCAATAATGTACTAGCCAACTAACACGTGGAGAATGTGTCTTTTCCACACAACATTAATGCATTTTTGAAAGAACATGTTCATTTACCTCGCTGTTGCAATGAATATTTCATTTAATTACGGCCCGTGTGTTACCCGTAACCGCGTGTAATATCTAATAATAAGCAGTAACGTGAGGTAATAATAGAAAAGAAAAGTCACAAATCTATAATTCTCTTTCCGCATGGCGAAATAAAAAAAGGATACGTTTTTCTTATCGCATGGGCACGCTAATAGCCCAAGTGGTAGTTAGGCGATATTATTTATTGATTGTTTGCCTTACTTTGTCGTTCTAAACTATTAAAATGTCATATTATTATATGGTTTGTTCGAGTAGACAAACAAACTTTCTATCGATTACAAGTGAATTATTAATTAATTATCGATTAAACAATTACTGGTGGACGATATGAAGTATGTTTTACCGACCGAAATCGATCCGTAAAGTATAAAAAATTAACTATACGCTGATAACCCGTTTCGAGTTTCCTTCCTTCCATTGTCTTCGCAATCGTTACGCTGATTGTAAAAAAATTACTACACACTGAAATAATAAGGAAGACGTGAAAAAAAAAATATTGCGCAAGATTCGCGGACGAAAATGATGTTTTATTCAAGAAAATAACCACACACTTAGTCGACTCTTTTCATTCAGCCTTGTAATAAATGTGTACGGAAAAAAAAGAGCTCGAAGAGCAACCTTTAACGCTCTAAAATATACCCGGACTCTGCCAAGTTTTTCAATGTGTATCGTTACGTAATGAGAAACGTAAAAATTGCGTAAACTAAAAGACTTAAAATGTACTTAACTACGTATTGTAGATGAGGTAGGAAATGGAGAGTTTATGGAACTATTGTGTGTATGTGGATGTGAAAATAACGAGACTTGGGAATATTAACCAAAATTTTATAATTAACAGGTATAGTATATTCAGTGAACTTGTTAATGGTCAGTTTCTCTTAGAAATTGTAAGTCAATTGCACTAAATTTATGATCCACTATTATTTATATTTTCGTTGTATTTATGGCTTTTGTAGCATTAACAATGATTTGTACAATTCAAATACAGGCGGATTATTTTCGATTTTATTCAAAGTTGATTTGAACAGTTCATATTTACCCAAAAAAAACAGGTAAAATTTGGAGGTATCGGCCTTTCAATTCCCTGCAAATTCTTAATCTGAAACCCTCGTAAGTTCAGCGAATGAACTATAAATGCACTAAAACGTTATTTTTAAACGTATTTTTCATTTTTTGTTTCTATTCTTGAATTTAGTACTCATTTTATTTAACGAGCTTTTAATGTCGTTTTTAATAGTAGCACATTCTTCTGTAATTTCTCGGATTTAAAAAATTTAAAAGGAACTGTTCGAAGGTAAGCGAAATTATCGTTGCTGAAACAACGCGGTTTTTACAAATTTAATGAATTACGATCGAAGAGGATCGAACGAGCGATTTCCAGCGCTTTAAATTGTTCATTTTCGCGCGAATCGAATCGGTTTAACCCGCAATTAGAGTAATAATTTCATATTCATCTCGCAATTAGGTAGTTAAGAAACGCGCCGCTTTGCCTAATATCAGATTAAATTCAGCGTACTTGCGAACAATATCTTAATTAACTGCAAGAATTATTCAAACGAGTTTTTTTGTATTTAAAAAAAATATATCTAAACCGTAGAAAACCGCTAGGCAAGGTCGAGTCCTTTACGACACTGCTTTCATTCGAATTTCGCAACAGTTGCGGATGTAAGTATACGGTATTGTTCGATTAAAACATTAAATGGCGTAAGAATTATTATTTAACCGATAAAAAAATCAGAATTAAACGCAACATCTTACAACAATGACATTATTTTTATCGTTGTTAGTATTTACAGTACCGCCACCAATTCCCCGCGGATTCAAGAACGAGCGCTAATTTTCGATATAGAATTTTTTAATTATACGATTTATTTGCTCGTTCCAGATTTAACCCGGGCATTTGCGAGCGCCGCTCCATGACAAATTGCTGTTATTCCATAAAAAAAAACATGGAGTGCCGAATGAGCTAAGTATTCCGATAAATTTCTCAACGGTAACGGCTCTCTTCGCGCTTTATACGCATGTGATTGCAATATTTATACAGTCGTTGTTCCAAACAAGAATACGGCATAGTTTCCAGCCCATTGGCTCATCGCAACGTTTATTTTTATATCGATAAACTTGTACCGGGTGGCTAAAAATAAGCGAGAAGTTTTTTTTTAGAGAAGTTGGCCGTGACTGTCAAAAATTATGCGTTGGCAACATTGGTTCAATGGCGCTCGTTCGAAATGTCAAGAGGCTCGCGAAACAATATTCATATAGATTGGTTACAAGATTATTTATAATTCTAAAGCATCCTCATTTTGTACGGATTCAATACCAACCATCTAAATCTCGTTTAATCATATTATACCGAGTGTAATGTGATTAGAGTTGCTGATTCGCGAATATGACGAGAATTGGCACATTTTTAAACAATTTACATTCACGTGATTACATCCGACACGTTCTATATATACAGAGTGTACAAAGAAAATATCCCACTTCTCCATTTTTGTAGCCTAAGCAGTCCGGGTTGTTCAGCCACGAATTAATTGCGTGCTGTTCGCTAAATATAAAATTAATCAAACTAAAAAGATAATGAATATCGATTCGATTTCAAGGCAACGAACAAATCTAATTGGTGTTTATAATACTCCTAATATAGGGAATGAGTCAACCCGGTACCTGGTGAGGTGTATTATTAATTAAATGAGATAAGCATGCAAGTTCGTCCGGGGAATCGAAAATTATCACCTGTATCTGTTTATTTTGCGGGCATGTAAATTCCCGGTAGAGAAATAATAGACTCGGTTTTTCGTGATCAGTGGAGGTTTAAAAATCTATCAAAATAATCGCACGAGATTAAGACAGTAAAGGAAACTGCATTGACCTTTAAATTCGTTTTAGCGTTTGGTAAAGATAAGAAATTAAATGATAAACAGTCACACCTAAATACCCTATGGAACAAGGTATGGAAACGGGCGTGGGTAGGTCGTTTGTCAAGGTTTCTAGGTGTTTGCCATTCATCGAACGTATTTATTCTTGGCGGTTTCGATAATTATTATTCTGCGGGAATTTTTTTTATTACAGCACGTCTATTGGCCTATTCTCGTACAGTGTGGATTCGCGAAGAAAGTGTGATAATAAGCAGAACAAACGAACGAAAAACGGGTAATTAGAGAATCCTCGAGAGAGAACTCTAATAACTACTGAATGTAGGAAGTTACATAAATATTTTATTCTTTCATGTAGGCTGGAGGATTCCGATGTTTACGAATTAATTGGCGTTTTTAGTATGCGTTATTGACTAAATATAGCACTTAACGGAACTGCGGGAATAAAAAATTAACAAATTTTAATGCAAATGTTTCGAAATGTCAAGCTTTATCGGTTTGAAAATTACCTATTATTAGTTATTCAGCAACGGAGAAGGTGAAGGTTTATGGTAAAGGCAGGTAAACTCAGGATTACACAAATTGAACAGACCGGCAAAATATTATGAAAAAGCACTTGAATAATTTATCTGAAATTGTACTTTATGGTTTAAAGATTACTTTGTATTTATTTAGACATATCAAGATATATGACACAACAATAAGTAAATAATTTATATTATCATTATCTTAAGGATTATAAACTAAGTGAGCATCTCCCGATTATTTTTTTATTTATTATTTTGAATTCACTCCCTTTATATTTTCCTATCTAGGCACTTATACCTGTACGTAATTTCTTATCGGACATTTTTTTAATCACTGTGTAATGTATATCTGCAATTTAGAGTTATCAGCTAACTAAAAGTTTTACGTATTTGAACTAATTTATGCAAATTATTACATATTTTTCGCTAAAAATATTGATGATATCAACGTGAAAACAATTTATTTTGAAAATGTTACATTTTACACAGCACACGGAAAATATAGATGCAGATAAAATTCGTTCATTAGCAACGGTTATTGCTGCTAAAAGGATATTGCAAGTTTTATCTCGACCTATTACAGATAAAACGTGTATTTAAATATGCGGTATCTCTCAAATACCTCTACAATGGATAGAAAAATTAATGAATCCGAAATTCTTCTGTATAAAAATAGTGCAAATAGAATCATAAATTATAGTCAGAAGTAACCTAAATATAAAAAAAATAGTTATGATTTTTTAAATAGTCGCTTCATTATGTTATAAATCAGAGCACATCATCGAAGTGTGTGCACATTTACTCTCAGGCGAGCATGGAAACCGTTAAATTTCGAAATGAAAGAAAATACTCTTTACTATTATTTGACATTGTTAAAGCCGATAATTAACGTAATTAAGAAAAATATAAAAACCAACAACCGTACTTTTATTATTAAACAAAACTAAGTAGATCTCAAAAATTCTTCATGTGAAAGACGCAGTACCAATTCCCAGTATTATCTCTTTTATGGAATTAAATGAATTATTTCGCATCTTCCTTACCTACATATCTACATGCAGCAGACACGGGTAATTCAAAACTTTCAACAATGCCAGCGGAATGCTATCAGCAAAACGGATAATTAACTTATCGTTTATTCCAATTTGATTCGAATAACAAATTCAATCGACAGCGTAATTGCTGGATGATTCAATTTTCCAAAATTCAAAATATTGTCGTTTATGGAATTGTTCAACTTGTCTTAGTAGCTAAGGCCTACCGAAGCTGTCGAAAAAGAAGAATAAGAAACGGTAAATCACCTCTAATTTCTTCGAATATTCCTCCTCGATGGCGTCCTTCTGGCGCTTCAGTTCTTCGTTTTTCTCAAGCAAGGCCTTGCCCAATTCGGCCGCCAGAACCAGATCGTTCTCCTTTTGCTGCAGCTGCGTCCACACGTCTTCGTTGACGTTGGTCGCCAGCGATTGGTCTATGGCACTACGGTTTTCCATTTCGACGATGTACTCTTCCAACGATTGGAGCATTTTCCCAAGCCGAGAGAGTCTCACAAATTCGGCATTTTCCGGCGGCGGAAAAACGAACAGTCGACGGAACGCTGCGGGGACATCTTGGGAACCTGTGGCTGGAAAATCGAAACGTAAAGGACCTCGAGTTACACATTAGGGGAAGTACGTTTTGCGAATTATTCGAGAGATTCGAGTCGAAAGTATTATTGGACAAATATGGAAATTATAAGTAAAAGTGTGGAAGACGGAATTTTAAATGGGATGTATTCGTTTCCGTAAACACGTTTCTTTTTATACGTGTGTGTACCTTATGGTGTTTAGATATTGATGTTGAATTAATTACGTTTGCTTTAGATTATGAACGGTGAGTAATATTTAATTAATTAACAAAGGAAATGGAATTATTAAAGCAGTGCCAAAACAATTTTAATCTACATGTTTTTGATGTCGAAAATAATACACCAGTGCCATTTGTTGTCATAGGAAACGAAGATACAAACAATGAAAATATGTAGGTAACAAAAAATTCCACAGCCACCCTCTTATCCAACTCCAAAATTAAACAAACATAAATAACCAGGTAAATAATTTACCTTAACCGAATCCTATGGAATTGATAATCCTACACTCGAGTTATTCCAAAAAGTTAAGAAACTACAAATTAAATACGCTAATTATTGCACATTGCACAAATGGAAAACTGCACTGGACGAATTTGCGAACGACACGAACTTTTCCACACTTTTTCACGACGTTCGAGCCCGAAATAACGACATTTTCTATGCGAGAAAACGCGGAATCGTCGACCCAAAACAGTCTGTGCCGTGTCTACGGATACTGTGTGTTGGGTTAGAGCGGTCGGTGCTCGTTTTGTTTTCAAACTCACGGCGATTGTTACCTGGAGACGCGCCATTGCCAACTCGTACACGTTTTCGCAGAAATCCGATAAAAATAAACAGATACAAAATGTTTTGCTTGTTTATCGCAATAATACTAATACAAATTGTCTTCGGATCAATTTTTTTCAACATAATGCTACTTCAATTTATATATTGTTCAAATTTGGTTAGTTTTTATCAAATTTGACAGGTGTCATTTTGAATAAATTAACGTTATAAACGAAGTTCGGATGTCAACGACAACTTGATGAAAAATTGTAAAATGTTGTTTCGAATTTCAGTTAGCACTTGTCAAAATTGACAGGTGATATTTTGAATAAATTAACAACGATGTTCGAATATCAATGTCAACTTGATAGGAAGATGTAAAATTTTGTTTCGATTATCTTTAGTTAATTTTTGTCAAAAGTGACGGGTGTCATTTAGAATAAATAAACGTTATCAATAAAGTTCGGATATCAATGTACACTTGATATAAAAGTGTAAAATTTTGTCACGAATTTTAATTAGCACTTGCCAAATTGACAGGTGTCATTTTGAATTAGTTAACTTATCAACGATGTTGCACTATCAAGTCTAACTCGACGAGAAAATGTGAATTGTTAATAAGCTTGCAAATGGCACTTTTTTAGAAACTTCATTTCTCTATTTCTCGGACCCTGTAGAATTAAATAGGACACTTGTATTTTATCAATACACCAAATTCCCTTACATTTCGTTACCAAGCAACCATTAGTAAACAAAAATCCTCTACCAAACCCATAACATCTGCATAAATAGTACACCACTAAATTACAGGAATTGTTCACTGCAACAAAAATGAACCAACCGAAGGCGAACAATTCCAACAGCGACAAAGAAATGTTCGCGATGGCCGAAGAAGAACTCGCCCGGCTCCGCAGACAGGTAATCAAACCTAACAACACGCTTATTTATTTAAATTAAAAAAAAACCGCGCTCGCAGCTGCGGATAATGGAAGAAGACCGCCTGGGGTTCCTCGAGGAGACGGGCAAGAAGCTGAAGAAGCAGCGGCGCATCATCGAAACGCTGCGCAAGGACAAGCAGAAGATCGACGAGGAGATCAAGGTGGCGACGTGCAAGAGGCAAATGGAGAACGACGAGAAGCTCGTCCGCAAGATGCGCAAGCTGCTCGAAGACTACGCAAAGTACGATGGATGCGTGAAAACCGAACGCGAGGAGTTGAGGGAAATCGAAATTCAAATCAAAAAGGCTGGTAAAATTTCATATGTTGTTGCAATAACGTCAATGTTGTGATTTGTTTTCCGCGATGTAAAAGGCCACAGTTGTTTGGTTTGTGACATTTGAAGATAATGGCGTCCTGTCAATTTCAAATTTCTCACAGGTATCTAATAACAGTTTTATTGAAATATTGCTCATATTATTTAAACATTTAATGGCGATTTTTAATATGCTCCCTTACGGTTCTCTTATATTTAGCCGTATAATCGCAGATGTGGCACTTTTGGTTCCGCTCCTTCCGATGCCTCATCACGTGATCCTTAATCCTGTAAATTTTAACAGTCTGGTACTGGCAAACGTTGCACGTATAGTACCACTTATCCACTTGCACGATCTTAGTAAACAGCTCGTAAACCGGATCCGGCTGGTACTCCTCCGCCTTTTCCTTCACCTTCGCCTCGCCATTTCCCTCTTCCAGCTCGTATTTCCTCTCAAATTTCGAGTCGACCTTCCCGTCGTCCGGTTTGCACTTGTGCGCCTTCAACCGCTCGCTCTTCTTCGTTTTGTACGGGCACAAAGGACAGTAGAACATTTCCACGCGGTGCAACTTCATGTGCCTGCGCAGGTGCTTCTTGTACTTGGTGCGGTAGCCGCAATTGTGGCATTCGAACATGTCGAGCTCGTCGGATGCCTTGTGCAGGAGCTTGTGCGTCAGCAGGCTGGACCGCCACTTCGACGAGAAGCGGCACGCGTCGCAGGAGAACATCGGCGAGCCGCCGGCCGATTTCTCGTGCACGAGCAAATGGGACGCCAAGTTGGAGCGCCGGTGGTTCCGGTAGCTGCAGTACGGGCAGGAGAATGTTTTGGAAGGGGTTTCCTGCGGGATGCTGCAAGGAAGTTCGTAAAAATAATCTGATAGAAAGGGTGTAGAAAGGGTACAACCTTTCAGTAGCTTCTTCGGTTTCTTCGTCCTCTTCCATTTCTATCTTGATATCCGGATGAGGCGATAGGGCTTCTATTTCTTCGAAGTAACAATCGACTTCTTGTTTAATATTCACGCAGTTTTCCTCTTTGACCATTGATAAATCAGTTTCCATTTTAATTTGCGCTTCAGTTTTTTCGAAAATTTCTATATTTTCACCGATTTTATTACCAGAGTCTTGACAAGAACCAAAGAAATTGACTAATTGCTTTAAATCTTCTTCGCATGTACCGCAAATGAATGGATGAGGTATTGAAGATAAAGTCTGGAAGAAATCCTAATTTGTGGAAACATCTAAATACATGTCATTGTCTTTTAGAATCGAATAAGCTTTATTAACAATAAAAATGATAAAAAATTTTACTTACGATTTCCGGCATGTATTTCTCAATTATCTCCAAAGTACAATCTTTGAATCTCGATTTGTCCGAAGGATTCAAGCAAAACAAACATACATTATCAGCCTCCAACTTAACGATATCGACAGGCGACATTACGCCGGAATTCCTGCGGTAGTTTTTCAAAAAATTGAAATTCTTCAACGCCTCCGCCTTGAAATCGACCAATTTTCGCGATTTATCGGCGCAGCTCGAACACATCGCAGCGCCATCGGTGGAAATACCTTCCTGAAAATTCCAAAATTAGCGAATTTGTTACTATAAAAATGATTATCGTATCGTCTACTTTGAGGTAAAGTAATTGCTTCGACTTTACTTGATCTAAACGCACAACTCGTTCAAGGCATATCCTGCAATTTTCAGATAAATCCTCCACACTCGACGGATCCATTTGCGCAAAAAATTCAACCAAAAACGTCAAATATTTTCCAATGACATGAATCCATTGTCACTTCGATTTCCACTATTAATCAACGAATTTATCTATACCACTGAACTAACTACTTGTATCCCATTTTTTCGTATTGTTTTCGTCCTGTTTTTGTGTTCCAAAATTCAAAATTTCTCGAGTAAATAATCCTTGAAAGTGTATTTGAAAAAAATCATTTCTTTATTAGCTCGAAATCGCCGTAAAAAAATTAAGACCGAGCGCCGTGGTGACCGATGAAGATTACAACACCCGGCTGAAAAGCGGAAGGAAAAGCGTGAAAACGTTAAAAAACCGCCTGGAAAACTGCGTCAAAAAATTCTGCTTCTTACTGGCAGAAAACAAGAAGCTCCGAGAGGAAATCGACCATCTCCTAAAAGAAAGGTACCCTAAAATTATTTATTTATTAGTATTTTTATTGTATCGTTAAGGCGCGAATTTCAGGACACGCTACAACATAATATGGGAAAAACTGGTCAAGGAAAAGCAATCCAGGAAAAAATACATAGCCGAGTTAATAGAACAAGCCACAGTGACCTTCGATCAAAGAGAAGAATGGTGCTCGAAACTCTCGGCGCTCAAACAAAGAGCCCAGAGCGATTACTTAGCACACATCGAGGTAATTGTGGTATCGATAATCAATCAGTATTCAATCGAATTCGGGTTTTGTGCAGGAAATGCGGGAGATACAAAGGAAATTGGACCACGATTGCACGCTGAGGGAGTTCCTGTGCGTCAAAGGGCAGAAACGCGTGCTCAAAGATCTGGAGGAACGGGATAAAAAGAAGAAGGAAAATCAAATTCAAAACATGGAAAATCAAATCGCCAAGCTCGAAACCACCATGGATGAAATACAGGTACGTATAAATTAATTAATTATTATATTTAACGCGTGTTTTTGGTAGAAATTCTGCGGGGAAGGCGACGTATCGAAAATTGCGACGTTGTATTTGAAGCAGGAGGAGGAAAATTTCGCTTTGTTCAATTACGTGAACGAGTTGAACCACGAAATTGAAATATTAGAAGAGGCTCTTAAAGAAGTACAAGAGAAAATCGGTAAGAAATTTGCTCTACATCTAATGGGAAAATTACTACCTCAATTTCCAGACGAGCAAATAGAGCTGGCTCGGTTGAAGGCGCAAGAGAGGCAGAAAACGTTTGAAAATCTACGAACAGAATTAGATACTGTCATTAAACAGGTAGGGAAATTTAAAATTAGAGTTTATAATTTATTTGTATGAATAATTGTAGAGGAGTGAAGACGAGAAAGAAGCTCAAAAATCCGAAGGAAAATTAACCGCAGTGCTAAATGGAATAGAAGATATTTTCGATTTGCTCAAATGCGATAGAGGCCCAATTTTAGGATTACTTGGTAAATTTTTATATATCTTTTGTATTGTCTGACACAATATCATTTTTAGGCGAAAATTCATCGATAAACTTGTTCAACGTAAAAATCTACTTAGGCACGATCGAAAAGAAAATATCCAGCTTAATTACCCGACTTTATTTCGCTGAAAAAGCGGTAAAATTTTCATTATAAATCAATCATCGCGAATTTAATGCATGTTTTTTCAGATGATGACCCAATTTAAAAAATTCCACCGCGGGCACTTCGTTCCGGCCATCAACTAATTTACTAATTAATCGATTTATATATCAAATTTTTTCAATTAAAAATTTTTATAGGTTACAACAAGTATACAGGACCGTTTTTATTATTTCTCTACTTTTGTTAAAACAAACCTAGGCAATCACATTTTATTTATTCCATTAACAAATCCGAGTAGCCCGATCAATAAAAAACCACCTGATCATTTGTCACGCCCCGTCAATCAAATATACAGCGATTATTGACGCTGCTCGAACGCTTTTACACGTCTACGTTTACAAACATTCCCCAAAATGAGCCGCAGGAAGAAAGTAGAGTTAACCGAAGAGGAGAAATTCGAGCTGGCCAAGCAGGCCGAGCAAGAACTAGCCAGAATGTGCAGGAACGTAAGTCACTAAACCCCCAACCGATAACCATAAAAACCCGCTCGTTTTCCAGTACACCCTCCTGGAGAGGAACCGCAACCAAAAGGGCGACAAGGGCGGCACACTGCTCAAGCAGAAACGCGTGCTGGACATCTTCAGGGACGAGCAGCTCGAGCTGCTCACCGATCTCCGCGTCGCCACCGCCGGCGCCAGGGTCTTCGAGGACGACAAGAACTGCGACAAGATCAAGGACCTGCTGGACGAGTGCGACGAATTCGACGAGGAGATCAAGCACCAGGAGTTCCACCTGGAGGAGATCGAGGGCCAGATGACGCTCAACAAGAAGAAATTGGTCGATCTGAGCGCCAAGCAAGTCACCGACGAAAAGTACTACCAGAGGGTGGTGCAAGGGGACAAGACCGTGCACAAGCTGGAGAACCAGCTCGAGGTGCAGGTGAAGAAGTTCTGCCACATATCGGCGGATAACATCGACTTGCGCGAGGAGATCCGCTATCTGCTGCACGAAAGGAAGGAATTCAACAAGTTGTGGGACAAACTCATCGAGAACCTCTGCAGCGGCAGGAAGTTCATGTTCGAGCTCATCGAGCAGGCGACCATTGCGTACGATCAACGAGAAGATTGGGTCAACCAGCTACAGCTGTTGAGGCAAAAAGCCCATCACGATCTCATCAACCACATAAACGTAACTCACCTTTAACACAATCACCCTCTCGCTCTTCATCGTAATAAACCCCGCAGGAGATAAAAACGATGCAGAAGAAGATCGACGACGACGTCAAGCTGCAGGAGTTCTTCTCCGTCAAGAACCAGAAGCGGCTGATGCGCGACTTGGAGGAGAAGGAGAAGAAGAAGCGGCGCATCAACAGGGAGAACATGGAGAAGCGGCTGGAGCGGTACCTGCAAATCCTGCTCGCTGTGAAAGAATTCGCGAACGAAGATCGAGTGCAAATAATCGCCAACAATTTCATCGCCCAGGAGGAGGAGAACTTCGCCATGTTCAAGTGCATCAACAGCCTGAACGGGGATATGGAGTCCATTACGGACCGTTTGGCCAATTTGCAAATGCAGATTGGTAAGGATTCTTACTAGAATTCCAATGCTGATTGTATATAAATTAAAATGTTCCGAATAGATGCTCAGCAGGAATTGAACGAGGTCAGGCGCAAGCAGCAAGGCGTCAAGTTGGAGAACCTTCAGGCCGAATACAAGAGAGTGAAGGAAATTGCGGAGAATAAAAAAGAAGAACTGAGAGTTGTTAACGATACTTTGAAGGATATTCTATCAAGTATAAATGCTCTGTTCAAAATGTTTGGTTGCAAGAGCGATCCTATAGTGAGATTATTAGGTAAATCTTCAGCAAAATGTTGAAGTTGTATTGTAATTGTACAATTTCAGGCCACAACCAGTCGATCAACAATTACAACGCGCTGTTGTACTTGGAGATATTGGAAAGGAATATTGTTGAAGCGATGGTTGGAAACTTCTACAAAGAAAGAATAATTGAAGAAAAAACCTCCAGAGATGTACTAACAATGGTAGAGGAGACGAATCCTCCATTAGTTGAGCCTATTAGCAGAATTGTAACATCTACTCCATGTGCTTTGTAAGCTTTTTTGTTCTGGATGTTCCCCAAATTAAATTATTCTCTTTTAGATGTCTCGAACACGATCAGGTCTTGGATGTAATTGACATATTGCAATTTGCCATGACCAAGGAGGAGGCCCAAGCCAAAGTGAGAGAACGTATAAACGATGCGGAATCCTGTCTACACAACGTGTCTGCGTGCCATTTGCCCAAGTCCAGACAAATTGTACAAAAAAGATATCAATAAAAATTTATACACAAATATTCTTTCAATAAAGTGTCAGTTGACTGTATGCATGAATAGTAAAGGTGGTTGCTCAAGTAGTAGTAGAAGTAAGCGAGAATTGAAGTAGACTTTAGAACTGGTTTTGAATGGCAATAGAATCATGTAACAGTTTAATTGATAATTCAAGGTCTAATAATGTTTAAAATGTAATAATTCAAATCGATTTATTCAACAAAACGTGTTTATCCGACAAGTGGCATTTGACATTCGTTCTGTGATGTGGCGAAATTTGACGTCACACGTCACCGGTCGTACAAAAGGGCGACGCCATCTTAGATGTTTGATTGTGGCTAGCTGTCAGTTCGGTGAAAAAAATTGTCATTTTATTGAAAAAATCCAAGAAACGTTTCGTTAAATAAACTGGAAAGTGCGTAAATTTTACATTGTGTTTTGTTGCAATATTCAGCAACATGACGCAGCAACTGTTACCAATCAAGTTTCAAGAACATTTGCAGGTAAAAAAACAAAACGCCCCTTACCTACTTTGATCTTCCATTTTTTACGTTTAAATAGCAGTTATTGCAATTAACGAATATGCTTCCTTTTACCTAGCATTTCCCTTAACATTTTGTGCATTTATTTATAATGCATTAATGGCGATAAATCGAGAATGTACCGGTACTTATTTTTTGCGGGGGCGTTTTATTTTCTTGGATTTATTTTTTAACATCTTGTACACTTAGCGAACTTTTAAAAACGTGTATTTATAGAAAGAGAAGCGTTTGTTAATTAAGGAACATTCATTATTTTGTTCTTTTATGTCTATTAATAACGCAACTTTCCAAGAAACTAACAGACGTTTTTACATGTATATCATATACATGTTTAATGCTTGGTTTTCAACTTTAGCCAATGAACGAAACAAGATACCAATTTTCCACGTAACGTGGGTAAAGCGGTATAAAACCTTAACTCGATTTATCAATACTTTTACCAGGACTAGGTCATGTACAAAAACCTACCTATTTTTATCAGATAACTGCCTAGGTGAAAATAATTCAATTTCAATGCATTCATAACTGTATAATACTAAACACCCTTTAATTATTTGATTGATAATGTAATCAATTAAATAAGTACCATAAACGATGTGAGAATAAAGCAAATAGAGGAATTATAATCTTATAAGACAACAACCTTATCTATATTGTGAGAAATTTTTAGACATTTCTTTAACTGTATAGCTTTTATGTAGAACTTGTTTTGACTATTTTTTAAACTTTTTAGTATTTGTATCATATTTCATTTATTTATCTCACACAACATGTTATCTTCCCTAGTTTACAGCAATAACACTGGTCAGTTATTGTATTATAACACAATTTCGATTGTGATAAAATAAAACGGTTTCTGCATTAATTTCTCAACTAGCGCAGCTTTTCGTGTGCATGTTGTCTATCACAAATGCTTCGATTTAATTATATAAATAATATCCCCCATTATTTATTCCTTTTAACAGGTGATTCATTGTTTGTGTTCTAGAAACCCGGTTTTATTATAATATATTGCTACATTAGCACTTTTGCATTACCAACTCCCAATTGAGCTGCATTAGTGATTAAAGTTTCGTTATTAAAGAGTGGTTTCTGTTCTTTGTTTCCAGCTTACCAATGTCGGTATCAATGCGGCTAACATCACGTTTGCCACTCTCACCATGGAGAGCGACAAATACATTTGCGTTAGGGAAAAGGTCGGGGAAACATCCCAAGTGGTCATTCTCGATATGGCGGACACCGCGAACCCCATCAGGAGACCCATCACGGCGGAAAGTGCAATTATGAATCCGGCTTCTAAAGTCATCGCTCTCAAAGGTATACAATCAAACAGTAATTAGAGAGAATATATAGGTTAATATTGTTGCGTTTTTTTTTTCAAGGCAAAGCCGGCATCGAAACGCAGAAAACCCTCCAAATATTCAACATAGAAATGAAATCGAAGATGAAGGCGCACACGATGTCGGAGGACGTGTTTTTCTGGAAATGGATCAGCCCCAATACGTTGGCTCTCGTCACCGAGACGTCCATCTATCATTGGTCGATGGAGGGCGATTCTATTCCGCAAAAAATGTTCGACAGGTAATCGTTTACTTGTTAATATTCGCACTATTATCGGCGCTAAGTAGGCGAAAGTAATTTTTCATACTAACTGGTTTATTTTGCGAAATTTAATTAGTGCTTTTAAGGCTAATTATTGGAGTGCTTTTTACTTCAAATTGATTTCATGATAAAGCGTTAAGGCGCCTTTTAAATAAAGGCCTTAAAGTTAGTACTAATGTAAAATTGTTTTACATGTAAAAGGTTTTTGTTAGGAAAAGGTTGCTTTAAAAGATGTTTTAAAGCGTTGGCTAATCTTAAAAGCGGTACATTTGAACTAATTTGGTACATTTCGAAAAGTTTATATAGCATTTGAGGTTGTTTTTTATTATAATTTTGTTTGAGAAAGATGGAAATGGTTTGCTCTTCAAATTTTAGTAGATAGGAGGAATTATGTTTGCTTTAAGAAATTGCAAAATTGAAGCATATAGAATGTAAAACTACAAATAAAATTAGTAATTCAGAAAATATGATTTGCTCTTCTATTTCATGCAAAAATGTTGCTTTTTTTCAGGTGAAAACTTTGGTAAATTTCTAGTTTGTATTTTTGAAAATAGTTCTTTCTTTTCCTATAGACTTTTGGGTCTTCTAATATAAATGAATCCTTCATCAAACCAGCTCGAACTCGAAATTTCGAAATAATTCATCTCACAAAACCGGCAGAAAGTGTAACATTGCAATACAAGCTTTCAGATACACAAAAATAGAGATTACATTGTAGTTAAACGATACTTCAGCGCATTAATCTCTTAAAATCGATCCTTTAACACTAAATGCCTCGTTAATTTGACTACAATATCAATTAAAACGTCTACTTAAAGGATCCTTCAAGTCTTTTAATTGTAAAATCATCCGTTATATAACATGTTATTTCTTTTTCCACAGACATTCCTCTCTGAACGGTTGCCAGATCATCAACTACCGCACGGACCCGAAGCAAAACTGGCTGCTGTTGGTGGGCATCAGCGCCCAGCAGTCGCGCGTCGTCGGCGCCATGCAATTGTACTCGGTCGAACGGAAGTGCTCGCAGCCGATCGAAGGCCACGCCGCCTCGTTCGCCACCTTCAAGATGGAGGGCAATCCGGAGCCGTCGACGCTCTTCTGCTTCGCCGTCAGGACGCTGCAGGGCGGCAAGTTGCACATCATCGAGGTGGGCCAGAACCCGGCCGGCAACCAGCCGTTTCCCAAGAAGTCGGTGGACGTTTTCTTCCCGCCCGAGGCGCAGAACGACTTCCCCGTGGCGATGCAGGTCTCCACCAAGTACGACGTGATTTATTTGATCACGAAGTACGGTTACATTCACATGTACGACATCGAGAGCGGCACTTGCATCTACATGAACCGGATATCGAGCGATACGATTTTCGTGACGGCTCCGCACGAATCCACCGGCGGTATTATCGGCGTTAATAGAAGAGGTCAAGTTCTATCGGTGTCTGTGGACGAGGAGAGCATTATTAGATACATTAATACGGTATTGCATAACGCTGATCTAGCACTACGTTTAGCTACTAGAAACAACCTGGCTGGTGCTGAAGATCTGTTTGTCAGTAAATTCCAGATGCTTTTCCAAAACGGGCAGTACGCCGAAGCCGCCAAAGTCGCCGCCAACGCTCCTAAAGGTAAACGAATAAATACAACATTCTTCTTGCTTTTACTTATAATTTTCTCGAATTTAGGAATCCTCAGAACGCCAGCTACAATCCAAATGTTCCAGCAAGTTCCAACTCAACCCGGCCAAAATAGCCCCTTATTGCAATACTTTGGCATACTTCTCGATCAAGGACAACTTAATAGGTAACTAAATTTCACTAAAACGTCCGCTTAAAAAATTACCTGTTTGGGTTTTTTTAGATACGAATCGTTGGAATTGTGCAAACCGGTTTTGCTTCAAGGCCGCAAACAACTATTAGAAAAATGGCTGAAAGAGGAGAAATTGGAGTGCTCGGAGGAATTGGGCGATCTGGTCAAACAAGCCGATCCCACGTTGGCTCTATCGGTGTACCTCAGGGCCAACGTTCCGGCGAAAGTGATCCAGAGCTTCGCCGAAACCGGGCAATTCCAGAAGATCGTGTTGTACGCCAAGAAGGTCTCCTACACGCCCGATTACGTGTTCCTTTTGCGGCAAGTCATGCGCACCAATCCCGATCAAGGCGCCGCCTTCGCCGGCATGCTGGTGGCCGACGAGGAGCCTTTGGCCGATATCAATCAAATCGTCGACATCTTCATGGAACAGAACATGGTGCAACAGTGCACCGCCTTCCTGTTGGACGCCTTGAAGAACAACAGACCCACCGAAGGGCACTTGCAAACAAGGTAACACATATTTCTACATACACTAATATCTCTAATAACATGAAATGGATATTTTTTAGATTGCTGGAGATGAATTTGATGTCGGCGCCTCAAGTGGCCGACGCGATCCTCGGCAACAACATGTTCACGCACTACGATCGCGCCCACGTCGCTCAGCTCTGCGAGAAAGCCGGCCTTTTGCAAAGGGCCCTCGAGCACTACACCGATTTGTACGACATCAAGCGGGCCGTCGTCCACACTCATCTGCTGCCGGCCGATTGGCTGGTGAATTTCTTCGGAACGTTGAGCGTCGAAGACAGCTTGGAGTGCCTGAAGGCGATGCTGACGGCTAACATCAGACAAAACCTGCAAATTTGCGTGCAAATCGCCACCAAATACCACGAACAGCTCACCACCAAAGCTCTCATCGATCTGTTCGAGAGCTTCAAGAGTTACGAAGGTATTTGATCCAGCGATTGTGCGATTTCGTGCGTTAATATTTACGGTTTTCCGTAGGTTTGTTTTATTTCCTCGGTTCGATCGTAAACTTCTCCCAAGACCAGGAGGTGCACTTTAAGTACATACAAGCGGCTTGCAAGACGGGCCAAATCAAGGAAGTCGAACGCATCTGTCGCGAATCGAATTGCTACAACGCCGAGCGGGTGAAGAACTTCCTGAAAGAGGCCAAACTGACCGATCAATTGCCGCTCATAATCGTTTGCGATCGCTTCGATTTCGTCCACGATTTAGTCTTGTACCTCTACAGGAACTCCTTGCAGAAGTACATTGAAATTTACGTGCAGAAAGTCAACCCCAGTCGTCTGCCTGTAAGTTTATCGGAATTATTTAGTGCGGTTAGTTGTATCGAATCGATTTTTAGGTCGTCGTGGGCGGACTGTTGGACGTCGATTGTTCCGAAGACATTATTAAAAATCTAATTTTGGTAGTAAGAGGACAATTCTCGACCGACGAATTGGTGGAAGAAGTGGAAAAGAGAAACCGATTGAAGCTGCTGTTGCCTTGGTTGGAGAGCCGAGTTCACGAAGGATGCGTCGAACCCGCCACTCACAATGCCCTGGCGAAAATTTACATTGATTCCAACAACAACGCCGAGAGGTTCCTCAAAGAAAACCAATGGTAAAGCGCCAATAATTACATACACTTGTTATAGTAATATGTTATTTGTTTTTAGGTACGATTCGCGCGTAGTGGGCCGTTACTGCGAAAAACGCGATCCTCACCTGGCTTGCGTCGCTTACGAACGAGGCCAATGCGACAGAGAATTGATCGCGGTGTGCAATGAAAATTCCCTGTTCAAGTCCGAGGCCCGTTACTTGGTGCGCAGGCGCGACGGCGAATTGTGGGCTGAAGTACTTCAAGAAAGCAACCCGTACAGGTAAACAACATCGATTTACATTAAACGAAACGAATTGTTTGGTCTAATGGGGTAATTTTTAGACGTCAGTTGATCGATCAAGTAGTTCAAACGGCGCTCAGCGAAACTCAGGATCCCGAAGACATTTCCGTGACTGTGAAAGCTTTCATGACAGCCGATCTACCGAACGAGTTGATTGAATTGCTGGAGAAGATCGTGCTGGATAGTTCCGTGTTCTCCGAACATAGGAATCTCCAGAATTTGCTTATTCTTACCGGTACATGATAAAACACGAAGGAATCGATTTTGTACTAATTAAATGTTCATTGCAGCAATCAAAGCCGATGCTACCAGAGTCATGGATTACATTAACCGTTTAGACAACTACGACGCTCCTGATATAGCGAACATCGCTATAAACAACCATTTGTACGAAGAAGCTTTCGCCATCTTCAAAAAGTTCGACGTCAACACTTCCGCGATCCAAGTGCTCATCGAGCAAGTCAACAATCTCGATCGAGCTTACGAATTCGCCGGTCAGTACAGCCTCTTATCATCTCATCAATCGTCACTAATATCGTTATCTTTGCATAGAACGTTGCAACGAACCGGCCGTGTGGAGCCAGCTGGCCAAGGCCCAGCTCAACCAGGGCCTGGTGAAGGAGGCCATCGATTCGTACATCAAGGCGGACGATCCGTCGGCCTACATCGACGTGGTCGAAACGGCATCGAAGAACAACAGCTGGGAGGACCTGGTGCGCTACCTGCAAATGGCCCGCAAGAAGGCCAGAGAGAGCTACATCGAATCCGAGCTGATCTACTCGTACGCCAAAACGGGCCGATTGGCCGACCTCGAAGAATTCATCAGCGGTCCCAATCACGCCGACATCCAAAAAATCGGCGACAGGTACAACTCTCGTCCGCCCAATCCTCAGTTACTCATCGGTTTTCGATTGTAGGTGCTTCGACGATAAAATGTACGATGCCGCCAAGTTGTTGTACAACAACGTGTCGAACTTCGCGCGGTTGGCCATCACGCTGGTGCACCTGAAGGAGTTCCAGGGGGCCGTCGACAGCGCTCGCAAGGCGAACAGCACCAGGACGTGGAAGGAGGTGTGCTTCGCCTGCGTCGACGCCGAGGAGTTTAGGCTCGCGCAAATGTGCGGCATGCATATCGTCGTGCACGCCGACGAGCTGCAGGATTTGATAAATTATTATCAAGACAGAGGTATGGGTGGAGTATTTCGAGCGAAAGTTCGCTTGTATGACAGTGTATTGCGTTGTTTGTAGGTTACTTCGAGGAGTTGATCGGTCTGTTGGAGGCCGCTTTGGGGTTGGAGAGAGCGCATATGGGAATGTTCACCGAACTGGCTATATTGTATTCGAAATATAAACCGGCTAGGATGCGCGAACATCTCGAATTGTTCTGGTCGCGCGTTAATATTCCCAAAGTGCTTAGAGCCGCCGAACAGGTACGTTTTGTTATACTCTTCTCGCGCTTCTCTCTAGTTTCATCGGAACGGATTTTTGTAGGCGCATCTGTGGGCCGAATTGGTGTTTCTGTTCGACAAATACGAAGAGTACGACAACGCCGTCTTGGCGATGATGATGCATCCGACGGAGGCGTGGCGCGAGGGCCACTTCAAAGACATCATCACGAAAGTGGCGAACATCGAATTGTACTACAAGGCGATCCAATTCTATCTCGATTTCAAGCCGCTGTTGTTGAACGATCTTCTGTTGGTGCTGGCTCCGAGAATGGATCACACTAGGTCAGTTGTTGTAGCTCTGTTACTCTATTAGTTAACGAGTTTTATTATTCCAGAGCTGTGGCTTTCTTCAGTAAAACCGGCCACTTACAGCTGGTTAAATCTTACTTACGATCTGTCCAAAATTTGAACAATAAAGCGATCAACGAGGCTCTCAATTCTCTGCTTATAGAGGAAGAAGACTTCCAGGTAAATATCGTTTTGTTCGTTAAATGTATGTAAAATAATCAATCATCGTTTACAGGGGCTCAGAACATCCATAGACGCGTTCGATAACTTCGATAACATAGGTTTAGCGCAGAGATTAGAAAAGCACGAATTAACCGAATTTAGACGCATCGCCGCTTACCTATACAAAGGCAACAACCGGTGGAAACAGAGCGTGGAATTGTGCAAAAAAGACAGGCTGTTTAGAGACGCCATGGAATACACGTCGGAATCGAGAAACCAAGAATTGGCCGAGGAACTGCTCGCTTGGTTCTTGGACAGAAAGGCGTACGATTGCTTCTCGGCTTGTTTGTACCACGTAGGTACTTCCCGATGTGGATTTATACCGTAATTAATCGATTGGAATTTTAGTGTTACGATTTGCTGCGACCGGACGTCATTTTGGAATTGGCTTGGAAGCACAACATAATGGACTTTGCGATGCCGTTCCTGATCCAGGTGACCAGGGAACTGACGACGAAGGTCGAGAAATTGGAGCAGTCCGACGCTCAGCGACAAAGCGAAGCGGCGGAGGAGACGAACAAGCCGATCATGATGCCGGAACCGCAACTTATGCTGACGGCTGGTCCGGGCATGGGTAAGTTTTAGAGTTTGAAAAGCGATTAAAATTAATTTGAGATGTTAAAGGTATTCCGCCGCAGCAATACATGCCCCAACAGACGTACGCCCAAGTGGGCTATGCACCGCAAATGGCCTACCAAGGTTATCCGGGCATGTAATATAAGGCCCCCGCCGACAGCCAGCTGTATAGAAAAATGGAATTTTGAATAGTTTTCGATTCAAACTGGAAAACTAGCGCTAAAAAGGACAATAGTAAAGTTTTAAATAAAATCATGTTAGGCGTGCGGAATATTGTTTCGTCATTTTCAGATGCGTTTCTTTTAGGAAAAGTAAGAGCAGCTTGTTATACTCGCCTTCAAAGTATTATTTTAACTACAGCTCGGATTCTTCACGATACAAATACATTGAATTTTTTTATTATTGGAAAAACCTGCTCTTGCCACGGCCGTAAAAGAAACAAAATAGTGTTAAGTAACTCGTTTAAAATTATAGTAATTTCAAATTATTATTCTCCTCAATATACATGGTTTTTTATTGAAGTGGCGCGGCCATTCGAAAGTAATTAGCTTTACCAACTCGTACTAGAATAGAACGTAAGAAGCCATGTATGTTACGTTTATGGTAATAGCATGTAATGTTAATTTAAACCAAAATATATAATTTAACCAAAATTTTAGGATGCTTAAAGATATAAGAACAATCACTGTTGTTAAATTGTTGTAGTTTTTGATTGATCACATCTCAATTTTGCTTGGTATTTTCGAACCCAACAGACACCATTTTATATCTTAATTTCAAAGTGTATATATTTTTCATGTACTAGCACCTATTGTAGCGTGTATATAATCTAAACAAATCGTTTGAGAGAATTATACATTAGGCTCCTTTTTTTTGTTTTTGTAACCCATTTATCATTCCTTTATTTAAACATAGATATATATGTATATGAAGTGACTATTTAACTTATATAAAAAATATATGAAAGTGATTCTTCAATGTTTAACTGAATTGTTTTTTTATCCATTTATTCTAATTTAATTATGTTCAGATTTTGCGTATATAATAGTAAATATATGTAAAGATCGGCAAAAAAATTGTTTATTTCTCTTAAACCCTTTTCTTTGTTTGCAGGAACGGATTTGCAAAAAAAAGGATTCGATTAAATGTTAGATATGTGTAATTGTAACATTTTTTTGTAGAAAAATCAATAGCAAAACGACAATTTTTTCGATATGCTCCTAAATAAGTTATCATATCACATGAGTTAGACTTATAAAAACTTAAAAAAACATGTTTAGCTAATAATTACATAAAAAAAATCATTTCAAATTAGCACTCGAAACCCCACGAATGAGTCTTGTCAAACCAATTTTTAATTTAAAAAAAGTGTTTACTCTTTAATCAATTTTATTTATGCTACATAACTGTATTCCTCAGTTGAATGAGGCGTTCTTTCAATATATTGTTTGTCTATCAACGATTCTATACATTTCTTTATCAGTTGAACACTCGGTGCAAACGAAACCTTCGATTGAGCATAGACCTAGAAAAAGTTTCATCAACACCTCCAATGATATCCTTTCAAACAAATTAAAACTCACCTCCTGTATGAGAAGATTGTGCTTGAGAACTTTCCTCGATTTCATAATTCTAACTATCGCAGCTTGCAGGTACATTTTTCTATCTTCTTCTACCGAGTTCATGGTCTGCTCCACTTCGTGCGGCGTTTCCTTTTGTACTGCGGCCGTTATCCTGAACTTGGTCCTTTTATTCGAGTATTCTAAGTTCAGCCTAAGCGTTACTTCGGGCGTCAGTTCCTTAAATTACGAAACACGTAGATACATTCATACGAGTACTATAGGCATTATCATTACCTCTGCATCAGCTAGTAGCAGTTTAGAATCTATCAGGCTAACGACGTGCCTGGTGAATTGCTCGTTATTCAACTGCAACGTCTCGCGAATTTCCTTGCAGGTCAACGAATTGGTGTTTTCGAAGAGGAGCAACATGGCCATTTGGAAGGTCTGAACCGTTACGACGTAAGGCCTTTTCAGGTGGTTGAGCTTCAATTCGGCCTGGCACAAGTGATGCAACCACGTCAGTTTCCTGCCGTTGAATCTCTTGTGGTAGAACGATTCGAACTGGAAATTGAAATTTAATAAAATACGTTTTAGAATTTTAAATTAAATGTTACCATTTGAACGCTCTTTTCCAGTTGCTGTGGTAGCGCAAACGGTGTAACTACAGCCTGCCCGAGAGGCCAAGCGCCGGCTTGTAAAATGTATATGCCGAAATTGATGCCTAAATCGACGTTTTCTTCCTTTAGAAAATCGTTGAATTTGTTATTCAAGTCTGCGCTAACGGACATATCGGTGAACATCCTGTGGAGTTTGCTGGTAAACTCGTATCCGCAAGCCTAAAATAATACAATTATGAATTTGCTTTTATCATTTTCTTTAACGAGTTTATTACTTGTTTCAACCTATTAATCATCGATTCTTCAGCGTCCATACTTTGGGTTTGTTGGTGGATTAATCGCTTCGCAAGCATCCGGGAATAGAATTTTTGAAAAATATCTTTATCATCTATGTATTTGAAAATTATAATACTCTCAGCTAATTTCTCGTCCACCTAAAAAACAAAATCGTTCACGATGAATCGCTCGGAATAATCCAAATACTTCACCTCCGCCTCGCTAATTCCTTTGCTAGATTTCTTCAATAAAGTATCACAATATTTAGCCAGCAGCTCGGGACTTCTACAGGGCGATCTGCCTTGATTGGGCCGGTGATTTATCACGGAATTGCACGCCTTGTCCAACGCGCCCATGAAATTCTGATCGGACTTGAACACGTCCTGTATAAGTTGCTTGTATTTTTTGTACACCGTTAATAAATTCTCTACGAAGTTAATGTGGATGTTCTCCCCTTGTAAGTTACTCACGGCCTAATCGAACAGAATGCTTGTTAATTATACAATTTATAAAAAATGGGATAATAAAAGGATGTATGAAAATCGTATTACATTGTACTTACAGCTAAACCTTGAGTTTTTATATGATCTAGTACAGTATCAACTAAAACAACCATAGCATTTTGAACACTTTTGAGTAAATCGTACATGTTAGAGAGATCCTTCTTTCGTTCGTTTTGCACCATATTCATACATTCGCTATACAAAAACGGTAAATGCTCCGCTACCATGTGCGTTTCGCACCTGTGAGACACCTAAAACAGATCATTTGTAACACTAGTAAAAATCGATAAATCCCCGATGATATACCTTCGGTAGCGAACTGTAATGCAGAAATTTCCTGGCTCTAAATAACTCCTCTTCGATCTTTGCTTTCACCCTTTCCATGTACAAACTGACATCTTTTTCTTGTAGAAGCCTGACGGCGTCCCGTTTGAAGTGCTCCCCGCTGGCGTTGAGGAACGGTTCCTCGAACAGCTCCTGGTAGAGCTGAAGCTGGCCTTTTTTCCTGTAGCCTTGCACCTAATCGTACGAGTTTATTACAAAGGAATTTCAATACTAAAGCTGGTATTACCTCTACGAAACTGATTATGGTTCCTCTTACAGCCTCTATGGACGTGCTTAAGGGTTGCTGAGATCTATCTTGGTCGATGGCCTCTAATAAAAGTTTGACTAGTCGTTGTCCTAACGGGGCTATCATGCCGCTTTGCCACACTTCCAAGCAGAGTTCGCCGATTTCCATTTGTTCGCCTGGTGAAAACAAACTCAATGAATAAGCAATTACGATTCGATTGAAACATCGACTTGCCTATAGTGGCATCGGGGTTTCCGTATATAATTTCAGCGTCGGATAATTTCTGGGTTTTAATGTGTTGCTGGTTCAAGTATAGATACATGCTGTGCAAGTATTGACTGCCTACGTAGTATTGAGACCAATAGTGGAAGTAGTTTTTGACGAGGTTCCGTTCGCCTTCTTCTTGTACGTTGTTTAACAGTTTCGCTACGTGGTCTATTAAGTATTGCTTGGTTTCTGCGTATAATCTGTCCGCCATAGGCTCGGGATGAGCCACGCAAATCGAGTAGACATCACTGAAATTGACAATAAAATGAATGTTTCGGTGTAAAATATTTAGTGATACTTACGAAAATCTGTCATTCCAGACAGTTCTTGGGACGTGATCTAACGTTATAACACCTTTGATAGTTTCTCTGATAGCACTCCAAGTGGCGTTAAAATCGACTCGTCTCGGTTTTAGTGAAGACATGATACTAACATAAAACCACTTTTTTGCTGATGTCACTGTTTGACAACAATCCAAAAAGAACGGATTCCAAAATAAAAATCTAAAAATAAACGAAGACGCAGTAGTTCAATTAGAGTTTAGATTTAAACCGATCGTGTGTGTGCAATTCGCGATGCCCTCGACCGAAATATATACACCACTTCAATTATAACCTTGATATTTCACAAATAATTTTTTCGTGAAAAATGTCGATCAAACATTAACCTCCTTATTTTAGGTAATATACTATTAATTTTATGAATAAAATTTAAGGATTTTCAAAAGTTATTTTAGAAAAGTTTCTTCACTTACAAGTCTTTTCACTTTTATTTTTTGACGTTTCTTCTTCTTTTTCTATGGTTACTAATAAAAAAATAATTATCGTGGATATTTATTTTAGATTACATATAAAACTTTCAAATATCATCGAAAATAAAGAACTATTCATGTTTTTAGAAAACACCTATAGATTTTTAAATAATAAAAAGTAACTTACAATTATAAAAAAAGAAGTAAATATACCAAATTAAAAAAACAGAAGATAAGAAATATGTCATAAGTGTCAAACGTCATTGATTGTGAAGTCAACTGTCGTTTCGTTCCTTACTTCTCTTTCAATTTTAATTTTTATCGTCGGCATACACGTTTCGTGTCTCAAGACTTAAAAAGTAAGTAAAAACCAAACAATCAAAAAAAATATTACATTAAATAGTTCCCTTAATAAAACTAGCATCTAATAACAAACATTCCGTTACATTTTCACCAATAAAACAAACGATTTATCAAGATTTATTTTTGTGTTACGTTTAACCTCACTTGTAATGTATTTGGATTCTGAACCAAAATGATCTTACATTTTCATTTCCAGTGCGTTACGTGGCTGCTTACTTATTAGCCGCTTTGGGCGGAAACGCTTCCCCAAGCGCTGCCGATGTCGAAAAAATCCTCGGCTCCGTTGGAGTAGAAGCTGAAGCCGAAAAGGTCAAGAAGGTCTTGGGTGAACTCAACGGCAAATCCATCGAAGAGCTCATTACTAAAGGTATACCAAACGCATTCATTATTCAGTTATTGTGATAAATGATGATATTCAGCGTGTATTGTGATGAATTTACTTTTTATACCATCTTTCGTATGATTGTTTTGTGATTAACGTTTTCTTCTGATAGGCGATTTGGAATAATTAATTATAGCTTTCTTATAGGGCAGGTTTTTTAATATTGGGTTTGTTTATTTCAGGTCGCGAGAAGTTGAGTTCCATGCCAGTAGGTGGTGCAGCACCCGTAGCTGCTGCTGCAGTTGCCGCTGCTCCTGCTGCCGCAGAAGAAAAGAAAGGTATGTATTATTCCATTCTATTACTTAATAAAACCACAGTAAAATAATTAGTGATGATCTACAAATACACCATCTTTCGACTGCAAATGCATTGATGATAATTTCTAATCTGATGATATGATAGTACTAGTTAGAATATTGCCTGGTTTTTTCATTTGGTCTTATTAATATTGTTTTTAATTACAGAATCCAAGAAGGAAGAAAAGAAAGTTGAATCAGAATCCGAAGACGATGACATGGGCTTTGGTCTTTTCGACTAAAACTTAAGTTACTTTTTAAGATTCAACCTGATTTTTGTAATATATTTTTAAGTTAAATCTTAACAGATATTTTATTGCACAAAGTAGTTAAGAATTAACATCGCTACTTCTTACAAGTTCTTGAAAAATTTTCATTCTCGTGCTGTAATCGCATTCGTCGAGAGATTCCACATAAACGTTGTCTCTGAATATTCCAGAATCTTGGAAATTGAACTCTTCGGTGTCATCTTCCTCGCTGTCGATAACTAGATTGTGTAAAGTACAAGCGGCTTCTATGCAGCTCACTATTATTGGCACATCTTTGTTTTCGAAGTGTTGCAATCTCTGAAACCTACCTTTTAGAACTCCTAAAGATTCTGGAAAAATTAGCGAAGCAGTTTCGTGGCAATTGTTGAAAAATTGCTGAGCAGGCAACAATATCTCATCATTTCTGAATGGCTGTATTAACCAAGATCGATTCATATAGTCATTGTAACCTACGAAAATGTTTATGTAAAATAGTTACAGGAAAGCAAACAAACATTTACCAACTAAATAATATTCCCCAAATATGTCTTTTGCGGCCTCTTCTTGCAGGGGCGACTTTTCTAGTATACTTTCTGGCTGGTCCGATCCTTCGCTCACATATATGTTGATAAATTTTTTGTTTATAGTCACAGTACCTAGTGGAAAATAATGAAATGTTATAATTACTGGTAAATCTGCATTGCAATTACCTTGAAGAGCTACGTAGCAATGTGAGGAGGACATGATTTTGGGTTTAGGTATTTTGATATGCGAAACTCCCAATACTCCAATGCAATTTTTCAAATGGCACACATTTTGGAACATACTTGCGATGCTGGGGTACTCTTGCTTCGAGGGCCACACAATTTGTTCGCACATTTTTAAACTTAACGTTCTGGTACCTGGAAGATATCAACATGATAGTATTCTATTCAAGTCTTATGGAAATAAAATATTACCTATTTTAATGACTTTACGAATACAAGTTATAGACTTTTTAAATCTATCTGATATTTGCCTTAACGTTTCTTGATTACCTAAATACCACAATAAAATGTAAGTTGCTTTTTCTGGACTGACTCTTTCTCCTCTGCCTCCTCTGTTATCACTTATGAAGCTATCTCCAATCATTTCTACAATCCCATAATAAAAATGTGCAAAAATCTCGATGACAGTCTACTAACCAACCACTTTCTCAAAGGTACTTCTCGACATCCTAAAGCTGTTTTTAAAGTCATAAGCGTTTAACATTGGTATTTCGATTTCAACGAACCCATCGACTTTTACTTGCTTATTGTTAGGAGAACGTGCAATTTGTGTGTCTTTTGAACCGGAACATTTACAGCAGGAGTCCTCATTGTCGTCACTGCTATCAGTGCTGCTGCTGCTGTTGTATAAGTAAGAGTCTTCGCCAAAATCGGAGGTATACAAAAGAGCCTCCTGGATAACAAATTATGAATGATATATTGTTTGGAATGAAATTCGGTTGACTTACGGTTACAAAACGGTCCATTTTTAGTATAATCTACTTAAATTTTACGTAGAAATGTCTTTTAATTGGGTTTTTATTCAAATGTAAACAATTTCAAAATTAACCTATATCTTCTTTTTATTTAATTTGTGCTTATAACATTGACATTAATGACGTAAAATGGCCGGTTGAGGTTAATTTTGTTTTGTTTTCAAAAAATATTAAACTACTAAACCTCATTAATACTAATAATCTGAACATTTCAGCCACAAAATGACCTTTGATAGAGGTTTGCTTTAATGTCGTATTTATATTCATTATATTTTTATAATTTTTTATGTTACTTCAGGTGTTGAGCCAAAAGTCTTCAGGGCTATTCAACATGTTAACATGGAAGAATTGGCGAAATGTACCGAACAAGAAATTCGTCCAGTTCTCCCTTGTTTGGTCAGAATGGGCTTGATATCCCCCTTAGATACTTCAAAAAAATGCATGAACATGAAAGTAACCATTTTGACCATCGTTTCCGGCATGGAACTCGTAAATTCCATAGTGGCCCTTCTCTCCATCGATTTCCATAAACTGGAAATCGACGTTAAAAAAGAACAACAACTGAGACAAAAAGGTTTGTTTCAGCCAATTAGTGCGATAGCAACAATTCTACATGTACATTTTTGTAGGTAATACACTTTTAAACGATTCCGTTTTGATCGGAAACTTATCCAACACCAGCATGGCTTTGGAATACGAAAGAAGCGACATGACTCGTAGACTAAGCATTTTATTAGGAGAATTACTATACATTCACTCGCAAATACAAGACGGAGCCGAAACCAACGAACAGGAGTCTTATATAAAATCATCAGAACTCTTTGATAACGACATTTTCGCCGAAGAGTTATCCGATATAATATGCATTGCCCTGGCTGAATTACCCACGACTTTAAACATGTGTACACTTGTCGAAACATTACTCCACGTCCATAACGGACCTGCTATTATTTGTAGGATTGTAGCGAATTTCCCGGATTCCTTCCGAGAAGGTACTTTCAACAACAAACTACATATCGAATAGGTATCACTAACGGTCTACTTTTAGTTACCACGTATCTCATTCAAACTGGTGAAAAACAGGAAGAAAATATCTCGAGTGTTGTAAGAACGAGCGCGATATCGTTGATATGCAAAATGAATCCATCTCAAGCGTTGTCTATAAGAAACAAGTGCGTAGATTTGTGCAGAATGCCCGCCTTAGCGATAACTTTGTCTCTCGAGCAAAACAAAAACATTTGCGATGATGTAGATGGTGATATGGTGGCGTTTATATCCGGATTATTATTAGGAAACGATCAAACGATTAGGTAGTAAAATACATAAATAAAAATTTTTATTCGTTATGTTATTACGATTTGTAGAAATTGGATTGCATTGTTCATAAGAACCGGCCAGAAACGCAAAGGTGAAGTATCCAGCAACGCATTGCAGCAACTAAGAGACGAGTTGCTAAAGAGATTGCAGAAGATAATCGAAGCTTCATCGGAAGGCGAACTCCCCGATAGCATGGTCGTGCAAGCATCAGCTTTACTGAGGCTCTACTGCGCTCTAAGAGGCATAGCAGCGATAAAGTCCGTTGGAAACAATCCACTCGAGTTATTCGATTAATTCCGTATCTCCGCAGGTTTCAAGACGACGAAGTGAATTACATCGTTCAACTCTTAACGTCTCATCCTAACCCCACGCCGGCCGGCGTGAGATTCGTCTCGATAGGCTTGTGCATGCTCATCGCCTGTCCCTCGTTGATATCCCTTCCGGAACACGAGAGGAAGAACATCGAATGGGTGCAGTGGCTCGTCAAAGAGGAGGCTTATTTCGAAACGGCCAGCGGCGTGTCGGCCTCCTTCGGCGAAATGCTGCTCCTGATGGCCATCCATTTTCACAGCAACCAGCTGAGCGCGATTTGCGACTTGGTGTGCGCCACGCTCGGCATGAAAATCGCCATCAGGCACAACAACATGACCAGGATGAAGCAGGTTTTTACGCAGGAGATATTCACCGAGCAAGTGGTGACCGCTCACGCTGTCAAAGTGCCGGTTACCAACTCTTTGAACGCTAACATGACGGGTTTTTTGCCGATTCATTGTATTCACCAGCTGTTAAAATCTAGGGCGTTCGCGAAACATAATGTTAATATTAAGAAATGGATTTACAAGCAGATTTGTACGAGCGTCAGTCCTTTGCATCCGGTACTGAGGATGCTGGTTGAAGTTTACGTTAACAGTATTATTTTACCGAATACCAAAAATTCCGAACACACGAATAAGCCTCTAACTGAAAATGAAATCAGGAAGGTAAGGGATTCGAAAAAATTGAACCGATTAAACCCTACAGTACTTTTTTAGGTTTTTCAAAGTTCGATATTTGGACAGTATTTCGATCAAAAGCAATCGATATTTACTATGGATTTCGACTTGAGTTCTGAGTACCAAGATGTTGTAGTGGACAATACGAGTCTGACACCTCAATTACTACTGTTATATTATTTATTGTTGTACGAAGATTGCCGTTTAAATAACGCTTATATTTTGGCAGCAGTGGAACAAACCGGGACGAAAATCAAAAAATACACTCCAGAATTTATGTCCGAGTTGCCAATTAAGTATTTGTTACACCACGCTCAGAAAGATCAGAGTTCCTATTCCGGTATGTCATTAACATTACATTTCACATACATACTAAATATTTGTGTATTTCAGGACTTTTTGGGCCGCTTTTAAAACTCCTAGCGACTCATTTCCCTCACTTAACCCTCGTAGAGGATTGGCTGGACGATATGGCCATTCAAACCGAATACAAACCCACTCATATTTCGGAAATATCGGTCATCGAAGCGTTCAGCGAAATCGAGAATAACCCTTTGAAATGCGCCAAACTGTTGCAAAATCTCCTGAAAAAAGAGGCCATCGATATCTGGCCGTTCGTCGAAATTTTCACTCAACACGCCAAGAATTTCTTGGGCGACAACGTTCCCAGATACTTGCAGGATTTATATAGGGACGTTTGGTTCAGATTAAACACGGTTTTGCCGCGCAGATTGTGGGTGTTGACGGTGAAGAATCTCGTAGAAGATTGCTCCAGTTTATCACGAATCGACGTAGCAGAAGATCCATTACAAGTACACATTCCCTCTTATTCTTTTACATTACATGATAATTAATTTTTGTATTCGTAGATAATGAGATGCGACGAGCGGGTTTTTCGATGTGCTCCCATGTACGCGGTTGTATTGAGAGTGCTGAGGGCCAGTCTGGCGTCTTCTAGAAGCCAATTGATGCAGCATTTCTTGTCCAATTTGAAATTCGAGCAATCCGGCCAAGTTATGAATGAAAGCGATAGGGAAGAGATGCGTCGAGCTTGTATAGCTGCACAGGTTAGTTATTTGGTACTGTTTTATTTTTAGCGCGTATTTGCTGTATTTTGTTTCGAAATTTTCATTTTTATCAAAAAAACAAATGGTAATTTCGATTAGTCCGGTCCTGTCCAAATTTTAAGTTTTCCGTGGTCTTGTGCTTATTCGGTCAAAAATCAGTCAGCATTATTGATGTATAAAAACAGAAGAATAATGTAAAAAATCCGATCCTGTCAAATTTTCGTGGTTTCCATGGTCTTGTGCTTATTCAGCCAAAAGTCAGTCGGTGGATTTTACGTTTTGTTTATAAAAAAGAAGTAAAATATAACCTAACTTTGTTATTGAAAATAAAAATAATATACAGCAAAATTAATTAAAAATAGGAAATAATTTATTATTTAATCATACATATTTAAAATAAGTACTCTATGCTATTTTACACTGGTTAAGGTTATTAACGTTATAATCGTTATTGTCTTGTGAAATAGTGAAGTGACTAAAGAATTGTTTATTTTGATTTATAATGGATAAACGGAGAAGATCTGATTCGAGATCATACGATAGAAAGCGAAAAAGAACAAAATCGCCGAAGAAAGAAATTATCGACTACAAACATGAACTTGGCAGATTTTTGGAAGATCAGGCTAGCGTTACGAATGTCGGTGATTTCTGGAGATTCTACGAGAAATACAAAACATTACAAACCATACAAAAAACGGACGTAGATAAACATAAACTATTAAATATGGATTTTATGGAGAACACTTCGTTTTTATTCAATAAACTCCCCGTTTTAGATAGAAGGGGAAACAAAATCGAAATTTCACCGGAAGATTTCAAAGATTTCCTACTAGTTATTAGAGTATATCAAGATTTCCAACAGAAGAGCGATTTCGCCAAGCTTCACAAATTAAAATTGTTTCAAAACGATCTGCCGATAGCTCAACATAAACGGGAAATTCTGGATAAATTGAAGCAGTCGAGAGTGCTGCTAATCGCCGGAGACACCGGCTGCGGCAAATCCACGCAAGTACCCCAGTACGTTTTGGAAGCCGGTTACAATAAAATAGCTTGCACTCAACCTAGAAGAATCGCTTGCATCAGTTTAGCGAAGAGGGTCGCCTACGAGACCTTAACGGAGCAAAAAAACACAGTAGGATATCAAATTAGATTCGAAAAAAGCAAAAGGGCCTCAACCAAAGTTATATTCCTAACAGAAGGTCTGCTGTTGAGGCAAGCCTCGGAAAAAGAAACTCTCGAATCGTACGACGTAGTCATACTAGATGAAGTACACGAAAGGAACTTGCACGGGGATTTTCTGATAGGAATAATGAAATGTTTGATGCATCAACGCGACGATTTCAAACTAATACTCATGTCGGCTACCATAAATTTGGAATTATTTGCCAGTTACTTCGCCGAAGAGCAGATACAAATCATCAAAGTACCCGGAAGATTGTTTCCCATTGATATTCAATACAGGCCTATCATCAAGGACCCCTACGAGCGGAAAAGAGACAAACTCGATTGCACTCCTTACTTGCAACTTTTGCAAATGATCGACGAAAAATACCAACCCACTCAGAAAGGAGACATGCTGATATTTCTCAATGGATTTTCGGAAATATCAGCTCTAGCCGAAGCCGTTACAGAGTACAGTCAGTTCAAGAAAAACTGGATTGTTTTACCATTGCACAGTTCACTGTCTTTAGAAGAACAAGATAAAGTGAGTACAGTAATTCGTGAATATGTATAGGATTTTATAATGAGGCATTTAGGTGTTCGACTACCCCCCGGAAGGTGTCAGAAAATGCATAATCTCCACGAATATAGCCGAAACTTCAGTCACAATCGACGGTATAAGGTTCGTTATAGACTCAGGAAAAGTCAACCGAATGAGCTACAATACCAACGTCGGTGTGAATAAATTAAGCGAATGCAACATCTCTCAAGACAGCGCTAAGCAAAGAGCTGGTAAGTAGACCAATTATTTAACTTTAGTTATTTTATACACTTCCGAATTTCAGGTAGAGCTGGTAGGACGGGTCCGGGCACCTGTTTCAGGTTGTATTCAGAGGAGGATTTGAAGAGTTTCGAACCTTTCACGCCCGCCGAAATACATCAGGTACCTTTGGATTCGTTATTGCTGCACATGATCTCTTTGGGGCTCCACGACATCGCGAATTTCCCGTTCCTCGAAAAACCCACAAGCAGAAGTTTAGAGGAGAGCATGGAGAAATTGAAGTTCATCGGAGCTTTAGAACTCGACAAGGAATATCTAAAGTTAACGCAATTGGGCGATTCGTTGAGTCAATTACCCGTTGATTTGACAATTGGTAAGTGCGTAAAGATAGGTAATTTAATTAGTTTTTGATTGTTGTTTTGTAGGTAAGATGTTAATTTTGTCTACGGTGTTTGGGAATATCAATTCAGTATTAGCGCTGGCTTCTCTTCTGAGCATCCAAAGCCCTTTAACGCAACAGTCCCAGCGAGATTTGCAAGCTCGCGAGCTGAGAAAACCGCTGGAATCCGATCACGGCGATCCCTTAACTCTACTGAATTATTACAAAGAATGGCTGAATGTCAAGCAATCTTATACACCGGCCAAACATCACTCGAAAAGGGACGGCGTCAGTTCTAAAGTGTGGGCGAGGAAAAGGTAAATAAAGTAAAGGTAAAAAGTTTCTTCGTGAAAATAAATTGGAATTTTCCAGGTGCTTGGAGGAGCAACGATTCTACGAAGCCACGAAGTTGATCGAACAGTTCCGGGAGATACTGCAAGAGGCCGAGCTGCTGCCCAAACTGAGCGAGGCCGGTTTGAGCAGCGGCGAACGATCGATTCGATTGGGCGAATTGAAGCAGCTGAAATCGATGAGGTATCGCATGAAGAACGAGGAAAAACGGCAGAATCGAAAGCAGCTTAAATACGAAATGTACGATGCCCCGGAAGGCGATGAGGACGGCGGGAAAATGGATATCAGAGACGTGGAGTTTAGAATAACGAACGATTTTAAAAAGTACGCACACATATTTCTAGTCTATTAATATAACAACGAATTATTTTTCAGGTTACAGCGACTCCTTAACGAAGCCTCTGCGGATACCCACAAAGACTTGGTGTTGTTGAAATTAATTTTAGCCAGCGGTTTGTATCCGCAAGTAGCCGTTGAAGATGAATTTAATTCGTCTAAAACGGTCCTCGAACGACTCTATCACACCAAAAACAAAAATTACGTTTTCCTGAGGCCCGATAGTTACTTTGCTTCGAACCCGGAGGTGTTGGAATTGCACAATGACGATGTCGAGGTGCCGCCTCCGGGATATTTTAGTAGAAGGTCTATCAGCAGAAAGCATCAAATATTGATTTATCAAACCATACTGGAAACTAAGAAGGTGTATTTGGTGAATGCTATGAGAATGCCAGCATTGCAAACTTTGCTGTTGTTGGGGAAAACTGTAGCTGCGAATGAGACTTTCACTAAATTTGTAATAGATGATTTTTTGATGATTGATGCTCCGTATTTCGGGCAAGGTAATTGCAATGGAAGGTTTTAACAGGTTTATATATTCGGTTATTTTTAGGTAAAGCATTGTTGTTAAAAGCTCTCACTTTAAGAAGAGTTTGGAAGGATAAACTGCAGTCAAAATTAAAAGACCCGACTAATACTAAAATAGATCAACGAGAAATTTTCTATTTTACGGAAGATTTGATTGCTTATATGACGACCGAAGTCAGTTATAATATTAAGAGATTGCTGCCTGCGGATTTGAAGGATATATTCTCGCACGATTGTCGAATTTTCGAAAGTGAAAAAATTTCCGAGAACAATAAAAACCCGTTCTGCAAGGATTATAAAATAACGAAAAATTTCGAATTGGGCGGCATTAACGTGACCGAGAACTTGGTGTACGGTTGTCTTTTGCAAGAAGAATGGGCGTACGCGATTGAACAGGAAATAATTAACACAGAATTCGTATGCAAGCATTGCAAAAAATCTCGTTTGGGTTCCACGTTGTTTGGGAATATCAGACATGAGACGTTTTGCAGCAAAAGATCGGATGAAACTGCGCAAGAACCGGAAGAAACCGAAGAAGTCGTTATTCAACCCAATTCTAAACTATACCATTGTAATGTTTGTAATAAAGACTTGATGTTGACTCCTGTAAATATTTTGAAACATAAAAAAAGTTGTAAATAAAAATAACGAATTGAGCATTTTCGATTAGTAACAACCTTTTCTTACGAAACTGATTGTACTTTTATACTTAATTAAAACAAAATATATTTGCAGGAATCTGCGGCTATTCAGATGTTGATAGAAACTTGTTCCGAAACGGATCTGGATAAAACTATACCAGGAAGACAGTGGGCCTTGCAGGAAGTCAGATCATTGGTTTGCAGTTACCTTCACCAGGCTTTTATTGCCGATACGACTTTATGTAAATTAGTACATTTTCAAGTAAGTGCTGATTCCACAACCGATAATAATAAATAACAATATTTTATTACAGACGTATCCAAGCGAACTGATCGAAATAGTAGTCAAAGGCGTTCCTTCAATGCACATATGCCTGGACTTTTTGCAGGAACTGATGCAACAGCCGAGCCTTAACAAACAAATATTCGGAATACAGCTGCTCTCCCACATTAGCCTGCAGTACGCTCTACCGAAGAGTTTGAATTTATGCATTTCGGCGCTGAATTTGCTCTACGCCCTTCTCGGAGGTAAACGATACAGTACTATCGTCCTTTTACTATTAACAAGAATCGATTCTAGGCGTATCCAGCGCTCAAAGGGTGAAGCTTTTCAAGCCCGTCTTACCGGCTTTAGTGCGAATCAGCGAGGCTTTTCCTCCGTTGACCGACGACATCATTAATTTGCTCATGCAATTGGCGAAGATCTGCGAATCGCAGGCGTCGCTGGCGTCTCATTTCGACGCCCATCTAGGTAAAAGTTTAGAAATCGCTTCGAAAGAGAGCGGCGAATTGTGCGATTTAACCCAAAGGACTTTCAGCGAGATTTTAGATAAGGCGGTGTTGAAAGCGAAAATTTATAAGCAGGACTAGTAAATTATTTTTCATATTTAAAAGTAAGCTTAAATTTTTATAAAATGTATGTATAAATAAGGGTTTTTTTTAATAAGCAGTAAGTTTTTTTTGTTTTGTTTTGTTAAAGGTGTTTGAAGAGTACAAAAGTTTTCAATCATATTTTACAATATAAAAATAAATACATTTGTAGAATCTTATACACTCTAATCGACGTTACAATTTGGATAATTTTTCAAAAAATTCAAACAATGCAATCGAATGAAGCCGACTTGATATCCTGATGCGTAGTGCAAGCAAGCTTGTCGATTTGGATTGAAAGAGACCTTATTTACCGCCGAGAGAGGATACAAATTTGTTCTGCTAGGCTCCGAATTGCTTTGCACCATTTGCTTTTTAAAATTACTCACCTAAAAATTCATACCTTTAGTTACCTACACCCTTAAAAATAAACTAATCATTTACCGTATCACAGAAGATGACCCCGTATTTTCTAGTTGCCTCCTTATACGCGAGAGGTTCGTGCCAAGTCTCCGTCTCTAGCTTCGCAATATCGACACCAGGTTGTAATGTCTTATCGATCAACCTAACGTAACTTGCTAACTGAAAGTTTTTAATGCATATAGGGAAGTTGTGACTTATTTGAAATACTCACGTAACGGTTATCGAAGTGCCTTCGTTGCTTTTCGTTATCGTACAGCATCTGGTGCTGAAGCGCGAAGATAATTTCCCCGGTTTCGTTACCGTGGACGAAAGCGTTGAGCCAATCGCTCGCAGATATCGTCAGAACAGTAGATAGCGAATAAGACAGGTTGCAGGCGCTGTACAAATATTCCCTGCAACTGTATGCAGCCACGATCGGTTGAACTGAAATAAATTAATGTAATAATTCGAATTGCTAATATAAGGTAAATGTACCTAAGGAAGTCGCTTCGTCACAACCTAATAGAAAACACAACCAGTTCAACATCCAACTACCATCGACAATCACTTTTCCTCTTTTACAAGAGAATTTATCGTTGTTGTATAAATCGCATATGTACACGTTTCTGTCGAATGAAGATGATACCAGCCATCTATTTCCTTCGCTTAACGGTATAAAGAAGAGAGCTAAAATCAATTGGAATTACAATTATTAGCATTCATCGTAATGATATTACCTACCTGAAATGTAGTGACTGTGGTTCTTCAGTACCTTGTATGGCAATAGAATAGACGAAGGATTATCGGATAACGCAAGTAAATTGTATACAGCCACTGTTCCATCGCTGTAACCTACAGCTATGTAATTATGACCAGAAACCTAAGAATTATTTAGTAAATTATTGCGTTTAAACAGTAAAAAGTTTCAATTACTTTGCTCCAAGAAATCTTCGTGGGGAATACTTTTCTTTTCAAATTCTGCTCATCCACAACTAATTTTAGAGTTAATACAGGTTTTGCCTTGTAAAACAACCCTCTGAAAAATACAGAATTTCTCAGACACGTTAGAGAGATAATCGAAAAGTTCTTACGTTTTATCTTCATTAAAAACCGGTATGGAATAAACATTCACATCCATCGAAGACCCACCGACGGCCAGTAAACCTCTTCTGTTCCATTCCACGGTTCCATCGACGTCGCAACACCCCGACGGGCACCATTCCAAGTGCCACACGGGCCCTTCGTCGATCCCCAAGCAAAAATCGAGCGTCGGTTTGCTCGGTGTTCGCCCGTCTTTCAGCGCTCCGAAATTCCAAAATTGCACCACGGTCGCCTCCGGGCGGTTCTCCGAGAGCAGGTGCTTCTCGTCGAAGTCTTTGCCGGTCCCCACGGCCAAAATTTGCGCCCGATTTAGCGAATCGTAGGGAGTGGGCAGCCAAGCCATGCAGCGTATCGGAGCCCCGCAGAAAATCATGGTGCTATCTACAAATTAAATTATACAATACAGTGAGTTGATGAGAGTAAAATAAATTGTTACCATCGTTTTGTTCGATTTCGAACAGTTCGTACTTCTTGAAAGTGTAATTCTCGCACTCCTTCACCATGCCTGCTGTTTTCAAAGTGGCAACATCGCAAGATAGTTCAGCGGATGGTATGTAATCTTCTAATCTATCTTCGCTTATCAAACTCCAATCGGTTTCCTTACATTTAAACGATGGGAACAAATCGTTTTGATTGTAGTTCTTTTCGACGCTTAAAATAATTCGATTAGTACATGAATAATTCGTTGCTGGTTTTTACTCACAATTCGTAAGTGTACTGAAAGGCGTGAGAGAACAGCTCGTGCAAGTTTTTCATTTTTTTGCTAACATTGTTAATGAACAAAGGTCTAGCTGGAATACAAACGAATAAACAATTGTATCACATACTGTATAATAACTTACTTTTTTTATTAGTACAATCGCCTTTTTTCGTAACGCTTCTCCTCGTTTCTATCACATCCTCTTCGTGCGCGGTTCTCTCGTCTTCGTCGCACACAACGTAGTCCGTATCTACCTTCATTCTCAGTTTGATATCGTGCGACGAATTGATGTGTTTGATCATTTCGCTTTCGGAGCGTTCTACTCTAAAGCAAGTTTTGCACAAATAGTACTCTTCAGGTTTGTGCGGGCAATTATTCAAATGAGACACCAAACTTTCCACTTCTCGGCTAGAAAACCCGCAGTTATCGAACATACACTTCAATACATCATTTTCTTCCAATTCCTTATGGAGATATGATACCAATGAATTGTCTTCTTCGAAGTTGATTTGCTTCACGAAATGCTGCAAGTACAATCTAATGTAATTTCTCGCTGTTTTAGTGCTTCGAGAACAAATATAATACCTTCGATGTATCGGATAAATCCGAGGTAAACTCCTTTAATCTATTCAACGCCCTAAAAACAAGCTTATCAATAGAAAATACACTTCGAATCGCTATTTACTCACTTAGTAGCGGCCCTTCTCTTCGTCGAAGAGCTGTTCAAATCGACGTCGAAATGATCGGTGGCTTTGGGGGCGCGTTTGGCGGCTTCGTGCGCCCTCATGTGGATCGGTAGACTGTACGGTAGCATCTCCCTGCCGCATATTTCGCACTTGATTTTCGCGTTCTCCTCGTTCCCGCACGCCCCCATGTGAGACAGCATCCCCGCCACCGATTTCTTCGACGCCCCGCATTTCTCGCAGAACAGCGGCTTCTTGGCCTTCACCAGCCCCTTCAGCGTCCTCACCACGAACGCCTCATCGTTCAAATCCTTTAAAAAAATATCCGCGTAAGTTAAAGAAACACGCCAACGAGGCCTTGTACTGTACGCGAAAGCGGCTAGTAACTTACCAGAGGGTGATCGCCGACGCGCCACGCCAAGTTGTTGTGTTTGGCTTTGTGTGGGGGCCAGGAGTCCCTGGGCATGGTTTCGTTGCATTTGGCGCAGGTGACGTTACCGTCGACGACGAGGCCCAGGCATTCCTCTAAATGGGAGATGAAATTCGCGAGCTTGAAGCCGGCGGTCTGGCAATTCGAGCACGTCAGCGACTTGTTCTTGGAGAGCAGTCGTTTGAGTTTGGTCTTGACGTTGGGATCGTCTAGGGACTGGAAAGTGTCGATTAAAATCGAGTGAATTCGCGAATAGAATGGGTTCTTACTATAGGGGTTTCACCGTCTCGCCACGATAGGTTGTTGTGGTGGGTTTCGTTGTGATGGGGCCAGTCAATTTCTGGGAATACGTTCCGGCAAAGGCAGCAAGTGACTTTGATTTCTTCATGTGCTTTAGATGAACTTTCCTGCGAGGATTTGGAAGACCTGGAAAATTTATAAAATGTATATAGGTACAATTGCTAGATGCAAACTTACGTGGCAAGAATATTCTCTTCACTTTCAGTTATTGTTACGGTATCATTAGCTTCTTCTGAAGTTTTCTTCTTTTTATTATTATGAATAAAAGTTTCTTCTGTATTTGATTGTACATCGTTATTATCTTCGTTAAACTCGCATTTACGTTTTCTGCCTCTTTTCTTCTTCGCTACTTCGGTGCTGCTCGTGGTTGGTGTGCTTTCTTGGATGTTGGTGGTTTCGAATTCTTTGTAGTCGTTGTCCATTTCCTGGTACTTGACTTTAACGTGCGTCCTGCCCCTTTGGGATTGTTCCATGACTGTTTTTGGTGCTTCGGCGATTACCGAAGGCGTGAGGTCTACTGGTTTTTGGACCTTTGGCGGTCTACCTCTTTTTCTTTTTTGAGTAATTGGAGTCGTTGATTCGCTTTCGTATGTCTTGTTTTCTACTACATTGTTTTCATCGTCCATTTCTTCTTTTCTAGACTGTTCTGGTCCTAGTTCACTTTCTTTATGGTGCTTGGAATGTGGTTCTTCTAAAGTAGTAACTGAACTTTCTACCTTAGTACTTTTACATATCATTCTTGTTCTAACATTGCTACTATTGTTATTTCTACTTCTACCTAGTATTTGTGTAGGCGTTTCGATTTCGCCTGTTTCATTCATTTCTTCTAAATCGTTTGTGCAGGTTTCTTTCTTTTGTTCTTCTACAATCTCAGCATGCTCTGTTTCACTAGCTTCTAATATAGAGTCCCCAGTATTTATTTCATATCGTTGTGTATCATCAGGTTCTTTATTTCTTCTAGCTCTGCCCTTTTTCTTGGGAACTTTTGTTAAAGGAGTTTCATCACAATCTCCGACATTCGAATTACTTCTTGAAGAGTGTAAATCTGGCCGAAACGATGATGTTTCTGGTTTGGATGTCGTAGAGGTCTCCTCTAACTTTGCACTATTAGTTTTTTTTTGTTCTTTTTTATATGTTCTTTTATTCGACTGATCCCTTTCGTTGGTAATAATGTTTGAAGAATTAGCAGATTCTTTCTTGACTGACCTAGTAGATAAACGGGTATTGCTATTACTTCCATTAGAACTTAAATAACCTATTTGTACTGCTTTATTAGTCTCATTTGTGGTGCCAACAGGCTCTAATATTTCTGTTTTGCCTTCTCTTGTGTCTTCTGATTGTCTGTTAATTTCATCCGTTTGATCAGAATCAATATGAGTGACATTATTAATATTTTTTGCTTGTTTTTGGGTAAGCTTTTTTGTGTTACAAGTAGATTTACTCCTATCGCTAACAGAAGTTTCAGTCGAAAGGATAATGGCCTTGTTCGTCGGGTCTGAGGGTTTTTTGGACGCTTCATGGCCATTTTTATTCTTCGATAAAAGTTTTTTGCCCTTGAATATACTGGATAGATCTGATTTAGTTACTGGAGTGTCTTTGCTTGATGATGATGATGATGATGGTACGTTTTTAAATTGGGTAGCTGCATCTAAAATTCCAAGTTTGCTTAGTTCGTCGGGTGAAAGTATGAAAACTTTTTTGTCTGTAGAATTTTTGTTTAATTCATCCATAAGAAGGGACAATCTGAAAATATTATGTAAATCATCGTGAATTTATAGACGTTGTAGATGAAACAACTAAATAGAAGAAATTCTTCATGTTGGGTAAAATACGATACATGTTAAAATGTTAAATTTGATATACCCTAGGAATTGAACCCACGTCCTTATGATTTCATTGCCAATGCCTTAACCATTCAGCTATTTCACCAAAACACACAACGTAATATAAAATATATGTGCTTTTAATTTGTAATTATGCACTTACCATATCTTTAACAATTTCCAAAATTAAAATTATTCAATTACACTATAACACTCCAATACGCAATAATAAAATGCAATGCAAATAATTCCAGATATATTTTATAATCTACAATTTTGTATTTATCGCCCTCTATCATCTGTCAAAATAATTGGTAAGTTCTTCTTTTTTTCCAACTTTATTATTTGACATATCAAAAATCTTGACATTTGAACCTAACAGCCAATTTTTCACATGTGTGATTGACACGTTATGGTTTGGAGGTTAGTATTTTTAATTGTATAATTTATTTGTCAACAAAAGGTAGGTAAATATTTTATCGTATTAATAATTTCAGCCTCAAATTTCCTCCAACTTCCACTGTAATTCGTCTCGTGCATACAAGCAATCTCATAATGAAACAAATTTTAAAACCGCCGGATAGTATTAGGGGTATGGTAGAATTAAACAGACACTTAGTGAAGAAGTACGTAGATGTTCCCTGTTTATCAGTCAAAAAGGACTCACTGAATTCAATAGTACCGTTAGTAAAGAAATTCTTTCTAAAAATAGAAAATTTCAAATCTATTCAGCATATAAACAATGAAAATGTGGATTTGTATTTGTCACCGGAGCTCGTTTCGGAATGGTCCGATTTACCCGAAGAATTGCATACTGTCATTACGGAAAAGCGCATTTCTAAAGAACATTTCAGAGTTATTAGAAACTTTCAGTTGAATTACGAAAATTTCACAGCGGACGATTTACTAAAAGCCATTCTTCCCGAAGATAAAGAAGGTAAATAACGCGCCATTAATCGATAACCATCAAGAAAATGCATTCACTTATCTTTTTAGGTATGTCTAGTTTCACAAAAATCGGTCATATCGTACACGTAAACCTCCGAGAGCATCTGTTGCCGTTTAAAAACGTAATAGGAGAAATCCTCTTCGACAAAATACCCGGGTGCACGTCCGTTGTCAATAAAGTCAACAGCATCGACAACACCTACCGAAACTTCAGCATGGAAGTGCTGAAAGGGACCGAAGACATGCTGACCACAGTCAAAGAGAACCACTGCAGTTTCAAGTTCGATTTCTCCAAAGTCTATTGGAACTCGAGGCTGTGCACGGAGCACGAGAGGATCGTGAAAACGCTGAAGGAAGCCGACGTTTTGTTCGATGTATTCGCCGGAGTGGGGCCGTTTTCGGTACCCGCAGCGCGGAAACGCTGTATTGTGTACGCCAATGATTTAAACCCCGAATCGTTCAAGTGGCTGCAATACAACGCGAGTAAAAATAAACTACCCGATGAATCCTTCAAATCGTTCAATTTAGACGGTAAAGATTTCATAAAATCCGTAGTTAAAGAGTATTTACCTCTGCATCTGAAGGATATGCGAAATATTTATATTACCATGAACTTACCCGCGTTGGCTGTGGAGTTTCTCACGCACTTCGAAGGGCTCTTTACGAACGATGAATTATCGGATTTCGAAAATTGTCCGCAAATTTTCGTATACTGTTTCGTTAAAGGGGAAAACTACGTAGAGCTCGCCGAAAATCTCGTAAAAAACAGTTTCAAATGCGACATATCGGCTAATATACTCGATATATTCAGAGTAAGAACGGTCAGTTCTTTGAAAGAAATGATGCGCATTACCATACGATTAGAAAAAGACATATTAACAGGAGCTCGCAGGAAACGGAAGTTGGAAGAAATTTCTGATTCTGAAATCAAAAAAATCCGCTGCTTGCCAGGTGAAATGACCAGAATCGAGTCGTTTAAACTAAATAAAAGGCTTTGTTGTTTCAGATAATGGGCAAAAACAAGAAGAAGGCCGATAGCGTGTTTAAAGTAGCCGGTGCTAAAAGCTTGAAGCTCAAAGCCAAGGCCAAGGCTGTGAAATCGGATTTAAAACAGGTAATTATTGAACTTGACACCTTCATTTAGTCCAAGGTTTCTGTATACAGATAATGTGCAAATTTGTACGCAATATGGACGATTCTATGAGTTGAACAAAAAAGGTTATTAAAATAACAGTAGTTAGAGTTAGAAAGTTGCAATCACACCAATATATCAGTCTTTCTTTTTCCTTTATATTGAGACTTATAGAAGTTGCCTCTGTTGCACCCATATTGCAAAAATTTGCACTTATGTGTATAAATTCGCTAAACAGATGTCACGATCTGAAATTATTGGATACACTAAACATGTAGATGCAAAATTTGTTTGCAATGTAGGCTATGGATTCAACAAAGACAACTTCCGTTGGTCTCATATACAAGAACAAGAAAGAGTGATTGAGTGCTTGCAATTTTCACTCTGTCATATCTTACAACTGTCACTTTATTAATCTTTCCTTGTTCAACTCATAGAATTGACCATACAGCAAACAATGTTGCCTTTACCGATCTGTCGATTTTTAATTTTTTTTAGATAAATATCAAAAATAAAACGGCGGAAATCGATAAAGCCTTAAACCAGTTAGAGAATAAAATAAGAATGCCGGCGGTGCCTCCGCCTCAGAACACAAACAATTCAAATTCCAAATTACCTTCGGTTCCGCAAGTTTCCCCGGAGACCGAGAAGAAATCCGAAGAAGCCCTAAAGGATTTAGAAGGTTTCCAATTGTGATTCCACAACGTGGAAAAAAATGTACAAATCCGGTTAATCTAGCAATAGTTTTCGTTACATAAAACAACAAAAAGTCCAATTACCGTCTTTTAAAAACATACACACACCCATCGAACCTTATTAGATAATACTTAGCTAATACTAATAAATAACCGTTATACGAAGCTCTTATTGTCACCACTTAAAAATTCTATAAAATATACGCCATAATCAATAACAAAAACTATCGAATAAAATACTTTAAAAGGATCCGCTACGCCTCCACCGCCAAGGCGATGCCCATCCCGCCTCCGATGCAAAGCGCTGCCACCCCGCGCTTCTTCCCCAGCCTGTGCAAATTGTGCACCAGCGTCACCAGCACCCTGGTGCCCGAGCAGCCTATCGGGTGCCCCAGCGCGATGGCGCCCCCCGTCACGTTGATTTTCGACTCGTCGATTTGCAGCGCCTCGTTCACCACGATGCTCTGCACCGCGAACGCCTCGTTCAGCTCGTACAAATCCACCGATTCCTTCGTCCAATCGATTTTTTGTAGCTGGAAATTACGTTAGAAGAGCCACTCTATATTTAGCGAGTTATTACACTTACTAGTTTCGTGACGGCACCGATCGGACCTACTCCCATTTCTAGTGGATTCACACCGACTTCGGCGAAGCCCACGATCCTCGCTAGAGGAGCTAAACCTAGCTCTTTAGCTTTAGTAGCGCTAGCTAATAATATTGCTGCAGCACCGTCGTTTATACCTGCAAAACCATCGCATATATATTTCTAATTTATTCAATTTATGGGGCATTACCTGAAGCATTACCGGCGGTTACGGTGCCGTTCGGAATGAAGCAAGGCTTCAGTTTGGCCAATTTATCCACGGTGGTCTCGAACTTGGGAAACTCGTCTTTGACGATCAAATTTCCCGTTCTCTTATCGGGTACTCCGACGATTTCCTTGTCGAACGCGCCCTGTTTGATGGCCGCTTCGGTTTTATTTTGCGATTTGCACGCGAAAGCATCCTGACGTTCGCGGGATACGTCGTATAGTTTAGCCAAATTCTCGGCTAAAAACAAACCGAACTTGTTACTCCATTAACAGTACATCAAATCTTGCTAAAGCGAGGTAATAAAAGGGCTCGTTTGGTGGTACCTGTTTTACCCATGTGGGTGTCTTTGTTGAAAGCGTCCATCAAACCGTCTTTTAGAAGGGAATCGGATAGATTAGCGTTGCCCATTTTGGTTCCCCTGAGATAGGCCGTGTGCTCGGATCTGGACATGCTCTCTTGTCCGCCGGCCGCGATGATTTCGTAGTCGCCGTTTCTGATGGCCTGATAGGCCAAGGCCACGCTTCTAAAACCCGAGAAAAGCTTTGTCTATGGCATCGTAGGAATATAGATTGAGCAGTGTAAAGTATAAAAGCGATAAATTGTTAGTTATTTGAACGCACTTTAGGCCTGATCCGCAGAGCATGTTTATGGTGTACGCCGGTGAGGTTTCGGGGATTTTGGCCCCGAAGGCGGATTGTCTGGCTGGATTTTGGCCCTGACCTGCTGTCAATATCTGGATGGAATTAAATTTGTTTAGTGTTTTTCGTAATTTAATTACAAAGGTTATCATTAATTCTTTGGAAAAAAAATATTACGTAAACTGCCTCAAAAAAAATTAATTACGTCCTAAAAAGAGGAAGCAATTAAATCATTATAAATATTGCAATTATGGAATACAGAATGAAGGTAAAAAATGTTATTAGGTGAAAATGCTTATTCTGTTTTTACTAATTTTACTAGTACATTCTGATTATCATAGTAAGATTTAAAAAAAAAAATTAAAATTTACCAGTTATTGCATTGTATTCATTATAGCTGTGCAAATATGCTATATTTATTTAAGGATTTACCTACTGCATGATATTAAATTAACAATACCCGACATAAAATTTAGAAATGAAATTTATTCAATACAGGGTGAATCGACGAAATTATTCACTCCTCCAATGCAAATTTTAATATACAGGTAGATGCAAAATTGTTTGCAATATAGGTGCAATAAAGACAACTTCCATTCTCATAGAGGAAAAATTGTGGACTTTGTTCAACTCAGAATTGACAATTTGCACTTACCCATAGAATAAAAAAAACTAAGAAAATATTTTAAAAAATGTGTGCATTATTTTTAATTGCAATCTACCTAATCATCTAGTATCTAGTAGGTATTTATTTTTAAAGCCATATGTAATAATTATTTTAATTGCTCTACATGGAAAGTCAATATAAGAAAAATGTGCTACATTCTATTGAATTCCATAAAATGTAAAACAAAATTCCATTATTATGAGATTCATTAAATTATCGATTATTATTATATTATTATAATTTTGGTGAATTCTGTATAATAATAATAATTTATTTATCTTACCTGTCCCATAATAACTTGTTCTACATTTTCGGGTTTTAAATTGGCCCTTTTTATCGCCTCAGTTAGGGCTACAGTCCCCAATTCCGAGGCCGAATATTTGTCGAATTGTCCCTGGAAAGACCCTGAAAAATATATACAAAACGTCCGAATATTTAAAGAAAAATAAAAATAATTAAAATTACCTATTGGGGTCCTGCAAGCAGAAATAATATACACCTCAGACATTTTTAAAAAGAACAATTTATGAATCACCACCTACACTCGAACGAATTCTGTGAACAAATGGTCATTCTACGGTTATGCAAATCAATTTGACCCGCTGAAATACTTTTTTTCAATTATTATTCTAGGCTCCAGGTATACGTGGTTTTTTATTTAAATTATCTAACCTAAAAAAAGTCAACGAAAGTAACTGTAAAACCGAATTAGTTAAGACCGCACAATTTTCAATTCTTAACCCACAAAAGAGAAGAATTTTTTAGGTTATGTTTCTGTCAAACATTTCGAGATTATGTAAACATTTTTGAACTCATTCGAGCTATGTGCCGGATTTCCTCATGGAAGAAGCGCCTGAAATAAAATGACCAACGACTCCGCGCCTCTTAATTCAAACTAGAGAGACATGGACGTGGATAGGAAAGTAATGTACGCCTTTCGAGGATGGATAGCGTTCGTAGCCTTTATGGATCTCGGAACAGCCGTAAGGAGTTTCATAGAAAAGCGATCGTTCCTTAGCAAAACTATATCGGAACTAGACGAATACGTAGACGGTACTAGCTTGCAGAAAAAGCGCGAATCGGGTACTGAATTGTTGAATTTTTAGGAGAATATACGGCCTCCAGGATTTTAGGAGTTTACTCGATACTTAAAGCTTTGGTTTTAATACACTGCACTTTATATATTCATTACAAACCGTAAGTTTATTAATTAACATTTTTCATGTAGTAAAATTTATTCTTACTTAATTTTAGGGTTGTTAGCATGGGAATATGCTCGCTCATTTCGAATGTACTTTTGTATATATCCGAAACGGTTTATTTTAGAGCAGCTACTTTAAATTTCTACGTAGTTTTCCCCTGCATTTTAAACAGTGAGTAGTAATAAATTTATGTAGGGTCGTTATTAAGAGCCTGTTTTTAGCTGTGACTTTGGGCTGTTTAATATATTTGCCTAATAATTTGAAAATATGGCAATACCAGGATCTAGGAGAAGAAGATGAGGATCAAATGAAATTAGGAGGATTCAGAAGGAAGAGAACTAATCGCAAAGGCAATCATAAAATGAGTTAGGTTGTTTCAAATAAAAAATACATATCTAATTACTTAGTTTAACATACTATTGCTTGGATTTAGGTAGAAATATTACTTATCAAGTTACAACTTTTAATTGTGGTTGTATTAGTAATATAATTTGAAGTAAACTTCCACTAGTTATATTCTTTATATGCGCTCCTCGTAGGTTTTCAATTTTACGATTCGTTCGCTTTCCTCCCACAATTTCTTCGCTACATCAGGATCTCTGGCGCTTTTGTATCTCTTAATATTTCTACAATCTTGGAAATGTTCTCCACTGTATTTCTCTAGTCCGTTTTCGATGGCGCAATAAATCTGCGTTTGGGCCCCTTCTGTTACTGTCTAAAATCGAACCGAATAAATTTTAAAATGCTTTTTAAAATGATAATATACCTTAAAAAATATGTCTATAAAAACTAGTATAGTACTCCTTAGAACAGGAGTCAAATTCCTGAAAATCTCAGTTTTTATTACTCCGGGATGCAGAGAATACGCTGTAATGTTCGTATCTTTGTATCTTCTCGCAAACTCTATCGTAAACAATACTTGACATAGCTTAGAAGTTATATACTGTTTAGCTTCGGTTTCAAATGAAGTTAGTTTGCGGAAATCGATTTTTCCTAGACTGGCTCCCCATGCAGCCACGTTTACGATTCTACTGGGGTATTTTTGCATGAGATCTACAAATTTAAAACTTCTATTAGCTTTTGAGAAGTTTCCCGTAATGTAATCGTACCTACTAATAACATTGTTAGTAAGAAATGAGAGAAATAATTCGTTTGCAACACTGCATCGATTCCATCTTCGGTTACAGTGTTGCCCAATCTCGCTGCTCCTGCGTTATTCACCAATATGTCTAATCTTTCTTCGGTGTTATTAATGTCCATAGCGAATTTTCTAACGGACGTGAAACTTGTGAGATCTACAAGCTTGTACACAACTTGAGAATTGTGGGTTTCTTTTATAATTCTATTTACAGCCTCTTTGGCTTTATTCTCATCACGGCACGCTAGGATTACCTTGGCTCCTCTTTTAGCGAAATCGATGGCAGTTTCGTAACCAATACCTAAAACATTCCGTGTTATTTATCGAAGGGAATTGAGAAACATTAGACGAGTACCTGTATTAGCGCCTGTAATTAACGCGGTTTTTCCCACTAAACAAACTTGACTCTTGCACATTCCTGTGGTTAATTTTATATACAATTTTAAGCTGACTACGCACAGGGCAGTTAGGGAACTGGCTGCTACAACTCCTAGCATTATTTCTAAAATCATGTTTGGCTGTGATTGATGATTCAATAAAGCGGTAATAAATTGTACAGTTAAATAATATGTTGAGATGATTATTGTTCAACTATTCAAATCACTGACTTATAAATTAGATAAGATTACATTAGAGTGACGAAACACATGACGAACCTAAATTAAATTTAAATTAATTGAAGAGAGTGCAAATGCTATCGTTTAACCGATATTACTAGAGTTATTAAATAAATAATTAAAATTTTAATCGCAGTTCCACCACTTTTATATTTTTAAAATTCTTCTTATTTTTTAACGGCCTAATACATTACTTGATTTTGGTTAGGCTTCTTTTTAGTAACTGTCAACTTTTCTTAAAAAAGAAATATGTTTTAAACATTATTTTGAGTTTTAAAATAGATCGATTGAAGTTTTTTTTATTTATACATCCACTAACAAAATTATTTCAATAAATATCTATTTTCTTCTTTTTTCTTAAAGAATAATTTCATAGCTAAAAAACAATTAGGTCAGATATATCCATCTGTAATTTTTGACATAAGTCATAACAAACAAATTTGATTTGACGTTCCTCTTTCAATGCCAAGGGTAAAATTGCCAATTTTTATAGTTTTCCAGTGATAATTCGGTGGTGTGTTATTCGTGACTCGTAAAAAGACTAAAATCCTGCAGGAATTTCATTCGAGGTGAGAAGTTGTCATTTACATTTAGTCCTTTCTGTTCCGATTAATTTTTAGGAGGAACAACCCCTAATACTTTTTCACACAATTCAACATTTTTGTTATGTTTTGATCCCACGAACCAAAACAATAAATTATTTTATCCCGCCATTAATTTATAAACAGATTTGCGTATATTGCATTCATTCAATTTTACGCTAAAGTTCATTATTCACCTTTTACGACTGTATAACTAATAACTGTAAGTATGGGGTCTATAAAATTTTTATTACTCTGTGTTCTACCACACATAGGACATTTCGAATACTATAAAAAGCTTTATTTTTATATTATCTGATTTCTAAATATGTTTAGCCTCGACTAGATACCTATAGGTATTTAATTGAAGCGCGTAAATAATAAATAATTGATGCAAATTTTGTTCTTTTTTTTTGTTAATTTTGTGATCCTATAAATTAGTTGGAGCAGTATACATTTCACATTAGACCAAATCCATTTCTGATGACCCTCTAACGACCTCGCTGTCGGCTGCAGCAATCTGGTTTTCTACTTTCTACAATAAAAATATTGTAAAATCCACGACTGCGTTCCCGACTACATTTCCAGACGTTTCTCAGTATTCACAACGTATTCGTTTGAAATGACTGAATTTTAAATTGCCGTACTCACGACTCTCCAAAATATATTTTAAGATTCTTCCCCAGGAACTTATTTACAATGAGATTATGTTCATTTAAGTTTTCCCGACGTGATTTACTTTATTTATGTTCGGTCGCCGACTGCTTGCACTTCCCATTTCACATGGAAAAGGAGCGAGAGGATTTTTATTAGTTCCTGATTGGTAATATTTCTTGTTCGCTGGTTTTAATACCTTTGCTTACGCAGTAGGTATTTTTTTAAAAGGGAAATCTTTTCCGCTCTATAAGCGAGCTCCTGCAATTTTCCAGCTGATAGATTCTAATATTAACGGGAACGCGGACGGGGAAAAATGTCTCGCAAATCCTCTCTTTGTTTCCAACAGCGATTATCCGCGGTAATTACAGCAATTAATTCCTAATTAATGCGTTTCTAGTGCCCCACGGTTCGCCGCGACCTAGTAACAACATGCAACATATTTTATCTCGATATATATTTACTTTGTAATAGCTATACCGCAGCTCAAAATTAGTTTCTGTTCGATTACCGCAGTCCCGGTAAGGCCGTGTCTCGTCGTTATATGAAGTGATTCGGCAGTACAGCATAATAAACCTTCGGGGTCTTTTTTTTGTACCAAAACGAAGCCCGGGGTCCCTTTTTATGTATCACCATCGACGTCCATTATGTTATTAATGACGAATCCTGCGGTTGACGTAAATGCATAGAGGCAATTGATCTGTTTATTAGACAATAATAAATGGTCCTATAGATTGGGTTATTTGTTAAGATTCGGCGCGTATTGGCGTATTAATGATGTTTGTCGTGATGCGGCGTTTTTTTAATTAAATTTATCGTTTTCTTTGAGTACTCTCGAGGAGGGAAAAATGTGGCGTTTGAAAGTAAGCAAAATCTCGAGGGGTTTGTCCTGGAGAGTGCGTTTGTTACTCGAAATCAAGATAAAGAGCGTTGGAAACCGTCAACTACACTGGCAATGTTGTTTTTTTCTTCATATCAAAAGCTCCCGTTTTTTATCAAAGCTCGTCTCATTCGAATATTTTCTATCTCCGATTTTATGCGCGGCAATATAATTTTCTTTACGTGGAACGTTTTAATCGGCTCGGAAACAATCAGAAATCGCTAATGAAATGGCCGCTGCGAATTGTTTCGTCTATAATCCAATTACTTATGAACGATTTGAGCAAACGGTTTTGGGAGAAATTAAAAGATGTCCAGGCCGTAGCGAACTATTTAAATACCAATTAATCTAAGTGCTCGCATTTGGTAGATGAACTTTTTTGTTTCTTGTTCGCAGTTTGCGAATGGCAAAAAAAATTAAGGTGAATTGCTATTTCCGCGATGGATTTTCGCGATGCATATTTAATGGTGGAACGGGATAAATAGGAAGTGATGAAGCTTGAAAAATGGATTACTCTACTTCTACTAAAAATTTATTTGATATCCATTTTACAAGTTTTCAGGTTTTCGAGATATTTGAAAAATAACACTTATTTTGTAACGGTTGTTACTGCACCTCTATACCGAAACAATTATTTCCACCTCTATTAAACTTCTGTCATGCGAAATGTCATTAATGTCAATATCGACAGTCGTTGTTTATGTATCATCGAACGCATCTTAAAGTCCTACAATGTGAAAAAATGGGACTGCAAAAAAGGATTATTACTTTGCTGGGGAATTTTGAATAAAATGGAATAAAATGCGAATGGACTATATAGTTAAAATTTTTTTGGGACCGCTTTTTATGCTGCCGCACTAAATCAAACGCTGGTTTCAAATTAAACGAACGTATTTTTCACAGTCTGGTAGGAAAGTCGTTGCGTTTCGAATGTTAGAAACAGACGGAATGGATATCTCGCCCTGAAATGCAATATAAACGACATGTATGTTCGGAATTAATCACTTTTATCTCACGAATGGAAACTAAACTTAGACGTACATTGTTCCGTGCATATCGAATTTTATTTCCCCTAATAGAATTTAACGCACGGATTCGTCGTTTAAGCATTAATTAGGCCTCAGGATTTCAATTACGAGCGTCACGTTAAATTGTTATTTAATTAGATTACGACAGGAAAAAAACCGTGCCCTGTACATTAGCCCGCTTTAAAACGTAATGAGAAAAACGTCTTTATTTCGTCGCTCATCTCCGCAGAGAATGATCCCCAATAATAATTAAAAAAGTTTGTTTTGTATGTTTAAAAATTCGACGCTTCCGCCGCGCCGCGTCAACCTGCTCCTTGATCTTTTCGTTAAATAACCCACGTAACTTTTATACACGGGGCCCCCAAACGAATTCCCCGTAGCCCTTCGAAGTTTGTAAATAATGTAAACAAGTCGGGAGGCATCGAGGCGCTTCGAATTCGCACGGAACACGTCCCGTTCGACGCGAGTCCGGGTAAACGGTAAATGCAAAACCGTTTTGATTTAACGTTTCGATTGCAGCTTATACGTTTAAGGTGGCCCTTTACGGTGGACATTTAGCGAACTAGCATGCAAATATTGGTCTTTGGAGAATCGACGGATGATTCTTTAATGTCGAACCCGGAAAGTTCCCGGCTAGTTCGAGCCTTTGAAGTTTATTTATTATTCAACCGGTCCGCTTTAACGGACAATCGGCGACGCTTAAAAGGGTATTATTTCGTCTTTATTTGTAGTTCGATGGGTTTTTTTTATTAATAACGACGCTGCGCTCGAACGTAATTAGATACCGTTGCGCTTATAGGATATACCTGAAGGTGAACTCGGTGTCACGGTCGTCGACGTTTATATGACAGGCACCAGCCCGATAACTCATTACGAAGTGAAATGTTATACCTTATACGTGGAGTATCTCCTCTCGCATTGTTATCTTTTCTAAAAGTCACCGAGCTTCCTAATGATCGAGTTACGCGGCGCAATTCCACGTTATTACAAAATAATTCATATACCTAAACACTCGAAGTTGATGGCTTTCCCTTTCGTATACGTCGCAAATCGCTATATAATCGGTTAGATTTTATTTTTTTTCGGTTTGTTATCTTTCCATCGGGTATCCACTTTGATCTTTTTTTTTTGTTCCTTTTTATTTCGTCGGTCGGGAGTAATCCCAAATATGCACCTACAGAGGAACGTTTAACGGTTCGTTAAATTAACAGGTTGGCCGGACACGAGGGTAATACGTATGTCCGTGTATTCGTCTTGATGAATTAGCGCTTGGCCCGGTCGCGGGGCTCCGGCGAACACTTGCAATTTTACCTGCGTTTTAATTTAGTGCCGGGCTTTCAGTTTATTAATCTCCTGTTTAACATCAGGTGTGCCGAACTGCGCGTTTCGCTCCGGGGAAGGTGCAAGGGCTGGACGTACGCGCGATTATTCGACTTGATTAACGGCGAATTAGGTGCTCATTAACTGTTTTTTTTTAATCGTATAATACATTTTTGATTTTCGGTTGCGTTCTAATAAAGGTTTGTTTGTAGACGAATCGATGTTTTATTTCGGGGAGTTGTTAATTGATTTATCGCTTTTTAACACGTATTTGTTCGGATTGGAAAGTGTAACATATGGCGGGGAAAGTGGCGCATCTGATAATTTAACTTTATGCTAAATTGAAGATACGTGTTTGAATTGTGGTGAGAAATATAGGGAGTTATTATTTAGAGCAATTACTTCTATTACAGTGTGTCTACGGATGGGGTTGCCTATAGGAGAAAAATTAGATTAAAAAATTAGAATTATAAACAACTTTCTTTTATAAAAATTTTGTGTAAAATAAAAAATAATGGTACTTCTCTCTTGAGGTATTTTCATGTTTTCTTAATTTGGCAACAGCCTGTAGATCCAATCTAAGATTTTTCAGTGTTATTCTCATTTTTAAAAGAAGCAAATTTTTTTATAAACAATGACTTTTTGTCGTAAAATGAATAATAAAAATTTTTCTCCTATAGGCAACCCCATCCGGGGGCACACTGTATATTGTTTTGTAAAATATAGATTACAGTTATTTTGTAATTATACAGTGTATTACATTGTAGAAACAGATACAGCAGATAACATAACAATCCTGATGGAGTAAAACCTTCTTCTACACCAGAATACCATTCTTCTTCTGTCTTAAGAAACGAATACTTGCGATTGAGTTTTGAATAATTTTTTTCTGGGTAATTACCATCGATCGAATTAGGCGAAATCCTCGACGCGTGCGTGTGTGTGTGTCTCCATCGGTGTAAATCGCTAATTCGTTTTGTCAGCGATATTTTTTTTTTTCAGCCCCCGTCCTCGTCCATAAGTAATTTATCATTTCCATCGTACTAATGACCCAAATCGCCGTATGCTCCCGTACTAACGCCGGCCCCGCCACCGCCATCCCTGCC